ATAGTCCCGGCCCTCCCCCCGAGAGGCCCAGTTGCCACAGGGAGCAAAGAGAAGAGGAGGTGCTGGGGGTCGGCCAGTGGGCTCAGGATGAACTAAACCTGAAAGGAAAAGTCACCAAGAGCCTTTGCTCCCCATGGACCCCGAGAGAAAGATCACTGAAACCAGGCTGGCTTCAGGGTGGGACTTTGGGATGTTACAGGGGAGTCTGCCTCCAAGGCCAGAAGACACAGACCACTGTGCACAGCAGAAGAGCACACACAGCTGTGGGCTGGGGAGGGGCAGGGGCAGCGCTGGGTGTTTTCCAGGCGCCAGGTCCCCTGGAGCCCTCTGACCAACCTTGCGAGTCAGGAAGCAGGAGCCATGGTGTTCCCGGCCAGTGCAGGAGGCAGTCACCTGTGCACTGACGGCTGCCATGGTCAAGGGGCTGCATTCAGGCAGACCCGAGTCATCTTGCCCTGTCCTCCAGTCCCTGGCTGCTCCCAGAGACCAGCTCACAGCCCTGCACCACAGCCCCCAGCAGACCGGGGATGAGACTCCGTGGCTGTGCCATTACGGTGCCCTCATGCTGAGAAGGCCCAAGGTCCGGCATCCACCTCACCGGGTCTTGTCCCAGCTGATTTACTGACTATTGTGGCTCTGTCGCTGCAGCACTGGGAGCATGGCTGTCGGGGTAGGAGGGCTCCTCTCTGTCACTCAGCCTCAGTCCACTCGCCATGACTCTGGAGACTGATGCCCGCCACCTAAAGCCTTGCCGATCTCTGACCCCAGGGTGTGCGCCACGGACGAGCCACAGCACCGAGCGAGCCACGCTGCCCTGTGGAACATGACAGGCAAACACACAGTTCGTGTTTCTGCTCGCGACAGCACCCTGTGCCCTTCTCAGCCAGCAGCACGAGAAGGGTCAGAAAGCCACGAGCCGACCTGGGGCCATGGACCTGAACCCCTTACTCTTCAGGCGCTCAGCGAAGTCCCACAGAAAGGGCAGAGGCCCACCGTGGCCACCCTGGAGGGGACGCCTCCTCCGGGAGGCCGCAGTCCCCGCCCGCCCCCGCCCGCAGAGGGAAGCAGTGCTGGATGCTGAGAAGCACAAAGCTACACCACGGCCAGAGGGTCAACGCGAGGGAAATGCTCACTGCGACAAGGTAACTGCACTCGAACGCTCGGGGAGTACCCATAGCCAAGGGCCACCCCCAAAAAAACTGGCAACAGTCACTCGTATTGCAGCGTTGCCAGGCGTCGCCATGGCAGCCAGAGGTCTTAACAGAATCATGAATTTGAGTCCTCGGGAAACTAAGGAAAACACCAGTTTGGGCTCCTCGATAGCACCTCTTCGCAAGCTTGAGTGACACACTGTGCCTCCAGGACGAGTAGACAGCCCCGGGACTTCCCCGGACTGCTGCCACTCGCCTGTAAGAACAGAGGGAAGGGCTCCTGGCATGTCCAGGTCATGCTGGCGCCTCCGGGAAGCGGCCCACCGAGGGTCTCAAAACCGACCTCAGGGCCGGGACCGAGGTCTGTGTCCTGGGGGACAGGGAGGCATTTCCACAGGCCTGGCTGTGCCCTGTATTCACTCTGCTTCACCCAGCCCCTCCCCATCATGCCCAAGTTCAAATGTTTGAATATAGCATAAATAAAGGGTGCTGGATAAATGGGCGAGGTGCATCCATATTTTTTCAGGTAGACACACATCTGGTGTTCATGACGCAGACAGACAAGGAATGAGAAGTGATGTGGGCTGCACTGCCCCCACTCTGAGAGTGGGCTACTGCCTGGCCTTGGCCTGGGTGTCTGCAAAGGCAGCAACGCCACCTGCCTCCCTCCCAGGGCCGTGAGGACGATTAGGCTTTAGTGCAGCCCTGACAGGCACAGCCGAGACTGGGTCCGGGCGGTCACAGGTGGAGCTCAGTCTCACACTGCCCAGTCCTACTGCACAGACCGAGGGGAATGAACGCGCCTCAGCTCCTTTAAATCTGACTTCCAGAGAAATCTCCTGCAGGAACTCATCCCAGTGCCAGGACATTTTTCAAATGGCTGAATTCCTTTGTCCACTGCCAAGTGGGGTCGACAGTGCTGACCACCAGAAGTATCTGTGCCCTTGAAAGTCCTTATTCCATTCACTTCCCAGCAGTGGTTTGGTTCCATCAACAGTCACCTCCGTTCTTTCCCCTTCTATTCCATTCTTCCTCCTCTGCTTCCTCACTCAACCCTCAAACCTCGCAGCAGTGTCCACAGCAGGGGCAGGAACCACCCCAGCAAGGTGCTCTGACAGCTGGCTGAGGCTGTTGACCCCAAGATGAAATATATCTGTCAAAAAGGAGCCCCGTGGTTCATTGGGCCCAAATTCACAACCAGAGTCTAGCAGCCATTGTTTGCAGAGGCCTCTCAGGGAGGACGCGTTTCAGGGAAAAGTCGCAGGCTGAGCAGCCAGCCCCTGTGCTGTGCTCCTGCCAGCTGAGCCACCTTATGAAGGAGCTCCTGGAATTGTGCCTCAACCAATGGGCTGAGACCTGCTCCATCCAATCAGAGCTGCAGAGCTACATCCTCATTTGCATTTTTACTAGCCCATCAGAGTAGCTCCATAATGACCAACCAGGAGGCACAAATCTGACTCTCGGGACAGTACAATTTGGACCAATCAAACTGTGTAAATTTGGATTCCTCATTTGCATAGAAATGGGACAATCAAGGACCAGGGCAGGAACTTTCTCTATATAAGCCCACCTCACTTTTGTCTCAAGTGAGGGTACTTCTGGTTTCCTCTGGAGGCCATGTCTCCCCAGTTGGCATTGGATTGGTGGCAATGACATTTTTGTTGACAAGGTCAGGACTTATACACCAGCACCATGATCAGAATCCAAAAGACCGATCCCTGTTTGCAACACTGATTCACTACAAGCTGGGTGAGCCTTTTTGCGATTCGGGGACAGTCACTCTCATTACACATGTGTTACAAGATTTCTCACCTTTACAAAGGTAATAATGGTACAGTTCGTACTAAGCTACTTATGACCTTAGGCACCTTTTGAACTCCCAGGAAAAGGTACTGGGTTAATATCAGGTGATGAAATTAAAGAGTGCTGAAAACATGTCCCTAGGACAATGGAGCAGAGAAAACCAGACATGAATACGCACGAGACGGGGTTTTCCAATGTGCTTTCGCGGCAGAGTCCTGTCTCCAAAGAAAACCATTGTGGAATTCCACTCCTCAACCAGATACAAGTGGGGCTGCTTCTGTGCAAAGGCAGGTAGGCTGCTGGTGGTATCGGGCCAGGGCCCACCTTCCTCTTCCTCACCCATCTCTCCCCCCACCTTCCATAGGGAGCCCCTAGGCTTCCACGGGGCAGTATGAAAAGTCCGAGCGAAAGAGGGACATGGAAAGAACCTCAGTTTGCACACTCAAGTGAGAGGGGGTGGCAATTTGACTTTAGGGCCCTGCAGGACCATGTAGCCAACATATCTGTCTACTGACGGTCCTGCTGCTTCTGTCTCTCTAGTCTACCTATATGTTTCTTAGCCCTGATTTCCATGCATGTATAGAGTTTATCACAGTACATTTTTGTAATGCACCTCAGAATCTTTGTGGAATAAGCTGGTATCTGGATATGTGCACACACGTCTAGGGAGAGAGGCTGGCCTATTCCACCATGACAAGTGGTCACAGGGTCTAGCTGACTCACCACTCTGAAAGGTGCTGTGGTATTTCACTGTATTTTATATGTGTTGACTTGATGCAATCCAAACAAACTGAAGACACTCTAAAATCACTCCGAGATTCTTAAGAGCCTTAAAAAAAAGAGCTTCAGTGTAGGAAGACTTTACTCTCCCTGAACCGTGAACGGTGTGCTCAGTGCCACTTATAAGACATTAAACAGGGACAGTCTAATTAGTCCTTTTACTTCTACTGGCACATTTATTAAGAAGAGACACAAGAAGAAGGAGTGCTTTGCTAAGTGAGATTTTTGTGGACATTTAAATAATAAAACAGTTGGCTCATGTACAAAACGCCATTCTATGTAAACTTGATCAAGAGCTATTAAAATCTCCTAGCCCAGTGGGTGTGGCTCAGTGGTTGAGCGTCGACCCTGTACCAAGAGGTTGCCAGTTCGATTCCTGGTCGGGGCACATGCCCAGCTTGTGGGCCTGATTACCAGTGGGGGGCCTGCAGGAGGCTCCCAGTCGATGTTCTTTCTCATTGATGCTTCTATCTCTGGCTCCCTCTCCTTTCCTCTCTCTCTAAAATCAATTTTTTAGTTTTTTAATCTCCTAAATTATCTATAGAAACATACAACACATTTATATTTCCATCAATTTGAGAGACTCCAAAGAGAGAAAATAATCTGAAATTCAAACAATCGCAGTGTCTAATTTTTCTGATTGTTAAAGGAATAGTTACAGCTTGAGTGGGAAGGGCAGCGACATATATAAAAATCAGGGAGGCAACTCTTTTCCTGTTTCAGGAAAATCATAGCTCTTGGAGAGGCCACTGAAATGAGCTGTCAGCTGACAGACTGTATCCATGATCTGGGGTTTCTAAGGCCGCTTCCCCTCTGGAGAGAGAACGCGCTTCTGCCTGCATTTGGAGAATGGCTTCCCACGACGTGGGGTCCTCATGCCAGGGCCTTCAAACTCCAGTCTGCACCCAGCAGACCACCTGCTTTCCCCTGGCCGGAGCTAAGTGTCATTTTCACCTTTTTTAAATAGTAGGTGGAAAAAATCAGAAGATTTCTGGACATGTGAAAATTCTATGGAATTCAAACCTCAGTGTCCACAAAGAAAGTGTTACTGAAGCACGGCCAGGCCCAGCCACTTCCACTCATTTGCGGCTGCTCGCCCGTGGCCACAGCAGAGTTGAGCAGGTGTGACCACAGTGGCATGGCCCAGAAGCCTAGATGGTTCCACGACCGGGCTGCTTACAGAAAAAGGTTGCCGATCCCTAACCTAGGAGCTGAAGCCCACCTGTAGGCCCCTTTGTGCTTCCAGAGAGCGTGGAGGAGACATACCTGGTTGAGTCGGCACAGGCATTTGTCCAGACAGCAGAGGCAGCAGAAGCAGCACCTGGGCAGGCACCTGGACCAGGCACTCCGCTGCTGGGGTCGGGGCAGGACCAAAGGAACAGAGTCAGAAACAACCCAGAGGGGAAGCAGCAGCAGGCTCTGCGATGCACAGTTTCTACCTGGAGACCCCACACCTGGGACACAAGCGTTTGTGCTGCGTGTGAGAGCCTTCTACTGTGCACACTGTAGCTAATGATTACTATTATCATTATTACCGATGACCAAAGTTTCTCTCTTGTGGGCTTATCTGTTAGGACTGCTGTCGACTTCAGCAGGAAGGGAAATTGATTAGCCCATATTTATATCGAAGGTAAAAACGAGGCCCTCTGGTTCTAGTCAAAAATGTCTCCTCCTTCATCTCCCCTTCAGTATCTTCAATTGTAAACTTCGCTTTTTCAAAGCAGCTTAGAGCTGTGAGAAGTTTGCACCCCAATGACAATGAAACAGTTTATGCTTTGTAGACACTAGTTATGTGCTCACATGAAAAAAAGAATCAAGTTTAACTTTTTGGGAAATAAATCCGATAGTGAGATTTTGAGGGCCGAATTTTAAGAGATAAATTAGTCCTTTGAACTGTAACTCAGACCTGTGTATAACTCAAGAATGAATAATTAAAGGAACTCAGAGGAGAGGTGACTGGATGCATCGTACTCATGGCCCAGTTTTTTAAAAAGTGCCTGAAACAATCCTGAAATAGGCCTCTACGAGGGCCTCGGGAATAATTCAGCCTTATATGGACAATTTCTCATCCCAGCGTCAACTCAATCGCACGCAACTTAACTGGATACTTTCCAGCCCGGCCGTGGTGAGCAGGCTGCTCGCCGCACAGATCACACGGGGCTCTGGGAAATGGCTTATCTGCTGACACAGTGCAAACTCGAGGCTGAGGAAGACCCTTCCTGTCTAACAAGAAGGGACACATTGTTCCAACAGCACCGTCACTAGAAGGGAGCTTGGCCCCTTAGTCCTAATGGGATCTGGGGAGTGGTAAATGGCCTTTCAGACTCTGCCAGAGAGACCAACCCACTGACTTCTCTTTCAGATTTATGGAGGCTGTTTCCCCAGAGTTTAAGGTGCCTAGCTCAGGGAAGGATGGCAAAGTCCCCTACCTCACGTTAACTCACGATTATACACACACACATACTTACATACAGACACATATCTACATTTCTATCTCTGTCTACATCTCTCTCTACACACACACTCAGAATAGACCTCCCACAATGTGCCCCTTTGGCTGGTGAATTATTTGGAGCTGAAGTCAATCAAGACCCTGTAGGCTCACAAGAAACTTTCCTCTTAAATTAGGGCCTTGTCCATAATAAGAGTGGTCACCAGAAATAACATTTTCTGACCTACCTATATGGCAGGACAAACTTCTAATTACTGAACATCTGTTCTTATTGGCCTGCAGTGACCCCTCCCCTCGGAACCTCACGGTGCCTTACCTCAGCCTGAGCTCCGAATGTCCTGTATCCCTCAGTTCCCTTCTGGCTCTGTGCCTCTCGTGCACATGGAGCTCCCACAATACACATGTGATTCAATCTGGTCATTTTCCCTTGTTACTCTGTCTCATGTCTATTTTAATTATTAGATCAGCCAGAAGAGTAAAGTTTATTCTTCCGTGTGTGTGTATGTATATATGTATATGTTGTGTGTATATGTGCATGTAAATATGTATATGTTTGTGATTATATATGGGTATTTGTGTGTATATGTGTGTACGTATGTATGTGTTTGATATATATTTATATATGTATGTTTTATATACATATATACGTGTGTGTGTGTGTATGTGTGTGTGTTGTTCAAGATATCCTCCTCCAAATTTCCTAAAACTGAAGGATAAATTTCAAAATGCAGGAGCGAGTAGCTAGATTTCACCTGGATGTGGAAATGCCTCTTCAAGTCACCAAAATGTATGTGTTTTTTTTTTTATCCCTTGAAATTCAGCCCTGAAAGTTTCATTATAGAATTTATTTCCAAAAGTTAACCCTAATTTTGTTTCAGTGTGGGCACATAACTAGTACTCACAAAGCATCGTCCCGATACAAACACAAGGGAACACTACGTGCGGATAAGTGCTGTGCGTGTGTTTCAAGATGAGAAAGTTGGTAACTTGATGTGAAATCCAATCAACTGTTCCTAACTGATACACTAATCTCAAATCTTGATTATGGGCTTTAAAATATCAACAACTCAGATGTCTGCTTAAAAGAGCAAATAACAACTCTCAAGTATAATAAGGACACCACGGGTAAAGTTTCCCTCGTTTACTAAGAACGCACACTTTGATTCCCAAGGTTGGCATGAGGTCTGTGAAACTGACCGTGTTGCTGGGGCTGTCTGCGGTGGGGGCGGGGAAGGGATCAGGCTGTGTGAGAACAGAGAAGTTGGGGAAAGTCCAACCTCCCCTTGTTCGGTGGGCCAGAAACACCATGAGAACAGCTGTTTTCCTGGCTCTGGCTCCCACTGGCATTCATAACCAAATGCACATGGAAATGAAAACCGGGGAGGAGAAACCCAGGCACAAAAGCCCTATAGTTTTCTGTCTTTTGAGCTGAGATTTGGGTCATCTTGCCCATTTCTCACTCTTAAGTGCGCTTGACCAGTCTCTCCCTCCCTCCCTCCTTCTCTCCCTTTCTCCTTCTCTCCTTTCTCCCTCTGTCCCTTTCTCCCTCTCTCCCTCCCTCCCTCCCTCCCTCTCTCCCTCTCTCCCTCCCTCTGTCCCTCCTTCTCTCCCTCTCTCCCTCCCTCTCTCCCTCTGTCCCTCCCTCCCTCTCTCCCTCTGTCCCTCCCTCCCTCCCTCTCTCCCTCTGTCCCTCCCTCCCTCCCTCTCTCCCTCTGTCCCTCCCTCCCTCTCTCCCTCTGTCCCTCCCTCCCTCTCTCCCTCCCTCCTTCCCTCTCTCCCTCTGTCCCTCCCTCTCTCCCTCTGTCCCTCCCTCCCTCTCTCCCTCCCTCCCTCCCTCTCTCCCTCTCTCCCTCCCTCCTTCTCTCCCTCCCCCCCCCCACACCAGTGACTCCCCAGGGCACCCTCTAGGAAACAAAAAAGGTGCAGAATATTTTCCCATTAAAACACAAACAAATATTATTCTTATCTTGTATTCTCTTATAGTGTATTTTCTTCCTTAAAAAAAAAAAAAGCATCTAAATGTCCACAATAACTGGTTTAAATTTCCTGGGAAGAATTTCTCCCATTTGTTCAGCATTTAACTTCGGAGGAAACCACCGCACTCAGAACTACTGCTGCTCACCCCGCCCCCTCCACTGAGTGGGCGGAAAACCCAGCACACAAAACCACAGGCAGACCGGGCTGGGACAGAAGCTTGCTGGGGGACTTCCAGTGGCCCAGGTCCCGGGAACAGCACACCGTGCCCTCGGGAGCTGCCTCACCTCGCCTCCCAGAGCCCTGGACACACACGCGAGGGCAGCTCTCGGGAGCCTCATCGCAGCGATCAGAAAGGACCCTTTCGCAGCTGTCCCTTGATGGTAGCAGAAAAGGGTGGACAGAGATGAACGAATGGGGCGCTTGGGAGGGTCGTTTTCGTTCCTGGGAATGGGAGACAAAGACAGCATTTTCAAAACTGCTGGAAAAGGAACAAAAAATCCTGGTCCGAGTCAGCGAGGGCACTAGGACACGCAGCAGCAACGCAGAAAGCATTGAGCCAAGCTCTCCTACTGCTGGTCACTAAGAGTGAATTAATTCTGGGGCTAAGTATTCCTTTTGTGGCACTCAATGACACAAACAAACAGAACAAAAAAAATTTGTAAACACTGATGAGTTCAAATAAAGCAGGTTCCCTCTGTACACCACCCCCCTTCCACCGAGTTGCCAATTAGTCTCATTTTCATTTTCAGAAACTAATTCTGTAATAATCTGCAAGGTATAAATCACACATGGAAAGACTGCCTGCCTTGGCTGGTGATTAAATCCTCCCGAATCTAGGATCAGGACGGGGCCAGAGAGGCCCCGTGAGCTCCACAGGAGCGGCTGGGACGGCAAGCTGGCCTCTGGCACAGCTCTAGGCTCCTGGAACCCAGCCGATTCCTACCTTACAGGTCACGTCAGTGTGAATCATTTACAGGACTTGTCATGACACGTCTCCCAAGAACGCAAAACCTAGTTTCACAGGCAGAGAAAGATGTGAGAAAGAGGACAGCCCTCTCCCCGCTCCAGACTGGAGGGCAAACAGGAGCCGGGGCAACCTCCCTGACCTCTGGATTCTGCTGATGCCAGTTCTAGAAAAGGAGGCCCTTTCCGAGAAGCCGCTTCTCAGATTCCAAGTGAAGCTTGGTTCCTGCCCAAAGGGTGATTCTGCAGTGAGTGCTAGTTGCTGATGAATCTCGGTTTTGACAAGAGCCTGCATTTGAGACAGGAGAGGACGCAGCCAGGAGTTTCCGGAGCTGGCAGTGGCCCTATTTTGCTGTTGATCGTCCAGGATGGAGAAGAGAGCGTGGAAGAGGCCCGGGAGCATCGTGGCCACGGAAGGCCGACGTGTGTCCACTCAGTGTCCCCGGGAGGAGGAAATGCAGGGGAGCAGCAGCCGATGGTTCCCTGAGATCCAATCAGAGAAGAGCAACAGGCTGGGGAAAGTGTGACACATCTTCTCCCTCCAGTTTTCTGTATGTTGACTTTGTATCTTTCAACTTGACTGAATTCATTGATTAGTTCTGTCCATTTTTTGGTGGCATCTTTAGATAAGAATATACGATCTGCAAACGATCTGCAAACAAAGACAATTTTATCCTTCCTTTCCATTCAGATGCTCTCTAGGGCTTCCAGTACTGTGTTGAATAAAAGTGGAGCCTGGCCCATACGGCTCAGTGGTTGAGCATCAACCCTGCACCATGAGGTCGCCAGTTCAATTCCGGGTCAGGGCACATGGCCAGGTTGTGGGCCCGATCCCCAGTGGGGGCATGCAAGAGACGGCCAATCGATGTTCTCTCTCATCGATGTTTCTCTCTCTCTCTCCCTTCCTCTCTAAAATCAATAAAGAAAAATAAAATAAAATAAAAAAGTGGAGAGTGGGCCTCTCTGTTATTTCTGATCTTCGAAGAAAAGCTTTTAACTTTTACCGGTGAAAATGTTTTAGTTACTATGTAGTGTTTGCATGATCGGTACATAAATAACTGATCCCAGGAGCAGCAAATTAGTATCACATCTCCTTCCCTGTACAACTCTTGGGCTTTCCTGACGTGAGTACTCCCTTTACGTTTCATGTGCTTGGTTTCTCACAGGTGGAGCCCCATGCACATCTTTTCCCCACAGATCTGAGCACGTTTGGGATTCTCCGTTTCCCTTTGCCCTTGGAGACATCCCCGCTGGAGCCCACGACCTCCTGTTAACCTTGGGCTGGCTGCTCTCTCCGGGCTGCACAGCCACCCTCCTGGGTTGGCGCTCACCAGGGGAGTCTCGGGTCTCCCTCCCTGGCCTCCTCATTCACTTCCACAGAGAACACCCTTCCTAAGAAGAGATGTGGGAGGGGACCTCTGACATGCCCCGTGCCTGACACAGCTGTCTTCTCCCTTCGCCGGCAGTGCAGGAGGCCTTTGCTCAGGGTTGGCAGCCTGGCCCACTGTCCCCACGTCGGAGCTGAGGTTGTACTCCAGGCCCTGGTCCTTTGCCTGCGACCTGTTCCTCCCCCCCTAGAAGCTTCTAGGGTCTTATCTTTACTCGTGTCCTCCAGCTCTGAGAAACTTCCTTTGATAATTTCATCCCTTTTTTTTCTTTGTTCTCTATTTCTGGAACGCATGCTTGTCAGACGTTGGCTCTCCTAAATGTACCTTCTTCTTATCCATTCTCTCTTGTTCCCTCTCTTTGGGGTTTCTGCTCTATCTCCTAGAATAGTTATTCAATTTTAAATTTTAACCCTTTAATAGAAAATTTTCCCTTTGCGATATTTTTAATTACTGAAAGGCCTTTTTGTTCTCTTACCGTTTCCTGTTTATCTTATGAATGCCACATTTCTTCGTTCTAAGGATATTATAATTGTTTTGTAGTTTCTTTCTGGTGCCTCATCGCCTCTGTTTCCCAAAATTCCTGTTTGTTTTATTCATTTTGGTCTTTCTTTTACTAGAGGTTGTCTTCAAATGTTTAATGACCGCTGGTCACCCATTCACACTTCAGAGGTTGTCCGGAGTGAGTTGGGAGCTCCGTAGGAGGGCGACTGTTGACTGGCAGTGTCACCGTTCAGAGTCAGGGAATCAGGCCATTTCAGTGGGGGACCCCACGTGGTGTTATCTGAAGGTATTCACTTGGGGTTAGACAACTTCTCCAAAGAAAAACAGTCTGATCTCCTACCTCAGGGACATCAACCTGGCCGTCACATCCGGGAGCTGAGCTGTGGCATGTGGATTGGGATGGGGTAGTGAGGGGCCCCCCTTTCAGCACAGATCCTCATCCGGAGCCTCGGCTGGCTCAGATGCCTCGAGTCCAGCCCTCCTCTGTCTCCCTCTCCAGAGAGCAAAGCTCCCATCTGCTGCTACGGGGATGGAGCCCCTGCCCGCAGGAAGACACTGCAGAGTGCACCGCTCCGCCCCGGCCATGGGCCTGCTCACCCGTCCTCCCCTCCACCTGCATTGGGTTGGCGTTTCCGATCTGCTGTGACCGCCTGCTTGTCACTGTCCTCGTGAGTTTATTATGCCCTTTTTCATTCTTTCATGGGTTTTGGGGGGTGGGGCGCAGCTGGAGTGGGAGGAGGGTTAGGAGAGACATGCATTTGCTTTGCAGCAAGTCCAAAACAAAAGCCAGCACTGAAAACACTGTGACTCTAAGATTGTCCAGAACCCCGGCCATCAGAGGCTGTGACCTGCCGGCAATCTGGGTGAATCACCCCGGTTCTCAGGAGCAGGCATGCCATCCCCAGCCTCGAAGGCTGTCGGGGCCAAGGCCGCAGGCCTCTGCACCCACGGGCGCGCCGGAGCTCCAACAGCCCCCGTATGGGCAGGAGCCACCCTGCTCGACCTCCTCACCCCCACTCCTGTATCTGCTCACTCGGTCTCAGATTACCTGGCTGCCCCCCCACCCCCCCACCCCCCACCCCCCGGACGGAGCTTCCTGCTGAGTACAGCCCAGGCTGTCCTGGCCTCTCTTCTTGCCCCGCGTGGAGTCACACACACCGAGCAAGCAAAGGGCTGAGGTGCGTGGGTGTGTGCGCTCGACTATTTCGGGAGGTAATGGGGTGTAAACCCTTAGTGTCATGGTGAACGCAGAGGCCAGTAATTCCCTCACCAGCACCTCCATGACGTGTTACGTTGTGGTGATGTACCTTCCCCGAGGATCTGACATGATTTCCCAGCACACCCGCCCTCACCACGTGGAGGACACGCCAGGTCCCAGCCGGACCCGCAGGTGCCCACTCGTCTGCAGGGAGGCAGGGCGGGTGGACAGACAGGTGGCCGTCCTGCCAGCTCTCTCCGTTGGGCTTCCTTCTCGTTTTCTTCTTTTTTCTAACCAGTTAAATTATATTTATTATATAAAGAGATAGTATAACTTGATATGAAAAACAAAGCAACTCCAATAGGCACTACAAAGACAAAGAACGTGAACATCTGCTCAAAGGAAACAAATACTTAACCTTAATAATAACAAAGGCAATGTTTGAGATGCCATTTCTTGCTGTTTCTATGCACACGGTTAACAGCAATTTCTAGGTTTTCTATTTTCTAAATATACTCAAATGAGTTATTTTTAGTAATAAAAAAGTGAGTCATTAAAAAAAAAACATAAAAGTATAAAATTCCTGCCAATGCAGAAATCATAAAACGCATTGAAATGAATCAATACTTGTATGGGCAGTAAAGTTCTCATTTTCTATCTTAAAGAACTTGGAAGTGTGGCAGAGGTAAGGGGCATCGTCCACCACCAAATAAGTGTCCAGACAAAGTTTAGCTTCCTTCAGCTATTGCCAACCCCTCTGAAGGGGTCACATCAACACTCCCCAATTCCCCGAAACAACAGACCAACTAGCAGGAGCAACAAGTGGCACCTACCTGTTGAAGTAGCAGGCGACCACTGCCCCCGCCATGGTCATCTGCTGGCATGCAAGGAGGAACTCGCTGGTCCAGATGAGGCCCATTACGTGGTACCCCCACATATACCGAATGCCCGAGAGAGGCTTGTACTCCACTTGGCCGCCGTCGGTGACCTGGGCAACTCCTGAAGTTTGAAACATAGACGTGCTTTACCCAGCGTTGTCCCCAGCACGGACAACGGTCTGACCGGCCACGCTTCACGCCTGGCCTCTGACATTCCGCGACACGTAAATGCCCAGGTTAAGTTTGGAGTACCCACCCTCATTTAGGATCTGCACGGTGAACACGAAGAACGCTGAGCACAGTCCACTTACGACACTGTGAACAAGAGCACAGCGTGGAGCGGCAGGCAGAGGATGCAGCCTTCACCCCGTCCACGTGGTGACCGAGAGGCCGAGGCCGGAAGACCCAATTCTTCTGTGACGTCTCACTGCTCGTGATGAGCAGAAGGGAATGAAAAGCTAGACGTCTTTTCATGCTAAGCGTCTTTCTACCACATCACTTCATGACACAAACAAAACGTACGTGGCTGAAACCACCCGAAGCTGCTAGGGCTGTGCAACAGAACCACACTTCACGGAAAAAAGCCTCAAGAAAGTAAACGAGGATCTTTTTACGAATCTTTACCCAAGAATATTTTGCCATTTATCTTCAGATGAATGTTCCCCCATGGGGGGGAAACATGGATGTGAGAGGGACACATGGACTGGTTGCCTCCCCACGACCCCGACCAGGGTCGGGGAGGAACCGCAACCGAGGCATGTGCTTGGGACCGTAATCGAACCCGCGACTCTTTGGTCCACAGGCCGACACTCTAACTGCTAAGCCAAACTGGCCAGGGTGGATCTTTTTTTTTTTTAATTCTAGCACATTTTAAATGTCTATTGGGGCTGGCCGGTGTGGCTCAGTGGTTGAGCGTCGCCCCTGCACCAAGAGGTCACCGGTTCAATTCCCGGTCAGGGCACATGCCCAGGTTGTGGGCCTGATCCCCAGTGGGGGGCATGCGGAAAGCGGCCAATGGATGTTCTCTCTCATCAATGTCGCCACCTCTCTCTCCCTCTGCCTTCCTCTCTAAAATCAATAAACAAAAAGTAAACAAATAAATAAATAATGTCCACTGGGCCTCAGTGTTAACCTTCCAGGTCTCCCGTCGGGGATGCTGGGTCGAGCTATCTGGCCTCTTGGAGTTTCAGGATCCTTCCCTATAAGACCCCTGCCCTGGAGGTAGTTGGTGAGCCCACCTGGCCCGTGATTAGCATTGGGCCTGGCCCACAGCACTGTCCCTGCAGAGGTGACAGCCATCACATTCTAGGGGCACACAGTCCCAAATCACATCGAGGCTGGAAAGGCGACCCCACAATGCCCTGCGCTCAAGGCTGCCCCGCTCTGTCCGCCCGCGTCTGAAAGGCCCTGGAATCATTCCAGTTTGACTCCACTTTGCGGGTATCTGTCAGAGCCAGGGCTCTGCTTCCAGACGCCCTGCTCCGGGTCTGAAGTGAACCACGTAAGAAGGTGGGCACTCTGGTCTCTGGCGAAACTGGACAGATATTTAAAGATAGCTCCCTAGCCCTGGCCAGTTTGGCTCAGCAGTTGGAGTGTCAGCCCACAGACCAGAGAGGCCTGGGTTCAGTTCCTGCTAAGGGCACGTACCTCAGTTGCAGTTTGTCCCTGGCCCTGGTTGGGGTCGTGTGGGTGGCAACCAGTTGATGTGTCTCTCTCACATCGACGTTTCTCTCTCTCTCTCTCTCTCTCTCTTCCTACCTCTCTCCCTCCCACTCTATCTGAAGATAAATGCAAAAATATCCTCAGGTGAGGATAAAAAATAGATAGCTCCCTACTTCCTTTCTAACTATTTTCAGGCTCATAACTCAGGGGTCTTCAGACACTCACAGCAGGGTCCATGCCAAAGTCATGCACAGATGGACTCTGGACACGGTCGTCTCTGTCCCTCCGCTCTGGGTTCGCCCAGCAGGACTACCACTGTGGGACAGAGTGGGCAGCCTGACCCCAGAGGGATGCCGATGCTTGGCGGACAGGGGCTCAGTCTGTGTGCAGTTGTCTCTGTCGCATGGAAGGCATGACAGATGCTGATGCTCTCCAGAGTGGGGGTGTTTCGGAAGAGCACCCAAGTTCCACAGGACGTGAGCTGACAGCCACAACCGAGGTCCTGGAGCCTTGGAGAGCCACTCTGGGGACATCAGCGGTGACAGCAGCCAAGAAGCACACTGGTCCCAGGGACAGACCACAGTGGTGCAGGACACACCACAGGGTGGGGTCAGACATTTTCATAGAACAGGAGGGAGAAAAGGCCAAAAGGCCCTAATGCTATGGGGAACGGTCTCTGGCCGCGGCTGCCCCCTGCTGCCCACAGCACGTCACACCTGTGCCAGCTTGGCACACTGATGGTGACCATCAACAGGTGGGAGTGGCTAACGTGCCAGGCCAAGGCCACGTTATTCTGGATGGTCGCATTTTCGAACGGCATATGGAAGCTGTCTTCCCTGTTCTTCCGCTTCAGCCATTCCAGCAGTTTACAGCCTCCCTTCAGCCTTTTCAAGCTCTCCTTGTGCTAATTGGCATTTTGGACAAGAATTCTTTGTTGGGGGCGGAGCACAGTCCTGTCCATTGTAGGGTATTCAGCAGCATCCGTGGCCTCTACCAGATGCCAGAATCATCCTCCCGCCCTTCCTCCAGTCCTGTCAACCCCAAGTCTCAAATACTACTAAACGCCACCTGGGGGACGAAAATCTGAGCCTGCAAACCGCTAATGTAAGCAAACCTCTGCAGCCAGGCGCCCAGGCCAGGCCGGAAGCCTAGGGAAGTCCCTGGGCGGGGCAGGTGTTCACGCGCACAGGACTGCCCTCTCCTGGTTGGCTGCGTCCCTGCAGTCCAGAGCCCCAGCAAGGACCTGCTTGCTGCTTTGTAACTAAGGTTTGCTACAGTGTAGCTACTAGGAAGTGTAGCAAAGTTAATGCGCCTAGATCCCTGGATGAGATGGGTCTCCTGGAGGAGAGTGGAAAGGGCATGAACTAGGAAGAACAGGGCTCCCGTCTCAGCTTTGACACCTGTCAGAAGCCACCTGGGCCTCAGTTCTCTCAACGCAAAGATGAAGACAGACAGGAAGAACCCCGGGTCAGTGGCCCAGGCTTGGGCAGGAGTCACACCTCTGCACTGACCACACCTTGGCCCTCACCTGCAGTGCCCAGGCTCAGGAGCACAGCCACCCAGAGCACCCAGAAGAGGAGGAGGATGGCGAATGTCCCCAGTGGCTGGAACAGCAGGAAAGGGCAGCTGCTGATGGCCTTGTTTGTGACCCACAGAAGCTCAACTGCCAGTTTCATTCTCTTTCTCAGGATAAAAATCAGGACCAGTAGAACAGCCTGGTGAGAAAGGAGTTAAATTATTCAAAATGACGAAGAATTGAGAGGGCTTGACACAAACCCTAACCCTTCACTGCATCCCAGCAGAAAGCCCATGAAGACAGTTACTCCCTGCTTTACTGTCATTGAAAATAAATTCTGAAATGTAAACTGAGCCTCTACTGCGTGCTAGTCCCCAGGCCAGGGCTGCCATGGTGACGGTAAACTGCCCCAGGAAGCCTTCATTCAGGCTGGGGAGCAGGAGACAGCGAGAATGAGGTCCTAGCTGGGAAACTGCCTTCCACCCACCCTGCCCACCTACAGCAGGGAGATACTCCCAGAATGCAAAAGGCCTGCAGAGGGCAGGGAACAGGCATGAAAGTGGTCTGACTGTGCTTCAAAGTACCTCCACCTCCTTCTCGTCACCTAGCTCCCTGCATAAGAATGTCCCATTAAAGACAAGAGTCATCCCCCCACCCCACACACACCCTGGCCCAGCCACTGCCTCTCTCTCATCCCCGCCCTGTAGGCTTTTAGGAGCGGACTTGGCTCAGGGACCCAGGCCTGACTTCACTCTTCCAGACGATGAGCTGCCAACCGGACCAGTGCGTTTCAGCCTGCGCCCCTGGGTTGCTGCCCCAATCAAAGCCTTTATCGGCATTCTCCCTGTTTCCTTCACTGCTGCTTGTGGTTGTGGTGAACCAAGTCCAACCCGTCACAGGCAGCTCAGGAGACAGGGTACCTCCCCCCACCCCCCCCACCCCCGCCCCAATGGCCTTGGTAGCTGCTGAGGATCTCTCTGGAATTCAGGCCACCAGGTGAGACTCTCAGGTCTCTGCTGGGCTCCACACGCAGTGAGGGCATCAGGGATGATGAGTGAGCAAGAAGAGATGAGGGTCAGGGGAGGTGACCCCCCTCCTACTTCAGTTCTCTTCTCCTAATGTGCCCCCCCATCATCACTCTAGTGAGGAGGGGGAGGGGCAAGAGAGGGGGAGGGGGAGGAGGGTTGGCCAATGCAGACCAGTGCTGGGGACAGAACCTGGCTCCCTCTCCTCCTTCCCTCTCCTTGTGCAGGTATGAAGGTTCAGAGCTAGTCACCCCAAGATGTGCCTCTGTGCTATGATGATTGTTTTGCACTAAAGGCAACTTGAGCCATGAGCTCAGAAGAAATTTCAGCCCCTCCCATAAACACGTAGAAGAACTGGAATTAGAGGTCTTCTGCTAACAGTGGATCATCATAGGCAACCTCTCAGACCCATCTGTAGGGCAGGGCTTTTTAATCCTCACCCAAGGATATTTTTCCATTTTTGTTCAGATAGAGTGGGAGGATGGAAGGAGGGAGAGAAATGGAGAAAGAGAGAAACATCATGTGAGAGAGACACATCTACTGGCTGCCTCCTGCACAACCCCAACCACGGCCGGGACAAACCACAACCTAGGTACTGCCCTTGGCTGGAATCAAACCTGCGACTCATTGGTCTTTGGGCCGACACTCTAACCACTGAGGAAACTGGCCAGGGCAACACCTGCTCTTTTTATCCTCCTGCAAGGACCCTGAAAAGCCCCGGGGCACCTCACTCATCCCAGCTCGGGAAGTCTTCCTTCCCGGTTCCTCAGCTCTGAACCACTCCGCACCGGCCTCTGACTCCCTCGTGTATGCCAGGCTCCCACACGCACGCATGTGTAAAGTCTGGGCATCTCCTCTAGCTCAGCTGTCTCCTGCCTATTTGATTATTAGACCAGCTGGAAGAGCCCTGACGATGGAGGAAAGTGTTTCTTCCCTGGCAGGTCTGCAGCCCGACGGGGCAAGCAGGGAAGAAGCCACCGGGCAGTGGACTCCTGGGCACCGCTGTCTCCTTGCTACAGCAGCGAGCACTGGGGGGCTCTGGTGGGAGGAGGGACGCCCACACCCCGGCACAAGCCTGCAGCAGTATTCCCACTGGAAAAATGAGAAGAGTCAAGGCCCAGGTCACACAGTGGTGGTGGGTGTGGTCTTGAACTAGGCGGACGTCTGTCATTCCCCTTACCCCGGGACGCGTGCTGTCTGGGTGCGGCCCTGTGTACAGCAGGGCTCAGTGGACAGCACCCCAAACACCACCTGAGGGGTGACCAACTGCCCTCCTCTAGCAACCCCCAGTGTTGGCCTGTTTGCAACCAGGGAGTTCAGGGGGGAGGCGGCAGGTTTTCTGGTCACCATGAGGGCCCTATGGCCAGCAGGTGGGGACAACGAGCTGTCTGCACTCTGGGCAGAGTTGTCCTCACTCACGGGAACCAGGCTGCCTCCCTCTGCCCTGCAGCAGCCACCCGAGGCCCGGGGGCGGGGCAGGGGAATGAGCCTGAAGTCAGCCTAGGGAGATGGCGGATGCTTTTTCCTAGAGTTCGGGGGTTCTGACGTCTCTACGTGGCCATCTCAGTGACACAGACCATGTGTACTCACTGACTGCACAGCCATGGACACACGCTCTGAGGTGGGGGACAAAAATGTTTCCACTGCTTCTGGCTAAAATCGTGATGTGGACTCAGCTCTGGCCACTGCGTGGCCTCTTCCCGGACATGCGTTTCTTACCGTGAGAACCACAGACAGCACAGAGAACCCCAGCAGGCAGATCATGTTGTCCCTTTCTGTGTCCAGTGCTGAGCTGAGGTCGGTGGTGTAGTCATAATACAGCCACCACAGGACACCGCAGACAACTGGAAAGCAAAATGCCACCCTCAGCACCTGCCTCCAGGTGACCACCCCTCACCCTCCACCCGCTGCACGGACCACACACCAGGCTCAGGCACTGGGTCTCAAAGCCCTGGGCTCTCTGAAGGGGCTGGGCAGGACCAGGGCCACCCAGACATCAAGTGGATGCTTGTCTTTGGGAGACCGAGGAGGTGACCCAAGGACACAGGTGTGTCCTGTCAGCCAGCCCACAGGCTGGGCTGAGTGTGAGCAGGGAGAAACTGCAAGAGGATGGTGAGAGGAACAATATGAGAGTCAAAGTCTCAAACTTCCAAATGGGCTCTGCTGGTGATGGGTCCTGCAGGAGCCTGGGCAGAGGCTTTGGCATTGCAAATGCTCTGCACTGAGGTCCTAACTGCCACTACACCACATCCGCAGTCACCAGGAAGGTCACAGTGGTTGCTGCTGATTGCAGGGGAAAGTGTCCCTCACCAGCCCTGGCATGTGTCCTCCAGCAGTGACCCTCTCTGTACCTGGAGCTGAGGGGCGCTGAGTGGCTGAGGGCACAGCAATTATTCCAGGGAAGGGAACTGAGGCTGTACCCGTGACTGGAAACCAAATATCCAAGACCCGTTGGCATGGCTGCTGCCCTGAGCCTTCTTCACACCCTTGCCTCTCGGGCCCCTCCCACAACCCAGCAATGAACAGGGAAGCAGTGGACACAGGAGAGAGCACCCAGGACCCTGCCCAGCTCCGAGCCCAGGGGTGACGCGAGCGCCAAGGAGGAGCCCCTCAGGAGCCCTCTGACAGGCTGGAAGGACTGTTTGTGGACGGGCATGCGGCCCCGAACGGGGAGGCCGTCTCCATCCTGCTTGGGCCTGCGCCTTCCACAGGCAACATGACCCAGTCAGACGAGAAGACCCTCTGAGACCCCACTTAGCTCAAAAAATGGACTTTTAACTTTGATGCTTCATGGAAAGGCTTTTCATTTCATCAAAAAGAAAACCAAGTGGAAATACTTACACAACAACCCCAAAATAACCAGTGCAATCAAAGTGTGAATCAGAAGGCTGGTGACAAATCGGAAGGTGAACATCATGGCCAAAGACAAGGCTGGAAAGAAAGATGACACAAAGTACAGCAACACCCGCCGATGAGGGCGAAGACACCCCTCTCCCAAGAGCGGGCACAGAGACAGGTCAGTCTGCCAAGTCAGCCAGTTTCCAATGTGCCAGCCTTCTTCATGAGTTTAAAAAAATATTTTTAAGCAGGTATTATTCCAAATAGCCAGACTTACTTTTCCTTTTAAGTCCAAATGAACCATTTAACTATTTTTTTTTTAAATCACACATAACTCTTTGGACTTCATACTTGGGCTCATTAAAAGCCCTCACTTTCAGTGTTTTCAAGTATTCCTATTAAACAGAAAAATTACTACCTTGAAAAATTAAAACTTTAAGATTCTAATTATGAGTTGTATGTGTAAAAATCTGCATAGTATTTCCTAGTATTTGGGGTTTTAAGCTTATACACATATTCTAAGTATTTCTGTGAATTTTTTTTTTTTTAATCCTCATCCAAGGTATTTTTCTATTTATCTTCAGATAGAGTTGGAGGGAGAGAGAAACATCGATGTGAGAGGGACACATTGACTGGCTGCCTCCCACATGACCTGACCAGGGCTGGGGACAAACTGCAACTGCCCATAGTGGGAATCGAACCTGTGACTCATTGGTCTGCAGGCCGACGATCTAACCTCTGAGCCAAACCAGCCAGGGCTATTTCAGTGAACTTGCAAATACTATTTTTCTTTTTTTCTAAACAAGAAATCAGGATGACGCAGCTGTTTCGGTGAAGCACAGAGCCCGCGAGCAGACTGGTCTGGGCTGTCTCGGCTCCGCCACCTCCTGCACTGACGTGTGGCCTCGGCGCGTCGCCGCCTCAGCCTCTCTCCCATCGGTGCCACAGGGCTCACTGAGGCTTGCACACTGGCCACCGGGAGTCTGGAAGTTACATGATGACAACTACTTACGCATCTTCAAGCATTCAGGAATTAGTGACCTTTTGGTACTGAAATTATGGAAAACTCCATTTGTAAATGAGAAGAATCGCAGGGCTGGGAGGCAGCCCCTGGGGAAGGGGTAGGTACCGTCCACTACGCCTGTGCACAGCAGACAACCACCTTCTTACAGGGGCTCGTCACGCTGAAACACAGAACATGGGGGGTCAGGAGGTTGATGGGTCACTGATGAGACATGTCCTGGTTCAAGGCCTTGCCCTGCCTACAACCTGAAGCAGGGACGTTCCTTGGAGGAGCGGACACATCAGGCCTTGCCGGCTGACTGTCCCACCTAGAGGCAGGCCTCCCTCCCGGGCTCACCCCTTGGCCCGTGCTCTGGCTTGTCCACAGGGAGAGGGCATGCCAGCTGTACTCTTCACGCCCTTCCAATCTGCTCTGGACCCATCCTCACGAAGAGCTGAGGGCCAGGCACTGACCGTGGCCCCGGGGTGAAGGCGCCCCCACCTGGGGAGGCCTCTCCGCAGAGCCAGCGGCCTTCCTGTTGCTGTGCCTCTCCCTCCTGAACCTGTGGCACTGAAAATCTCCATAAAGGAAATATACAAAGAGAAGCTTTAAATTTCAGTCAAGAGGCTAATTTTCATAGTACAACATACATAAGTGCAAGAAACTCTGGCAATCAATAAATCATCATGGAACAAAATTAAGTGATTACCTAATGCAAGGACACACAGGCCAAAGATTGTGTCTCTTCCTGACAGGACTCCGCTGAGAAGTCGATGGAGGGTGTCGGCATCGTTTATCAGAAGAGATGCAAACAGGGAGTAACACTCTGGCGTTTGAGGGATGCATCGGTTAAACAAGGGGAAAGATTTGCTAAAAATTAAAGGTGGGAAAGAAATGGTAAAGAGGTTTAATTACTTTTTTTTGCTCAAAAAAGATGTTTATTTAAAATTTTCAACAACCAAGAAAACATAAGAGATGCAGTAATAAAAAGGGGGTTAGCACCAGCCTGCAGAGCATCCCTCCGAGGGCCCAGCAATTGCTGCTGCCGTGGCAACAGGTGACTGACACCTCGGGACGGGAATGGCCCTGGGAGGCCCTTGCTGGCATGCAGGCTTAGCCCCTCTTAGACACACGCCACCAGCTCCACACAAGAATCCCATTTCCTGTGTTTAGGTCTAAGATTCATCTCAAATTCATTGTTGTAACACGAGGCCTCACACAGAATGGCCCAGAGTCCTCTCCCGTCTTTCCACTTCGTTCTGCACCATTTGCTGAAAAGACATCTCCCCCATGAAACGACCTTCGCCAAGACCACTGACCGTGGACACAGCTGCACTCTGGGCCCTCTGCCTGACCCGTGTCTGTCTGTCTGTCCTCGCTCTCGCACCAGGCTTCACTGCTGGAACTACACTAAGCCTTGAAGTCAGACGGCGGGGCCCTTGAACTCTGTTCTTCAAGATTTTTTGTGACCCTGGGTCTTTAGCTTGTATGTTTTAGAACAAACTTGTCACTTTCTACAAAATTTATATTGAGAGGATTGTGTTGAATCTATAGAACAATGTAGGGAGAAGCAACAGCTTAATAAGTATTGAAAACGTCCAATTTGTAGGCATGGACACATGAAACAGCCTGATAGCTGGGGCAGGGGGGGGGGCTGAATGAAAGAAAGTGAAGGGATTAGCCAAATAACATATATGCGTACCCCATGGACACAGGCCAGTGTGGTGATAGCCAGAAGGAGGGGAGGCAGGGACGGGGGGAAGGTGGGCAAAGGGGGTGGGGAATGGGGACCTCTGTGATAGTGTCAACAATACTATCAAGACCAGTCTCTTTAAATCTGTTCATGTTTTTATGTACCTCAGAATCTACTAAAGTTTTCTTTCTGTGGTTCTTATACATTTGTTCAATTATTCCTAGGAACTTTTACATTTTATTTATTTTATTTTACTTTATTTTATTTTTTATCCTCACTCGAGGACATTTTTTTGCATTTATCTTCAGATAGAGCAGGAGGGAGAGAGGGAGGGAGAGAGAGAGAGAAATATCAATGTGAGAGAGACACGTCGACCGGCTGCCACCCACATGACCCTCGTGGAGACAAACTGCAGCAGAGGCGTGCACCCCCAGTGGAGACAAACCGCGGCAGAGGCGTGCACCCCCAGTGGAGACAAACCGCGGCAGAGGCGTGCACCCCCAGTGGAGACAAACCGCGGCAGAGGCGTGCACCCCCAGTGGAGACAAACCGCGGCAGAGGCGTGCACCCCCAGTGGAGACAAACCGCGGCAGAGGCGTGCACCCCCAGTGGAGACAAACTGCAGCTGAGGCGTGCACCCCCAGTGGAGACAAACCGCGGCAGAGGCGTGCACCCCCAGTGGAGACAAACCGCGGCAGAGGCGTGCACCCCCAGTGGAGACAAACTGCAGCTGAGGCGTGCACCCCCAGTGGGAACCAGACCTGCGTCTCCCTCACCCGTGGGCTGACGCTCCAACCACTCAGCAACCGGCCAGAGTGGGACTTCTGTGTTTTAGTTTTGTTTTTTTTTCCTTTATATAGAATAGGTCTGTTTTTTGTTTTGTTTTTTAATTCTCACCCAAGGGTATTTTTCTAGTTTTGTTCAGATAGAGTGGGAGGGAGAGAAAGGAAGAGAGAGAAAGAGAGAAACATTGAAGTGAAATGGACACATCGAGTGGCTGCCTCACACAAGGCCCAACCAGGACCAGGGATGAACTGCAACCAAGGTGCGTGTCCTTGACTGAAATCAAACCCGTGTCTCATGGGTCTGTGGGTCGATGCTCTAACTGCTGTGCCAAACCAGCCAGGGCTAAAATGATTCTTTTAAAAATATATATGAATATGAATGTTACAGATTTCAGTATATTAACCTTGTTCCTACCACCTGAATAAATTCCCTTATCATTTGTAGTTTTTCAGTTAATTTTCTAACCACTTGTAAAGTAGTGATTTTACCTTCCACTTTCCAATTTTTAAACCTCTCATTTCTCTTACTTTCTTATTACTAAATAATCTTAACACCATCCGGCCTGTGTGGCTCAGGGGTTGAGGTTTACCCATGCACCAAGAGGTCGCTGGTTCGATTCCCAGTCAGGGCACATGCCCAGGTTTTGGGCCCAATCCCCAGTGGGGGGCATGCAGGAGGCGGCCAATTGATGTTCTCTCTTATCAATGTTTCTCTCTCTCCCTCTCCCTTCCTCTCTCTCTAAAATCAATAGAGGAAAAAAGGTAGTAATAATAATCTTAACACCACTGAATCTGAAAGGTTTCAAAAACAAATGTTTCCTGAACTTTCATTTAGTTTCTGAAAAGTAAGGTCTGTACAGGTTTAATGTCATTTTATGTGTTTTCTCCCAAATACAATTCTCCATAACTTCTTAGCTTTGTCAACATGGCCTGTGAACTATGGTGCTTTTCAGGCATTTGATAACCACGTGCTGGTAAAGGGCCGTCTGGGCCTGAGAGTGGAGAGAGGCATGTCCAGTGTGGGTCACCCTGGTGGGCTGCTGATCAGTTGCCCACTGAGGGCTTCACTGGCTGGGACAGGGCTGTCTTTTGGCTGCAGACTCTGGTTTCTTCCCTGCATCTGCTCTTCTCTCCCCATCAGCAAAGCAGTTAAGCTTGAAGGAAGTGATTTGGAGAGCTGACTGTACTTAGATGACCCTGCTAGAATTCATCCGAGCGAATGGTGTCCCGCCTTGGCACCTGGGGGGAGGCCAGACTAGAATTCATCAGTGGGGAAAACCTAAGCCTCTCAGATTTTAAAAGCACCAGGGACTCAGAACACAGCATGACACTGAGCTCCAGAGGGCAGGGCCTGCTGCAGTCCCCCTGCGCTGCTCTGACAGCCCCTGCCCGGCACGCAAACACTCCTGACATGCAGCCATTGCTCTGAAGGGCCTGGCACACCTTACTGACCGGCCAACCGGGAAGAAACAATGGGTGCAGTCAAAGAGGCATTCAGAAAATGCACTGTGGCCCTACCAGTCACTCTTCTTGGGTTTTCAGGCTTTGTGCCCCTGGCACAGCTCTCCCATGATAAAGACGATCATTTCCCCCTTGAAACAAGCACTTGCTTGTGCAGGAAGAGGAAACAGAGCCCTCCAGGCTAAATCTGTGTCCCGAACTCCATCCAAGAAAGACCAGTCGATCAGCAGCTTGTCTTCACTTTAAAAGTTACTACTGGAAAGGTCTGCATTTAAGGGTGAAAGGGTTCACCTGGCTTAAGAGAGAAAAAGATGGTGATCCTAGGACACATGGTCCCCCCCCCACACACACACACTTCTGCAGGAGCCCAAGGAGGCCATCTGCCAGGCAAAACAAGCTCGACCGAGCCTTGCCCGTCTGCTTTGGGTTACAGAAACAAGCATGGCGCTCCCTGGTCCGAATGCCAGCACCTTCGCTTGCTGCCCGCACTGTCTCTGCATCACCTTTCTCAGCTGTGACGTAGGAACAAAAACAGCACCCACCGCACAGAGGCTATGAGGCCCTCATCAATGAATCCACCTCAAGGGCTTAGAAATGCACCTGCCTGGCAAGTACCAAAAGCTCAGTCAAGGCTCACTGTTACCATCCCCAGTATCAAGACAGGAGCCTCCCCGGGGGTCAGTCGCTGCCCACTTACAGCAGGGGAGAATAAATCCAGCTGTGGTCAGGTTACAACCTTGAAAATCCCTCTCCACTCCTTCTGCAGGAACCGTAAAAACAAGCATTCTTTGAAAAACCCTTCTCAAAAGACAAACGTGCCACGATCCCCTCGCGTGGAATGGAACCCAGTCAGACGCACAGAAGCCGAGAACAGAATGGTGCTGGCAGCACGGTCACCATCATGGGTCCGGTTTCCTGGAAGCACAGCCTGAGGTGGGGACTCTCGTTTAAGCCACTCTGGGGCTGGTGTTCTGGCAGGAAGGGAATGAGGAACACAAGGCTAAAGAATTAAAAGGCTCAGTGAAGGGGGGGTGGTCTCAGCCAGAGAATCACTTCAGCCTGATCCCAAGGGAGCTCTGGGTCACTGTCACTGGCACACTCTAGGGGTGGGGGAGAGGAGGGGTTGTCTCCTGGCTGTTGGCTCCTGTTTGGCCAAGGGCAATTCTCCCAAGAAGGTGGCAGCAGGGGTCAGACCACCAGGGCTAGTGAAGAGCGTCCGGGCAGGACAGCAGCTGCAGACCCGACAACCCAAACCTGCAATGACTGTCCCACAGATGTTATCTGGCTCTCTCCTCCAGATGTTAATTAACAGATATCATGTTCACAGTGAAAACCAACAACCCAATACTACACACTGAGACGCCCATCTCCATTCGCAACTGCCTTTCCTCCACAGCTACCACCACAGAGACTTCACTTACACATCACGTATTCTGTGTCCCTTCTCACAACAGAAGCAACTTCAGAGCATGGGCCTTTGTACATTGTACTTTTTGCTATATTCCCTGCTTTAAAAATCATACCCAGCACGTGGCCCTTACTCCATCAATTGCTTCGAATAAGTGACGTAGTATGATTCTTTCCCCGTGTTGTTACAGAGGAAACCAGAAGGCAGTTATACAGTTTGTTCAAGATCACATAGCTAAAACTAAAAAGCCTACATCCAAACCTTGGCAGTTCGATGCCAGGGCTCAGTATTCTAATCGTCAAGTTGCAAATATATTAAGAAGAGGTATGTGATATTCAAGCAAAACAAAAAACAAAACAAAAACCACTTCTGTGTGAAGGTGTAGAATATTACTACATAAAGAAGCATGCAAACTCTAAGAAAAACACACCAGGAACAATATCTGGTTGCAATAAAAAAGACAATGTCAAGGATTTCTACTTCCTAACAAAAACTTGGAGTAGAAGAAATACACACTAACCACCTTATAGAACCACTCACTCCTTAACAGTTTATATATTATGTTTGCTGGCTCCATTGGAGGCTGTCACCTGAGGACATGTATCTTTATTGTTTGTGGCCTTGTTCAGCCTGGTTCCTAACCCACTGTTCATTCTGCATATTGCAAACAGCCCCTCGGCGTTTGTCCTGGTCTTCTGAAGATCTAGACTCCCTGCAGACAGGGCTCCTCCCACTCCTTTGCCCCTCCCACAATGCCTAAAAGAGTGATGGACATGACCAGGTACCCAATCATGATTGTTGACGGATAAGAGAAAGTATGGAAGTTTTTACCTTGGAGGAACTGGGAGCCTGGGGCACAATGAGTCCGCACTGGGATTCTGGGTGTAGTTGATGGAACTCAGGCTATAGACACACAGGAAAGACCCTGGAAGCAGAAGAAACACAGACTGTAGCATCTTCCCACATGTGCCCATGTTCCCAGGGGAGCCAGTAAAGAAACCAGTCATCTTACAGAACTGTGTGGAGACAGAATAAATCACTCAGATCTAGATGTGGGAGTGACCTAGAGGCATCGAGAAAAACATACCATCTGAGGTCAAGTGAGGCCCTTTCTCTCTCTTTCTAAAGCCCCAAATGCACAACTAAAATGACTGGTACTATCATTACACTATTGATACCAAAACGATGTGAAGGTTATTTTGGACAGGCTCAGTATTTTCATAGGCAGATGAAACTGGTAATAGGTGGCCTCCAGTTTCTTTTTCCTTCCTTTGGATGTTTAACCCCTAGAGCATAAATCTGAACCACGTGCTCAGAGCAAAGTACTTCAGTGACACAAATGTTAGGTCCAGCTTACCACTGCCCCACTGTCCAGTGAAAGGAGCCACACACCCAACATTTCCAGGAAAGAACCTACTTGCTGGCAATTCGACCTGAAGCCTGCAGTACTTTCCTGGACTAAGTGTGCCCACGGAGTCCTCGGAGCCTGCCTGCCTCCAGCCGTCTACTCTACTTCTGTGAAAGAACACTCCCCAGCAGCAAGCCGAGAAAAGCTCAGGTTTCTGGTAGAACCAGATACACCTGAATACAACTGAACAAGCTCAAGAGATTATATTTGTGGTCTTTTCCACACAAGAGGAGGCCCCAACAAGGGACAGTTTCCCCCTCTCCAGAGCAATGTGTGTCAGGCATGCACAGGAGAGCCCACTGTCCCCCCTGGCAGAGCCCGCCCCTCGGTGCCTACCACTGTTGTTGGCAAAGAGCTGGACCTCTTCCAGGGTGTCGAGCTGCTCTTCGGGGCAGCGGGACACGCAGAGGGCAGTGGGGCTGAGCCGCCCATCCCTGATTTCCAGGTGACAGGAATTCATGAAGAACACGTGTCTAGGAGACAGGAGACGGGAGACGGCTGCCGCAGAGCAGTTCTCACTGAGGTTCATTGTGGGTCTTAAAAAATACCCACATGCGCCCCAGCTGGTTTGGCTCAGCACTTAGAGCATTGGACCGTGGACCAGAGAGCCCCACATTCGGTTCCCACTAAGGGCACATACCTCAATTGCAGTTTGCCCCCAGCCCTGGTTGGGGTTGTGTGGATGGCAGCCAGCTGATGTGACTCTCTCACATCGATGTTTCTCTCTCTCTCTCTTCCCCCCTCTCTCTCCCTCCTGCTCTATCTGAAGATAAATGCAAATGTCCTCGGGTAAGGATTAAAAAAGAAAAATACCCACATGCTATCAGATGTGGGCACAACCAAGCAAACTCCCATAATGAACGGCCTCAGCAGAACTTAGCATGTATTATGCCTGCCGCTGGTCCCCTAATGTGTCACACAGCCTGGGAACCATGCTCAACTGTTAACTTCCCTGTACAGAGCTAGCATTCTGTGGGGATAACAGTGGGAGCTGCCCGAGGAAGTCACTGGGGGTGGGGGGGCTAACTGAACCCCACAGACGGCTGGGAAACCAGGGCACACACTGCCCTGTGAAGTCCGCGGAAAGCACTTCTGCCCCAGACAAAACTAGCTGAACCCAGAAACATGGGAGGCCTGTCAGTTTCTAGGTTAGGAAATCATGGCCAGGATGTCTCTCTCTCCCCTCAGGAACTGCTGTCTTTTCTCTCCCTTCCTGTTTCTGAGTTGGAGTTAGAGGGGGCAGTTTGACCCACCCCCCAGTGCCATGGAGGACAGTGTAGACAGGGGAGAGAATGGGACAGTCCCCAGCACTCCCAGGGAGGATTCGGGTATTTCTACATTGAAACAGTGCTGGGGAGGGTGTACACTTGCTAACATACCATTGGCTACAAAACTGATACATTGCGATGGTAATACTAACAACTAACATTCAGTAGCCTCAGCACATGCAGTGTCTCACTGGATCCTTCAAACAACTTTGTGAGGTGGGTATAATAAACCATGTTTAAAAGGACAAAAGCTCAGCTCAGAGAATTAAAGTACTCTGCCCAAGGTCAAGGAGCTGAAAAGTAGGAGCTGAATTTGATCTTAGAGCTGCTGATTCTAGAGCCCATGTCCTTACCGCCACACACACCATCCTTTATGAGATGGACCCAGGGTTTGGGATGGGAAGACCGTTCCAGGCTCAAAATGACTAATTTATACAAAGTTTAAAATGTCGCCCCTCTGTAGTTTGGGAACTTACTTGAACACTTACTTTTTTAGGGTCATGTCCTTCCCTGAAAGAGGGGCCCCTTCCACTGGGGAGTTCTTCTGGCCACACACGTTGCCAAAGCTGTCGTGGCCGAAGAGGAGCCTCCCTTCAGCTCCTGCCACCACGGAGTAGCCCATGATGAACATCTGGGAAAACCCAGATGGCACATGAGCACCTGGCCAAAAGTGCTGGGAAGCAGTCCCACCACCCCTGAATGTTGACATAAATGAAACTGGGTCAAAAGCAAATTGCCCGGCACCACTGTGCTTCCCCCTCCAGCCATAACATGTCAGGACACTGCTGCTCCAATACCCAAGTTCACCAGCAAACCTCAGTTTTATTCTAAGCACCCAGAACTATGCTACTTCTTTCCCTGAGTTTTCACCCATCTGTCCATCCACCCATCCATCCCTCCTTCTGTCCCTCTCCCTTCCTTCTTTTTCCAGGGTTTCCTTTCTTCCCTTCCCTTTTTCCTCCTCCTCTCTCAACCTTTTTCTTTTTGTCTTACAAAAAACTCTGCCTTCAAGGGCTGAGGCAACACAGTGGATATATACCAACATACTGTTCATAATAAGTGTGCTAATGGTGCTTAAAATACATACACAAAAAGAATCTCAGGAATTCTTCAGGACAAGAACATCTTGCACAATTTATAGTCACTTTTTATAAATGAATCAAATGCATGCTCAGTCTAGAATGGGCGATTTCACAAGCATGGCCCATGAAGAAGCCGAGCGAGGCTTTTTCTGCTGTTCCCTACCACTCTAAGATAAGCAGCCTCAAGACTCAGCTTCCGACTTCCGGTCAGGATGGCGGGTAGGTAAACGCAGTATCGCGTCCTCCCACAACCACATCAAAGTTACAACAAAACTACAGAACCACCATCATTCAAAACCATCTGAAATCAAGCTGAATGGAAGTCCTACAACTACGGAATTAAAGCAGCAGCCACATCCAGACTGGTAGGAGGGCGGAGGGGACGGGCTGGGCCCACACCCACATGTGGCGGATAAAAATCAGGAGGCTCCCGCGGCTGGGAAGGTCCTCCCTGAGGACTGAGGGGTCCCCGTCACACACCGGGTGCCCCGCTCAGGGTTCCAGTGCCAGGAAGAGAATCCCCATCACTCTGGCTGGAAAAACCAGCGGGAACTGAGGCTCAGGGAGACTGAGGCGGCTGGAGCCCCAGGCAGCTGCTTAAAGGGCCCGCGCACGGACTTATCGGACTCTCTCCCTCTAAGCTCGGAGGGGAGGCAGCTCGGGGGGCACCAGAGACACACAGGGAAGAACTGAGCTGTTTGGCATTGGAGCGAGGGCTGGAGAGGGGGCTTTCTCCAGGACAAATGTGCTGTCAGAGGCCTTGGTTCCTTTGGTGAGCCCTTCTCTGGGGCAGCAGACAGCCACCACATCTGGGACTCCAGCAACCTGGCTGACACTGGTTGCCCCGCCCTGCTGACTCCCTGAGGCCCCGCCCCACCCAACTTCCATGCCCACCCAAGTTGTTGCCAGTTGCTTAACCATAGGATTGGCCGGTCTTGGATCCTGCTTCAGGTTTTCCTAAATTCTTTCAAACAAGCAGCATCTGGTCTCAGATAGCCCCATACCTCTCGTTAAGTAATACACAGAAACAAACACAGATAGGCAGCCAAAATGAGGAGACAAAGAAACAGGTCCCAAATGAAAGAACAGAACAAAACCCCAAGAAAAGAACTAAGCGAAATGGAGATAAGCAACTTAACAGATGCTGAGTTCAAAATATTGCTTATAAGGATGCTCAATGAACTTAGAACCTCAGTGAACTTAGTGAGGGCCTCAAGAGCATAAAAAAGGACCAGTCAGAAATGATGGATGCACAGTCAGAAAATAAGGAGGCATTAACTGAAATAAAGAATAATTTACACAGCTTCAATAGAAGAGTACATAAATCCAAGAAGCAAACCACTGATTTGGAATATAAGGAAGCAAAAAACGCCCAATTAGAACAGCAAAAAGAAAAAAGAATCCAAAAAAATGAGGATAGTGTAAGGAGACTCAGGGACAACTTCAAGCGTACCAACATTTGCATCTTGGGAGTGCCAGAAGGAGAAGAGAGAGAACAAGAAATTGAAAACCTGTTTGAAACAATAATGACAGAAAACTTCCCTAACTTGGTGAAGGAAACAGACATACAAGTCCAGGAAGCACAGAGAGTCCCAAACAAGATGAATCCCAAGAGGCCCACACCAAGACACATCATCATCAAAATGCAAAAGGTTCAAGACAAAGAGAGAATCTTAAAAGCAGTAAGAGAAAAGCAGCTAGTTACCTACAAGGGAGTTCCCATAAGGCTGTCAGCTGATTTCTCAAAAGAAACTTTGCAGGCCAGAAGGGAGTGGCAGGAAATATTCAGAGTGATGAAAAGTAAGAATCTACAACCAAGATTACTGTATCCTGCAAAGCTGTCATTTAGAATCGATGACCATATAAAGAGTTTCCCAGACAAGAAAAAGTTAAAGGAGTTCATCACCACCAAACTGTTATTATATGAAATGAAGGGTCTTTTTAAAGAAAAAGATAAAATACATGAACAAACAAAATGGCAATGAATACATATGTATCAACAATGGAATCTACAAACAAAATGAACAGGTAGAACAGAAACATTCTCATAGATACAGAGAACATTTTGTTGGTTGCCAGATGGGAGGGGGTTTGGGGAAATGGGTAAAAAAGGTGAAGGGATTAAGAAGTACAAATTAATTGCTAGAATGACAAACCTCAAAAGGAAAGCGGTTGGGGGGTGGGAAGAAATAAACCAAAGAACTTATATGCATAACCAATGGACACAGACAATAGCTGGGAAAAGGCGGGAGGGGGGTGGGAGTGGGGAGGAGGGGGTCAATGGGGGAAAAAATGAAGAACATCTGTAATACATTCAACAATAAAGATTAAAAAAAAAAAAAAAAGATTCAGCTTCCACAGGATTCTCCCAGGACTGGACGGGCACAGCCTGATGAGGACTGCCAGCAATCACATACCTGGAAACTAGAAAAAAACCGGGGGGAAAATGACCACCTGCTAACTAGAGCATGTTTAGCACAGGCCCATTTTCCTTGGCCAATAGTAATTTATCTCCAGGTTCATCTTGGATGTTCCTATTAAAGGGATAGCAAACACTTGAGGAACATTTCATTTGGGGGCTGAGCTGGTAAAAGAACTTCCAGGAAGCGAACTTGGAAGAGAGACCATCCTGGAACTATTAAGCAATCCCTTGCAAAGGGTGCCTCATAGCCTAAGGCGCCTTCGGACAGCTCCAGGTGAGCGAGGCTGGAGGCTGCACCACCTCCCAGAACTCCCCAGGGTGGGTGTTTATTCTGCCCCTCGGCAGGTGCCTCTCATTGCAGCACCAGCTTTCACCCAGTACCCTCTCCCCTGGCTTCCCCAGGAAAGGCCCTAGACAAGCGATTGACATTGGGGCACAGTTATGGGGGGACCCACGCGCTAGTCTCCTCCCGGCCGGGCAGCCACACTCACCAAACCCGTCCAAAAGAGAAAGAACAGGAACAACCACGTTGTGTCTGTGCATTTCCTATAAGTCTGAGGCCTCCACTCTCTTTGCCTGGGGGCTCTCTCTGCAGAAACCTTCCAGAAAAAGAAGGGAGAGTTGAAGAAAGGGGTAGAAATCACCTTATGGATCCCCACCTGGAAACGGAACCCAGACTCGCTGGAAGACTGCTCAGAGTTAACTTTCTTTGTTTTGTACCCTGGTCGAACGGAACTTTCCTGGAGACTGGAAACACCTGCTCCGTGCAGAGCGGATGGGAAGTCCCCAATCGCTAAGTCCCTACCTGGCTGTGCACCTGTAAGCGGCCCCGAGGTCGTGCCCCTACGCAAGCTACTCACTAGCCAGCGCCCCAGCAGGGTGGGGTCCGAGGCCCCCGCCCTGGGTCCTCAGGGCTCGGCGTGCCTAGCAGGGCTTTATCCGCGCCGGTAGGGGCAGGTACGTGCAGGTGGGGCCCGAGCCCCCTGCCCTGGGGTCGGTCCCCCGGGGCCCTCTCCTCCCCCGGGGCAGCACTCACCAGGCTCTCGGCGCCGAGGCACCGCATTCTGCACTCCGGGCGGGTACTGGGGGCCGACTCAGCGCCCGCGGTGGGAGAACCAGCGGCCAAGCGGCGGGCCGGGGCGCAGCGCCCCCAGGCGGCGGCCTCCGAGCGCTGCCCGGTGGGAAGGAGAGGCGCCGCCGCACCCCGCCGCACCCCGCCGCCCGCCGGCACCCCCGGACGCCCGCCTCTCCGACCGCAGCGCGGGTCCCGCACGGCAGTGAGCAGGAAGTAGGAAACCTCGGCCAGTCCGTCCCGCCGGGTGGGCACAGGTGCGGTGCGGCGGATCCTCCGCGAACAGGTGAGCGCTCACCTGTGCCAGAGGCCGTTCTAATTGGATTAATAAACAATCCACAGGGCAGAAAGGATCGTTCTCCCTAATGTGCAGAAAGCGAAACAGGCACGCGGCAGCAGCGACGTCGCTTGCCGGGAGACCGAGCCCGCAAACTGTGGGGCAAGGGGTTGAACGCAGACACTCCAGGAAGCGCTCTCAACGCGGCTCTCTGCTGACACCACTGTGGCCCCTGCAGCGGCGGCCTCCACCCAGACTCTTTCCCACTCCCTCCCGGAGAAACTCGGGTCAATGGAGATACCGCAGGTGCCAGGAAGTACAAAAGAAAAACCTACGGCGTGGAGCGCGGGTTGGGGGTGAGGACTAAAGACGCCTCCAGGTGTGAGTGCGGGAGGTGGGGGCGGGAGGAGATGCAGGGGAGGGAGGTGGGCAGAAAGAATCCGAGGTTCCGCTCTTCTCTCCAGGTTGTCTTGGGACTAGCATCATCTGACTCTACAATTTAAAAGTTGGTGTAATTAAAACAACTGCAGACCGACCGCCTACCCTCACCCACTCTCTCCTCCCCATCTCCACACCCCAGGGTGGCAAGGTGACTGTTTCCCTTCCTCACTGCTTCTCCCGAGGGTAGGAACCTGGCTGGAGGACTATTTATCAGAGTAGCTGAAACGCCAGGGGAGGGTGAATCCACTGGACAAATAACTAGACATCTGAGGAGTACAGCTACTATATAATAAGGCCACACTGAACATCTACATCTGAAACTGAATTATTAAAGCTGATGGACTGGTTTTTAAATAAGCATGATAAACATATTTGAGAACATGAGGGATGACACGAGCAATATGAATCAGGAAAATAGGAAACTGAAATGAATAGAAGTATTAGGCATAAAATGGAATAATCGGAACACATACTCATTGAGGTTATTTATTAATAACATGGGATAAATAGTATAGGTGCAGCTGAAAAGGAATTTGTGATTGGAAGAACAGTATAAACTCTATAGTGGTAGTAGGAAAAGGTTAAAAAAAACAAACTATGGCAGCTTATTTTAAAATTTTGTAATATCGAAGCTAGAACAGAAAGGGAGTAATATAAAAACGAGAATGGGAAATATTTTAGACATACTGGAGATAAATTTGAAGACTGAAAGAAACAAACCTCAGAGGGAAAAGGAAGTCTCAAGCCAAACATATATGTTTCAAATACCTTTATTGTTTTCTTTAAAGAAATTTCCTAAAAATCTGCTGGAGCAATAGACCAACTACCCAACCAGCTCTCATCAGGATAACAGCTCATTGTCAGAACCATAGAACACACTTCTAGGTTATCACGTGGCTATACCCTTTAAGGTTCACTTCAAACCCTCCCCTTGCTGCATCCATCAATCCTTAGGAAAACTTGGCTAATCCAATCAGCCTCCTTGCATCAAAACACCCATCTTGACCCTGGCTGGGTAGGTCAGTTGGAGCGTCATCCCAATAAGCCAAGGTTTCAGGTTCTGTCTCTGGTCAGGGCATATGCAGGAATCAATGAATGAATGCATAAATAAGTAGAACAACAAACCAATGTTTTTCTCTCTCTCCCTCTTTCTCTAAAATAAATTTTTAAAGCATTGGCCTATCCCAAATGGTTATTTAAGAAAAGACCCATCTTATGCCAGACCCTAAAAAACCCCAACTATAATATAAATATATTCCTGAAACACATCAAATGTGTTTATATTAATAAATTCACAGTAATACTAAAGCCTCATTCATTGCCTTTAGAAGATTCTAGGGGGCAAAGTCATTTCTAAAACTGGTAATCAATAAAAGGGCAGAATCAAGCACACATCCTGCCTCTCGCATAGGAACCACACTCCAGGGTAATCACAGAACTAAGGGGGGGTTTCTCTTTATAGTTGCATTGTGACTTAGGGGTGTGGAAGGAACGACAGAATTTAGGGCATCACAGTTCTCCAAGCATCACGAAAAAGGGAAAATCACATAGTAGCCTCCTCCCACACTGCCACCTGTGCAGTAGTCACGCCAGAAAAGTCCTCCTGAATCTGACCACCAAGCTATAAGATATGTAGGAAACAGAGAGGAACAAGTCAAATGACACCAAGGGACGCCCTCTGTAAAACCAAGAGTGGGAAAGTCTTATGCTAATTAATAGAAATAATCGACACAGGAGCCCCAAGGTCAAATCCCGGTTGGCCATCTCGCGTCCTGCAGGTAAACGCGTCCCACTTATCGCGAGCGGCTCCCTCCTTACGTCACAGGTACAGGACGCGAAGGTTCCCAAAGCCCCCTTCCAAGCCTGCGTGGGAAGTGTTGCGCATGCGCGGGGAGTGCGGCGCGTCTGCGCGGTCTGCAGGGCCGTACCTCCGGCGCCCTCGTGCGGTCGCGCAGTGCCACTGACCCGCCTGCGACCGGCATGACGGGCTGGGCGCTCGCGGCTGCCTCCGCCTCGCTGCAGCGCAATGGAGTGTCTGCGGAGCCTGCCGCGGCTCCTGCCGCGCGCGCTGGGGCTGCCCCGGCGCGGCCCGTGTGCTCTGGCCTGGGGCTCGACCCCCGGGTGCGCCGCCGGACTGCTCGGAGGGAGCCGGGCCGCGCCGCCCTGCGGACCCCGCGGGCCCCGCCTGGCAGGTACGCCCCGCCCTCAGCCCAGGGCCCCGGCCCGCGTGCTCTTCGACCCCTGTCCCCCGGGCCCTCGCGACCTCGGGGTCCGCCTGGCCCAGGCCCGACTCCCGGCCTGTCCCCCTCGCCAGCCCAGCTGCTCTGCGGAGGGTTGGTTTTAACGCTGGTGTCTCCTTATTCGTCACGATTGTTGTGGAGTCGAGATCGGGCTAATTCGCCTGAAACGTGTGTATTTGTGTCTGTTCCCTGCGGGCCCGGTTACAGGGGTCCGGGTGATGGGGTGGGGACGCACTTGATAGGGGACTTGGTGGTCAGAGCTGCTCAGAGGTGGAGCCGACTTTGTCTTCGCGTGCAGCCGACAGCGGAGGTCGAGGCCTCCCCCCCCCCCCCCGGGGGGAAGCAGCGGGAGTTCGTGTTTTTTTCACCGACCGGTCAAGCATGACGATACGCTAACGTTTCCACAAACGGGAGGTTGCGTTGCTAATAGCGCTGAGCAACAACCGGATTCAAGTGTCCCGCCTCTCAGTGTTGCACTGTCAGATAAATGTCCTCATGTGAGTTTCCAAAGGAACCCAGCGATCCCACCTCGTCCCCAACTCTCCGAATTGGCTTCTTCCCATACTCCCTCCTTTGATAATGCTCACGAACCCAGGTTCAGCCCACCTAATGTTTTAGGGCAAATGTCGAGATGCAGAGTCATCCAACGTGTGGCTGATGAGCAAATGCTGATGTGTCACGCTGACCTTCACCTCTATTCAGCTGACCCTTAGAGCATAGTTTGTATTTTACAAAGAGGTGACCACAAGCCTCAGGTACTAACCAACTACATGTGTCATGGAATGTATGTAACAGCAAGGAGTAAGATCAGAAATGAGAATGTATCGGCACGTTCTGTGGAGGCAGCAGGATTACTTTGGAAGCATAAAATAATGGGTAATATTTTTACACCTCTGCCCATCCCCCTCACGTTTATTATTTTGAACATTGCTTTTTTGTTAGATACTACACTTACTTGATGATACTTAAGAGCTCACTTTATTTCAATCTAATCACGTGCTTTAAGTTTATTTTCAAATAAAGATTTGTCTTCATTCCAGTTCGCTGAGGTCAGCATTCCAGTTCAGTTGGTTATTTTGTAAGTAGTAACAAAGTATTTTTGTGGAAAAGAAGTTAATACAAAGAAGTAAAGTCTGTAGATTTCATAATTCATAGGTCAAGCAGATAATCCTGATACTGCAATGCTGAAAGGGCAGGGGTACTTGAGGTCTGTTTTGTAAAACACATCTAACAATATAATTTGCATGAGGAGCCTTTTTAAATTATGGGAAAAAAAAGAATGGACACTTCCTTTTCATCTCAGAACACTGTGTTGTACATTTGTTCATCCAACTCTGAGATATTAGAAGGGAAAAGGTTGGAATCCATAATTATTCTACCGCCTCACCTAAGCCAGTTAAAAAACCATTCCCTGTTAAATCTAACATAATCATCTATAAATATTAAAATGCACAAATGAATATTTCTTTTTTCCCCTAGGAAAAAAATAAAAATAATAGCAAAATGGTCTGAAGACCACGTACTAAGAGTTATATCTAAGCTGCACGTGGCAACCAGTCATGACTACAGGGAGTTCTCTGATTCATTCTCCAGGTGAAATGCACCGGCTGAGAACTGATGTCAGTCAGGCCACTTTAGCCAGTGTGGCCCCTGTGTTTACTGTGGTGAGTATGTTTGGGACATTTGATAACTTACAGGAAGAACTCATACTTCCTAGTCTTGTCTTTGTGTTTTGCTTAGCAAGTGAAACTTCACTCATGACTCTGAAGCTCCTCTTTAATACTAACACAGGTCACTGGAATCCCAGCTCAGAGCTTCCTACTTGAGTACAGCCACTGCAGGGTCCGTTCTAGGCTGCTGCAAAAAGCTAGTGTTGCAATAAAGCGAGTCATAATCTTTTGCTGGTGGAGGGTCTTACTTCAGTTTGTAAAAATCACAACATCTGTGAGATGTAATAGCTAAGCACAGTAAAAAGAGGCCTGCCTGTACTCAGGATTTCCCTGTGAATCCATTAAGTCCTTGAAGAGTTTAAGCCACTGAGGGGCTTGACCCTCTCCATGCAACATAACATATGCAGAAGCACTCTGAAGGCAGCACAGTGGAGTATTTAAGAGTGCATGCCCTGGCTGGTTTGGCTTAGTCAGCCCTCGGACCTAAGGGTCTTGGGTTTGATTCCTGGTCAAAGGCATATACCTGGGTCACAGGTTTGATACATGGCCCTAGTCGGGGTCATGCAGGAGACAACCAATAGATGTGTCTCTCACATCGATGTTTCTTCCCCTCCCCCTCCCCCTCTCCCCCTCCCCCTCTCCCCCTTCCCCTCTCCCCCCCTCTCCCTCTCCCCCCTCCCTCTCCACCCCCTCCCTCTCTTCCTCCCTCTCTCTCCCTCTACCCCCACCCCTTCTCTCCCTTGGGTGAGGATTAACAAAACAAAAGAGTGCATGCTTTGAAGGTCATCTCTGCCACTTTCTCTGAAATGGTTCAGGTAAAAAAATGAATAAAATATGAGGGGTGTGTATATTATGTATTTAGAGAGAGAAACAAGGCCATTGGGGCAAAATGTTAACAAAGTGTGACTAGGTGAAAGTTACATGGAAATTTAGTTGTAACATTCTTGCAACTTTTTTGTAGGCTAAATTCAAATCTCAGCCCTGCCTCTTACTATTAACTGAGTAGACTTGGACAAGTAATGATGACATTGTTGTGCCTTAGTTTTCTCATCTGTAAGCTGGGGATAATAGTACCTACTTTATAGAATTGTAAGGTTTAAATTAACCCACATGTGTAAAACCCTTAGAATAGCGTCCCACACGTGGTAAGCATTCAGTATACATTAGACATTATCATCCTCATTGTTACTTAGACTTATTAACATAAGAACTTTTCTTTATAAATTGTATATACATAGAACAGAATAACCCCTAAATTCCATGTAAAAGTTATCACTGTCATTCAGTGTTCTGGAAGAGTCGGCCAATTCAGTTAAACAAGAATACCAAATCAGATGTTAAATATTGAGAGAAGGTTCTTTACAGGTGAAATCATTGTCTACCAAGAACACTTAAGAAAATCAGTCTGTGGCCCTGGCCAGTTTGGCTCAGCGGTTAGAGCGTTGGCCTGCGGTCCGGAGAGACCCGGGTTCGGTTCCCGCTAAGGGCACGTACTTCGGTTGCAGTTTGTCCCCGGCCCTGGTTGGTCGTGCGGGTGGCAGCCACTCGATGTGTCCCTTCATGTCGATGTTTCTCACTCTCTCTCCCTTCCTCTCTCTCCCTCCCATTCTATCTGTACAAAAAATGGAAAAATATCCTTGGGTGAGGATAAAAAAAAAAAAAAAGAAAAGAAAATCAGTCTGTGTGATTTTAGAAAGTGAGCTAATCATCTCACTTTTAATGTGAGTTATTTGGCAAGATAAACACTTTAAGAAATCATAGTTTGTGTGATCCTTTTTTCAAATGAGGAGAATCCCATTAAAAATGCCAGCTCAAGCCCTGGCCGGTTTGGCTCTGCGATTAGAGCGTCCGCCTGCGGTCTAGAGAGACCGAGGTTTGGTTCCCGCTAAGGGCACGTACCTCGGTTGCAGTTGTTCCCCGGCCCTGGTTGGGTCGTGCGGGTGGCAGCCACTCGATGTGTCCCTTTCATGTCGATGTTTCTCTCTCCCCTCCCTCCCTCCCACTCTGTCTGAACAGAAAATGGAAAAATGTCCTCAGGTGAGGATAAAAAAAAATGACAACTAAACATTAGGGTACAAGAATATTCAGTATATTAAGTAGAAAGTAGAGGAGAGACTAGAGAGGAGTGTGTCTAACATGAGTCTCTTTAATAGGAAAAAATCTGGAAGGACAGTCAGTAAAATATTAGCATGGTTTTCTCTAAAATTTGTCATTTCAGGTGATTAGTTTTATTTTACTTATCTTTATTTTCAAATTTTCTGCAGCAGATGAATGTGTTTGTGAAGTGTGTTTGAGGAGGAAAGCTAGTATGTACCGCATAAAACATGAAGCTTCCTTTGATGTAAAGTTCCCTTAACAGTAATGTTTGTGGTGCTCATTGTGTGTTCATATTGATCTAATGTTTGCTGATGAGGATAAGCTGAAATGTATATTGTGGGTTTTATTGTGTTACTGACAAAGCATGCATATGTTTCCATGGTAATAGCCCAAGACTTGTACCTACCACAATATTCAGTGTCTTTCTGAAAATGCATGTTTAATAGTAATTAGTACAACCCAGCACATAGTGATTTGTGAAATATTATTTGACATCTTGCAGTCTTGACCATGGACAAGTATTAAAGAGAAATGTTTCCTCTGCTTTACAGGAGATAAGTGCATTTTCTGCATCTGTCCTCTCTTCAAACTGTCAGAAGAGGCCTTTTCTGTACATATTAATTGATTCAGCAACGCCTATCAGAGACTTCTTAGCCTCCCTAGATACTTGAATCACGAGACACCCACAGCTGGTCCAGTCTATCAGAAGGGCAGTGTCAGGTGGCTCCTCTTCAGAAACCCTTGCGGCTGTCCAGCGGCTCTTCTGGCCCCTGTGACAGCTCAGGTGCAAGGGGGCGATAGTCTCAAAGGTGGGTCTGAGGCCCACCGTGGCTTGGAGCGCCCACCCTATGCCAGTATCTCTTAGAACCATCTGAGGCACATCTGGGCTCCCCAGGGAACATGGCCAGTAATGGGAGCCCCGCTCAGGGAGGGCAGGGCGTGGCTCCCCCGGTGTCCAGTGCAGACCCAACTTGGCACTTATGATTGGCAGTGTTGTGTAGGAACACAACTTTATCACATCTCCAGTCACTGAGAGAGAAAGCTAATCCAGGTCAGATCTGTCCAGCAAAGGAAAAGGGACTTTTTAACCATAACTCATAACTGACTTTACCCTAAAGAAAGGCAGTGTGATCGATACCTGTGTTCTAGTGTTTGTGAGATATTGTAGTACCATGTAGTATGCTATTATAAAGAGCTTACTGATTCGGGAGAAAATGCTATTTTGTTATCTCTTTTCAGACAAAATTTGACAAAGGAGGAAATGTTACTTCTTTTGGTGAGTATTTTTAAGTTTTTTCTAAATCACCTATTTTAATCAGTGCATGAATGAATCTGATGGAAGTTAAGAAATGGCGGTGCTTTGAATGGAGCATCCTTTGCATATGTGCGTGCGTGCAAAAGGGGTCCTTGTTCAGCGTCAGTCCGTCAGTGGGAACTGCAGTCCCTGGTTCGTGTTCTCCCGAGAGGCTGTCCTGGAGGGGCACCCGCGCTCCGCCTGCAGCAAGGGCACAGAACACTCTTCCCTCTGCCTCTTCAGTCTCCTTCCTGCTCTCTCGGTCCTCTGACAGCACAGAGGAGGGTGACAGACGACAGCAGGGCGGGGCGTGGGACGCCGTCAGGTGGAGCTCTGCCGTGGGGCCTCGGAGACCCCTGTTCTCTGCAGTGGCCTGAGCCTGCCTTCACTGTGTCCTCTCCCCCTCCCCTCTCCTGCTGCTGCTGAGGTCGTCGTGGAACACTGCAGGCTTTGCTCGACGACTCCTGCACAAGGTGCGCTGCTCGGCACTGCCGCAGACGTGGTTCCGCGCCAGGTAGAGGTGGCACCGACCAGCATCGTCGCCGGAGCTTTGCTGCCCGTCACACTTTCAGGCAGTGATTTGATTTTCAGGCAGAGAGTTCAGTGTGAGGATTGACTTTTTCTCATTTTGTATCAGTCCAAGAAGAAAGAAATTGAACTTATCTCTTACTGATTTAAAATATTAAAGACGGTAACGTAGTGAGAAAAAGTAGAATGTGTAGTTCTGGCCCTGGCCAGTTTGGCTCAGCAGTTGATTGTTGGCCTGTGGACCAGAGAGTCCTGGGTTCAGTTCCTGCTATGGGCACGTACCACAAAAAAAATAAATAAAAGAAAAGAATGTGTAGTTCTGTGCAGTTCATATTAAAAAATAAAAAGATGACCTGTCTCTAGAACTAGAAATTGATATGAGAAGTTCTAATGATGTATTGCTGTAGTTTTTATATTGGTCCCAAGGAACTTACAATACAGAGAAATTTTGTGAAGTATGGATAAGAGGAGAAAAGACTATTCAAGTTTGACTAGATTTAGCCTGAGTATGTTTTGAGGTAAAAATAGGTATTAAAAAGACTCCTGCTAGCTTTGGTTTCTGGTAATAATACAAAACTGCCTTGACAACGGGGGCTCTGATATAAACATTAAACTCTTCAGCTGATGGGCGGAGCCACTCTTTTCATCGAAAGCATTTCTTTCATAGAAAGGAAGAAAACTGACTTATATCAAGAGCTAGGTCTTCAAGCCAGAGATTTACGGTTTCAGCATTTAATGAGCATCACCACCAGGAACAACAGGATCATCCTGAGGATGGAGGTACAGGCTTCCCTTCCATCTCCCCTCCCCACAGGCCTGCGGACGCCACTGCCTGGCGCCTGGTCAAGGCACAGGTTAACGTGCGTAGACAGACATATTTTAAAGCCTTCCCTTGTTTCCTTTATTCTCTAGTTTCCCCTGATTACCTGAAAGTCTTAATGAATATATAATTTGTTTAATTCCAGTTCTGTTGAGAGTGAGTTCAAGGTATCAAGTCTTATATATATTTTAGGTTTCCTTTTTTTTAAATTTTTCAAAATGTTTTTATTGATTTTTTAGAGAGAGAGAGAGAGAAACATTGGTGTGGGAGAGAACATCTATTGGCCACCTCCTGCATGCCTCCTACTGGGGATGGAGCCTGCAACCCGGGCCATGTGCCCTGACCGGGAATCGAACCAGGACCTCTCAGTCCATGGGACGGCACTCAATCCACTGAGCCACACTAGCCAGACTAGGCTTCCTTCTATTAAAAAAAAAAAAAAAAAAAAAAGACTGGCCCTGGCCGGTTTGGCTCAGCGATTAGAGTATTGGCCAGTGGACCAAAGAGTTACAGGTTCGATTCCCGGTCAAGGGTACATATCTGGGTTGCAGGTTCAGTCCTGGGCCCCAGAAGGGGTCGTCTGGGAGATAACCAATCAACGTGTCTCTTCCACATTGATGTCTCTCCCTCCCTCCCTTTCACTCTCTGTAAAAACTCAATGGAAAAATATCCTCAGGTGAGGATTAACAAAAATAAAAAATAAAAAGCCTGGAATAGTGATTTTGTTTAGGCCTAATCTAAACTTGAGAGTGTTCAAGTCTGTTTTATGGTAGTTATTTTTCCCTACAGCTTGTGTACACATATACATATATCTTTTTTCCCTCTGCAGTATTTGAAAGCTGTGATAACTCCAGAGTGTCTGCTGATACTAGATTATCGTAATTTAAACCTGGAGCGGTGGCTATTCCGGGAACTCCCTTCACAGCTGGCCGGAGAGGGTCAGCTTGTCACGTACCCGCTACCCTTTGAGTTTAGAGCGATAGAGGCGCTCCTGCAGTACAGGGTGAGTCCACTCGGGGCTTCATGAACTTGTTCTGGTTTAACTGCTGAGAGCAGCCCGGCTGGTGTGGCTCGGTGGCTGAACATCGAACCCAGGCACCAAGAGGTCACCGGTTCGATTCCCGGTCAGGGCACATGCCCAGGTTGTGGGCCAATCTTCAGTGGGGGGCGTGCAGGAGGCGGCCTGTCGATGTTCTCTCTCATCGATGTTTCTGTCTCCCTCTGTAAAAAAAATCAGTAGGAACATTTTTACTGCTGTGAGTAGGAAGACAAGTTGGCGATGTTTCCATGGCACTTTCCCGGCTCCCCACACAGAACAGCTCTGAGGGTCCTGTATGGAGAACGCACTAGATTCTTAACTCTGGCCCAGTCCGACAGGTCTGGTCTCCGGCAGAGCACAGTCTGAGTCGTGCTTGACACTCAGCGAAGCACATCGCAGGCTGGCTGTCCTTTCACAGTCTTGATGACTGTGTTCAGGGCTGACCATTCCAAATACTTACCCTAAGTATGATGTAACCGAACGTCAGAAATTTGAAGTGTGTTCCGTTTTCTTCTCTAAGGTAAATTGTGGGTATTTGTAAAAGTGCTTACATGTGATAAATACTGCAGCACCAGTCGTTCTGATACTTTCCAGATTTGCTTAGTACAGTCTTTTGTTTGAGCAGCTAAACGATGCCTCTGTTTGGGACCTACCTTGACATAGGAACTGTGTACACTTCCGATGACTGCTGTTGAAATGATAGCCACTGGGTGTCTGAGGATCCTGTCAGGCCCTGAACAAGGATAGTCACTGTTTTCCTGGCCCCCACAACTCTCTGGTTGTCATTTCTTCCCTGCTAGTCAGTATAGGACTGTGCAGGGAGGGAGGTTTGGGGGCACCGGGTACCCTCTCTTTCATCTGCCTCGCTCTGGAGGAGCAGGGATGGCTGCCTTCCCTGCTCAGGTTAACAGCCCACGGCTCCAACTGCTACCAGCCAGGAGGTGGCGACTAGTTGGAGCAGTTAACAAGCTGGGAGAGAAAAGGAGACAAACGGTGGGCGGGCCGTGCGTGGGCTGAGTGCGAAGAGTGTCTGAGGCCGTCTCTCGTCGGCGTCCCCCTGACCAGTCAGTCCGCGCTGCCCCGCTGGTGTCCTGGCAACTCACGCCTGCCGAGCAGCCACGGTGCCTGTGCGACCTGGACGAGTTTGACTTTACAAGGATTTGCTTTATTTTTTAGTCCAAGTTATGTTTTTATTTTCAGAGAGTTTTTTCCTTGGAAATTTTGAACTGTATTCTGTTTACAAAGAACAGAACTATTGTTTACCAAATGTAAAGTTTGGGTTTTAGCCACTGAAGGGCGGGTTTTCTTTTAATCAATCCCTGATTCCGTTTGTAATGAGTCTCTGTAGGGAAGACTTCTGAGTGTTACATTCCCTCCCAGGTGCACACCTGGTAATGGACATGGCGCATGGTCATCATTCACCCGGGAGGCGGGGCTTGTGGGTCTGGGAAAGGCATCCCGGCAGGGCCAGGCTGTGAATGTCACCCGCTGCCCCAGCTATGACAGATTTCTGTGCTTAATCACAGGACTCGCTAACGCTGAGTACTCTAGAAAGACTGCCCGAGTTCTTACGAATAGTCATGTTATTGTCTAGATCAGCATCCTTCAGGGCAAACTGAACATGTTGGAGCCCCGGATCCTCGACACGCTGGAAGCATTGGTGGATCCCAAACACTCCTCTGTGGACAGAAGCAAACTGCACATCTTACTGCAAAATGGCAGAAGGTAACAGGTGTCCTGCCCTCCGTCCACAGCTCTCTCACCTGCAGGGTGGTGAACTCAGCTCTCTCGGGGGCGGGGGGGAGTGAACTCAGGCACAAGATTAGTGTGATTATTGCTTGTTGGTAAAATACCAGCCGGTCTTTTTTTTTTTTTTTTTTTTTTTTTTAAATCCTCATCCGAGGACATTTTTCCATTTTTTGTACAGACAGAGTAGGAGGGAGAGAGAGGAAGAGAGAGAGGGGGAAACATCGATGTGAAAGGGACACATCGAGTGGCTGCCACCCGCACGACCAACCAGGGCCGGGGACAAACTGCAACCAAGGTACGTGCCCTTAGCGGGAACCGAACCCGGGTCTCTCCGGACCGCTGGCCGACGCTCTAACCGCTGAGCCAAATCGGCCAGGGCAGTCTTTTTTTTTTTTTTTTTTTTTTTTTTTTAATTTTTTCTTTATTGATTTTAGAGAGAGAGGAAGGGAGAGGGGGAGAGATAGAAACATCGATGAGAGAGAACTTCGACTGGCTGCCTCCTGCATGACCCCACTGGGGATTGAACCTACAACCTGGGCATGTGCCCTGACCGGGAATCGAACCGGCAACCTCTTGGTGCAGGGGTCAACGCTCAATCACTGAGCCACACTGGCCAGGCCCAGCCAGTCTTGCTAGTGGTGATGACTTCCTGTTGGCACCTTCAGAGCACCAGAACAGCCTTATGGGCGCTGCGTAAAGGGGCACAGGGTGGTGATGCAGGGAGAGCTGTGTCCGCCTACCTGTGGCTGAGGTGGAGGAATTGGTTCTTAATCTGCATGGTACCCAGCATAGCACTGGCTGCACATCACTGTTCATCAGTATGTGAGGGGTCTGCTCAGCAAGGTGCTGGAGGACGCCGTTCTCGTGGTGATGTGTCTGCAAGTTCATGATGTTGGCCTTTCTGTGCACCTGCTCTTACAGTCTGTCCGAGTTAGAAACAGACATCAAAATGTTCAGAGAGTCGATTCTGGAGATCCTGGACGAGGAGGAGCTGCTGGAGGAGCTCTGTCTCAGCAAGTGGAGCGACCCCGAGGTCTTGTGAGTGACACCCCGCTCTGTTGTCGTCCCTCAGGCAGGGCTCTGTCTTCTCATCAGGTGACTTCACGGAGAGCAGAGCACATGCGTCTCTTGTGAATGTAGAAGTCGTCCTCTTCCTGTGCCCACTCAGGCTCAGTCTTTACTTCTCCGTACTCAGAGTATGTCACTGTTGTCTCTGCAAACAGCGTCAGAAATTCACACAGATGCTTTGTAATGTGCACAGCTTACCCAGTCTGTGCAGATTTCGAAGCATCATCCGTCCCAGTAAGGAAATGTTAAGATAAGAAGGGCTGTGCCACCTAAAAACTCTAGTCAGGGCACTCTCATTGCTCCTGCTCACTTGCAGAGTGGGCTGGTCTGTGCCGGCTGACAGTGCACATCCTCCAGAGCTCTGCCTCCTGGTGGGAGGGGCCGAGACTGTTGGCATCATTGGTTTGAGAGCAGGCGTGTTCGCCTGAGGAAGGAGATGCTCTGTGTGTTCACTTTTAGTCTGGTATTGTTGTACCTGCTTCGTACTCACACACGGCATCAGCAGTCACACGTCCAGGCCTTGCTGTGACTGGCAGTGAAGTGGGGCCTGGGACAGACAGTGAGGCACTAGCCGTGTGGCAGGAGCCTCGGCTTCAGACCTGGGGCACCGCCACTCACAGCCTGCTCCAGGGACGTGACGGGAGGGAGGCGAGTGCTCGCTGGTAGCTGAGTGTTGGCGCTGGTTCGGGAACGCCGGGCACCGCGTGTGTGGCGCTGGTTCGGGAACGCCGGGCACCGCGTGTGTGGCGCTGGTTCGGGAACGCCGGGCACCGCGTGTGTGGCGCTGGTTCGGGAACGCCGGGCACCGCGTGTGTGGCGCTGGTTCGGGAACGCCGGGCACCGCGTGTGTGGCGCTGGTTCGGGAACGCCGGGCACCGCGTGTGGGGCGCTGGTTCGGGAACGCCGGGCACCGCGTGTGTGGCGCTGGTTCGGGAACGCCGGGCACCGCGTGTGTGGCGCTGGTTCGGGAACGCTGGGCACCGCGTGTGTGGCGCTGGTTCGGGCATCCTGGTTACATGGGTTCTTGTGATTGGAGTGAGCAGAGCAGCGCGGGCATTGACCACGCGGAAGAGATGGAGCTGCTGCTGGAGAACTACCACCGGCTGGCGGAGGATCTGTCCCACGCAGCCCGGGAGCTGCGGGCACTGATCGACGACTCCCAGAGCATCATCTTCATCAACTTGGACAGGTGGGCGCTGCAGGTCGGGCAGGGTTTCTGTAGGGGCCGCTTCCGTGAAGCTGCGCAGCGCTGAAGGAAGCCCGCCTGGGCTGTCGGTGCCCCTGGGGCGTGTCCTCCCGGGGCAGGTGGCCCAGGTCTGCCGCGGCCCTGAGTGCACTTGCCATGCATCTCGCTAGCCGCTCGCTGACCTGACTGCTGTCTCCGCAGCCACCGCAACGTCATGATGAGGCTGAGCCTGCAGCTGACCATGGGCACCTTCTCTCTCTCGCTCTTTGGACTCATCGGAGTTGCTTTTGGGATGAATTTGGAGTCTTCCCTTGAAGAGGTGAGAGTAGAATACATTGTTTCAGTAATCTAGGGGTTTACTTTTTCATGTTTTAAGGTCAATTTTTAAAATAGATTTTTAAAAAGAAAATTTTCATGTATATACTGCTCTAGTGAAAGAAAGTACTCTTTCTGAATTGTTCAAAACCAGGCAGTGTTGCTGGGCCCCATGAAAACATAGGGACAGAGACAGCCAGGTTACCTTGTCTCCCAGGTCTCAGGACAGTGTCGCCTGGGCAGTGAGTGGGGCCGTGCAGACAGCCCCCTGGCAGCTGGCACACCTGGGTGGCTGTCATCACAGCTCTGAAAAGGGAGGTAGTTGTTCCTACTTTACAGATGAGAAAAGCAAGGCCCAGAAAACTTCCGTCACTTGCCAAGCGCACAGAGCTAGAGAATAACAGTTGGATTCGAACCCAGAGGCCTGCAGTCCCACTGTGCTCCACACCTTTCCATGGGAAGGTGGCACTGAGCCCTGGAGCCGGGCTCCGAGTGGGCACCCAGCCTGCTCTGGTCCGTCTGTGCCTCTGGCTGCCAACCTGTGCCTGCCACCTCCTCTGTCGTCAGGACACTCGCCTGGGAGAAGGGTCTTCAGAAGCGGCAGATCTGGTGGCCACTCCCCTGCCTAGAGCTGTGCAGCGGCTCGCGAAGCCTCACGGTGAGCTCAGCGGGGCCGTGTGCCTGACGGGAACTCTCTTCCAGGACCACAGGGTGTTCTGGCTGGTCACGGGCATCATGTTCCTGGGCAGCGGCCTGATCTGGAGGCGGCTGCTGTCGTTCCTTGGGCGGCACCTGGAGGCCCCTCTGCCTCCCGTGGTACGAAGGGTGTGGGTCACGGTGTGGGGGCAGGGGTCACAGCCATGGCTCTGGTTTTACAGCCCCGGCCTGAGTGCTCAGGCTTTGGGGCCCTGGGCCTCCTCACTTTCCTGTCTGGCAGTGAGTCAGCCCCTCTGCTCCTCCGTGTCACGGGGACGTGGGCTGGGAGAGCGTGAGTAGAGCACCTGCGAGCGCCAGGCCCGCCCACTGCGCAGGTGGGACTGCTCACGGCGTGGGCACCAGGCGCGGGCACCAGGCGCGCACCCAGACGGCGTGGGTGACTCTGGTGCAAGTTAGTCACAGACCTGAAATGTAGAAAAGCATTGTCGTCAACATGCCCAGCCAGTGTGGGTCAGTGGATGGAGCGTCGGCCATGGACTGAGAGGTCCTGGTTCGATTTCCTGTCAGGACACATGCCTGGGCTTTGGGCTCGATCCCCAGTCAATCGATGTTTCTATCTCTCTCCCTTCTTCTCTCTAAAAAATCAACAAAAACATATTTTGGTAAAAAGCAAAGATAAAATTTACCTACTTTTTCTCACCTGTGTACGAGTAGGTGACACCACAGGGCTGAGACTGAACAGGTTGACATGGGCTGCAGTCCTCCCGGGGGTGACGAGACGTGCAGACTGACACGCCCCTCTCCTGCTCTGTGCAGATGGCCTCTTTACCTAGAAAGACCCTTCACGCAGACAGACGGCTGGACGTGAAGCAGAGCTTCCGGACGGATGGGCTGGGGCCCAGCAGGAGCGTCCTCACCCCGCGGTGAGATGTAGCCTGCTGGTCGGCACAGGCAGCGCTGGTGCTCGACGGACCTGCGGCTGAAGCGCTCGCCAGCAGTCCGGTACGGCGTCTGATGGACGCGCTGCGGCGTCACAGCTCAGAACCTCAGCACATCGCAGAATTCCAAGGACACCACAGTGCTTGCTGTGTCAAAGGCCGAAGTTCTGTTCTCTGCAACTCTTATAGACGTGAGACATGGAGGGATTAATTTAACAATAGATAATTGAATGTATTTTATGTTATACATATTGAGAAGGGTACAGTGTCGGGCCCAGTACAGCCAGGAAGCAGGACAGACCCTGTCACGAGCTCAGGCAGCCGAAGATCTCAGACAGGGACTCTGGTCCTCGTGACTGTTCTCACTCAGTGAGTGAGAAGCCAGCAAAACACACATTAGCCTTAAAATCCGGAAGCGTGGGCTTTGACCCCGTCTCCAACAGAGTCTTATTTTCTTACATCCATCTCTGTGCAGGTGAGTAAAAAGGCCATGGTCATTTAATATCAGCTTTATGTGGGTTCCAGTTAATCGAGATGTCACTTTTTTGATCCTTGAAACTAGCTTTCTTTGCTTGTTATAATTAAGGCCCTTGAAGGAACGAGTGTCATCTGTTACAGGTTATAGCTGCACTGGTTGTGCCCTAGTCTTTGTTGGAGGTGTCCCCTCTCCCCTGCCCCCTTCCCGGCAGGAGGGTAAGAACATGGTTCCAAGATCCCTTGTTTCCACACCAAAGTTCTGCGGTCAGAACAGTGAGTCTCAAGGCTGCTGTCCTCGACACCAGAACTTCTTCATGGTTCTGGAGGCTAATGGCAGTTGTCCTTGCCCCCAAGATGGGTGGGGAGGCCTGGAGCAGCCTGTGGCCATGGTGGACAGTCGTCACAGAGGCACACGCACACCCCTGTGCCATGGGCATCCGACCCCAGAAGACGGAGTCAGAGGAGACTCGGCCTGTTGAGTGGTCTGGTGATAGGAATGAAAATGCTGTTTCCTGCACTCGCTGGGCTGGGGCCCAGGGCAGCTCCTGGGGGCAGGAGCTCGCTCTGTGCTGTGCTGAGAGCACTGTCCGGCCTCGCAATCTGGTGGACAGACTTCAATCTCACAGGGCTCTCAGCTGCTAGTCTTGGTCTTATTATTGTAAAACAAGTAATACTACTTAGCTGTGACAAAGAATTGGTTGCCCAGAGAGCAGAATTTGGTTTGACTGTGATCATAGAATGGATTTGGTCTTTTCTTCTTCTGGTGTCAGCTTGTTTTTGGATCATTGTTTTCATGAGTCACGTCTTGTCGATAAGGGGAATAATGTACCTGCCTCACAAGGCTGGTGAGGGCTGGGATGTGCAGGGGCGAGCGGGTCTCACACGTCGGCGAGCCCGACTTGGTGGAGTGAGGTGCTCCTTACATGGAGGTTCTCTTAAACCCTTACAGAGCCTGTGCCAGAAATAGACCGAGTTCGGAGGTTTTAAATTTTGAATTAAAATAGACTGAGCACAGGGAAGGGGTGGATGAGATAAACCAAAGAACTTATATACACGTATGCATAATCAATGGACACAGACAACAATGCTGTGGGGGGGGGAGGGGTCTGAATTGGGAGGAGGGTGTCTGGGTGGGGGAGAAACATCTGTAACAAAAATAAATTAATAAAAACTACAACATAAAAAGAGCAAAAATGAAAAAATAAAAAAATAGACTGAACACAAACGAGTCTTTAAAAGCAGAAGGTAGACCAGATGCTCGATTGCGTGTGGCACGAGCAGCCTGTCTATGCAGCCTGTACAGGTCCAGGGCCCAGCAGACTCCCGCTGCCCTGGCGGGCAGGCCTCAGAGCGAGCCTCACACGGGTGCTGCCGGACGGACCATGCTGCTCCCGCAGACTGTGCACTGCTGCCCAGAACCACTGAGGGGCAGTGTGGGTGGGTTCCTGAAGAGTCGTGCAAGCGTTCTTTGGAATTGCAGTGTCAACCCACTGGAAGTTCAGGGTTCACTTGAGAACACCTGTGCCGGTGGTCTAGTGGGTGGAGCCTGGAGCAGGGCTGAGCTCGCCCAAACCCTCAGGGTCGGTTAGCCTGGAAGAAAGTTGTTACATAGACAGAAACTGCAAATATATGTAAATGTGTTCTGATATCTTGAAATAAAGGCAGTTTTGAGTTAAATGTATAAGTTCAGACTTGTATTAGTGAGAAATTAAAACTCTAGAAGGTATTTCCATTCAGAATCTGCTTAGAACTAGTTACTACTTCAGGAATGAAAATTCAGTCCATCTGTTGGGCAGTACCCAGGTTTTACTCAGGTCATATAGGTTAACTTTTAACAATGGGAGGACAGTTTACATTGCTTAATGTGTGGTTAGTACAGTAAATACAAAATCCTACATGAAGAACTTGCTTTCAGCTTTTTTTTTTTTTTTTTAATCCCCACCTAAGACATACTTATTGAGGGAGGGGGGACATTGATCAGTTGCCTGGGTCTGTGCCCTGACCGGGGGTGGAACCTGCAGCCTTCTGGTGTGTGGGACGCCACGCCACCTGAGCCACCTGAGCCACGCCACCTGAGCCATCCCCCCGGGCCAGCTTATACTGTTAACCTTCCCCACCTGGTCCTTGCCGTCGGCTTTGTCAGTCACTGGAGGACAGTGACAGGCCGTCATTTATCGAGGCATTAGCACAGCTACTTGACAGCAGGCGGCAGCCGCACCGAGTCTCCTCCCAGGAGCAGACCTGCACGCCAGGAGTTTCTTCCGCATGCAGACCCGCCTCCTGGGTGCAAACAGCCAGGTGGCTACCAGTTCCTACAGGCAGACTTCCTCTTTGTCTTTTTTAATCCTCACCTGAGGATATTTTTCCATTGACTTTCAGGTAGAGTGGGAAAGAGGGAAGGAGAAAGAGGGAGAGAGAGAAACATCGATGTGAGAGGGGCACATTCACTGGTTGCCTCCCGCACGACCCCAACCAGAGACAGGAATGAACTGCAACCGAGGTACATGCCCTTGACCGGAATCGAAGCGGAGGCTCTGGTCCGAGGGCCGATGCTCTAACCTCTGAGCAACACTGGCCAGGGCCAGCGGGCTTCCTTTTAGGTAATGGTCCTCCGGATGGGCGGAGCTGTGAAGAACCGAGTCTCCTGGGGAGCCGGCAGCTGAGTGCCATTCTCGCCGTCGGCTGGCTTCGTGGGCAGATGAGATGCCTGCACACGTCTGCTGTGGTCCAGCTGGAACCCTGGTGCGGTCCTCGCCCTGGATGGGCCCGTGCTGGTGACAGCCACTCCACCAAGCCACTTGTGGGAGGCCTGGGCCCCTACAGTGGCCCTGGGCGCAGGCCAGACGGCTCTGTCAGCACAGCTGGACCTCCTAGGGGACTGGGAGCCAGTGGAGGGACCCAGGTCCGTCACCTGTCAGAGCAGTGGCCTGAGCTGGGCCAGGGGCAGTAAGTTCAGTTCTACACTTGCCCTCACTATACAGACCACGGACGTGTTGTAGATCAAAACAGACCAGACTCAGATCCGAACTGGGTTCAAATGAAGAGAGCTGTATTAGCCATTTGGCGACTGTCCCATCCTACGCAGAGAGAGCAGCCCCGAGCTCGGGGAGGGTTGCTTATATAGTTGCTTTAGCCCCTGTTAATAAATTGGGCTAAGGGTCTGCAAGCAAGCAGTACAGAGCGGATGTCTGCGGTCAGCCATGTGTCTGAGGGTGAGCAGTTCTGTTGCACAGTGTAGTGTCAGCTCCGGCTGCTGCTGTCTCCTCCCTCCCGCCTAGTTCCTGTGATGCTCTGAGGGTCCAGGGCAAGGTCTGCCGAGTGGACATTTTTAACTACAAGTTTTCCCAGTACTTTAGCTGTATTGCCCTTTTGTTTTATTGCCCTATTGTCTATCCTTCACATTCTCCACTGGTCTTGGGGCTAATTCAATTCCTGAATCTAGATAAGTGTCTTCATCTCCTCTGCTGTGGCTGGTCTCTGGTAAGGAGTGCTCAGGACTGTGAGCTTAACCGTCTGTATTTTTTCCCTGATAAATCGCATTAAGCGATTGATCAGGGTTGGGCCCCAGGTTAACATTAACAAGAGGAGAATTAAGGGGCCCGAAAGGGCAGTGAGCCATGGGGACCAGCCGAATAAGTCCTCACACCAGTTCTTGGAGGCTGGGGCTGAGGCTGACTGAGCTTTTTCTCGTTCACTCAGCCGCTTTCTGACCAGGCTTACGCTTTCCCTAACACCAGAGTGGTTAGCATGAAAGCAGCAGGTTTCTCCTAACCGAGAAGAAATAAACCTGTGGAATAATGTCAGCAAGAATACATAAGTCTTTGGTTTCCACGGGAAAGATGCAGGGAGTCAGTCCTGAGGCGCAAGCAAACCAAGTCCCGGGGGGATGCAGTTAGGATCCAAGTCTCTTGTGATGAGGGGCTTAATGGGGTTAGGGTGGTAGTGTCCCCCCATGAGTCCGCATAAGGGGAAAAGCTTAGTTCGTAGTTGCCGATGATGAAGCATGTCCCCTGTCCTTGTAGGTCTCCGAGGGTCAGGTGGGCCGTACCTTCATAGCAGTGGCCGCCCTTGGGTGCATCTAAATTGGGTAGGTGCCTTACTGGTGATCAGTCAGGAAAGAGACTGGGAGGAAACCCTGGGGAGCTTTATCTTCAGGGGACCCTCGGTCCGCTGGAAGGCCCATTGTTCAGGTATTTGCTCAGGGTGTGCTTTCTTTACCTGAGTGTGGTGAATCCAAAGTTTCCATCCTGCTGCCTTCAGAGCGGTGGGCGTAGTCAGGATAACAGGAGAAGGGCCAGTCCAGCGAGGCTCGAGGGAAGCAGGCTGATGTTTCTTGACCCAGACCCGGTCACCAGGGGTGAAGTCGTGCGGTGGTATCTGGGGTGTCCCCGGTTGGGGTCTGGTGTCCTTGATTGGCTGTCAGGTCTGTTCTCTCAGCCTCTGGATTGCCTGCAAAGAGCTGAGGAGGTTATGGTTACCTAGGTTGGCTAAGACCTCGTCCCCGATTTTGGGTAGAATAGGGGGAGGTTGGCTAAACATGATTTCAAATGGGGTGAAACCCTTAAGATAAGGGGGTACAGCACACATGAAGGAAGGCAAAAGGAAGGAGCCTTACCCAGTTGTCGCCTGTCTCAAGGTGGAGCTTAGTTAAAGTTTCCTTTAGTGTCCTGTTCATTCTCTCTACCTGTCCTGGACTCAGGCCTGTAGACATAATGCAATTTCCAGGTAATCCCTAAAGCTTTAGCTAACAATTCTGTGGTTTGAGCAATGAATGCCGGGCCATTGTCAGACCCCAGAGCTAGAGGGAGGCCAAATCGGGGGACTATCTCAGAGAGCAGTGACCGGGCTGCCCTGGTTGCAGTTTCAGTCGTGGTAGGAAAAGCCTCAGTCCAGCCGGAGTAGGCATCTATGAAAACAAGCAGATATTTATAGCCGTATTGGCCAGGGGTGACCTCAGTAAAGTCAATTCCCAGTGGTCACCAGGAGCTGTGCCTCGTTCTTGGGTCCCAAGGTCTGTTGTTTCCCGAGGGTGAGAGTTGACTTGGTCACAGGCAGGGCATCTCCTTATTTCAGATTCTATCCATCTGTTGAGGTTTGGGACATAAAAGTCCCGGGCTATGGGACTGGAGAGTTTAGTCTTGCCCAGGCGGGTGCCCTGATGCAGCTGAGAGATCAGCTCTCGGCCCAGGGCCGCAGGCAAGAGGATCCTCCCGTCGGGGAGAAGCCTCCAGCCGCGCGGCCCCTGGTTGAAGTTGAGCCTCCGTCCAAGTTCTTCCTCCTGTTGGGTACAGGAGGGCTCCTTGGGGAGGCTTTTCCCCGGAAGGACTGGAAGGATCTCTAGTGGCCCCACTGGTCTTAGGGCAGCCTCCTTGGCTGCCTGATCGGCAAAGGCGTCCCCCTTAGCTTCAGGGGTGTCGGAGTTCTGGTGGCCCCGGCAGTGGATAATGGCCACTCTTGTTGGTAGCCAAATGGCCTCTAGGAGGGCAAGAATTTCTTCTTTATTTTTGATGTTTCCCTCCTGAGGTTAGGAGTCCCCTTTCTTGGTAGAGGGCCCTGTGGACATGGGCTGTGGCGAAGGCATAGCGGCTGTCAGTGTAGATGTTCACTGACTTGCCTTTCGCCCATCTTCAAGCCTGAGTGGGAGCAACTAGTTCAGCCCTGAGCTGAAGTCCCGTGCCCTAGTGCTGGGCCCAGATGACCTTGTCTTGTGTGACTACCACTGCTCCGGCATATCGGACTCCTTCCCGGATGTAGCTGCTCCCATCTGTATAGAGCAGGCTCTGGAGTTGGGAGAGGGTTGTCAGCTAGGTCAGACCTCAGGTTAGTTAGAGTCTCAGGAATGTCTGAGCAGTCATGAAGGGAGCCTGAGGGTCATCGTCAGGCAGCAGGGCGGCCGGGTTGAGGGCAGAGGCCTTCAGGATCTGGATTCGGGAGGAGTCTAGGAGGAGTACCTGGTATTGGGTGATCCGGGCGTTAGACATCTACCGGTCCGGAGGGCTCCTGAGGAGAGCCTCAACAGAGTGTGCCCCAATGACCTGGAGGTCTTGCCCTAGGGTTGCTTGGATGCTTCTTTAACTAAAAGAGCAGTAGCTGCTGTGGCCCGCAGGCAGCCGGGCCAGCCTCTTAGATAAGTAGGCAACTGGTCTCTTCCAGGGCCCTCATGATTGGGGTAGAACCCCTTTGGCTATGCCTCGAGTCTCAGAGAGGAAGAGCTGAAAGGGCTCAGTGATATCAGGCAGAGCTAGAGCCTGTGCAGACACTGAGGCCATTTTTAGTTTCTCACAGGCTGTTGTTCTATCTCAGTCCAGATGAAGGCATTGTCCTTTCCCCCTGTGCTGGTACAGAGAGGCTTAGCGATCTCGGCAAAGCTAGGGATCCAGAGGCGGCAGTACCCTACAGCCCCAAGAAATTCCCGTACCTGTCTCTTGGTCGTGGGGGTAGGGATTTTCATGACCGCCTCTATCCTGCTATTGGAGAGCGACTGATTTCCTTCTTTGAGTTCATAACCTAGGTAGGCCGCGGTGGTGGTGCATAATTGAGCTTCCTTGGCTGAGACCCGGTACCCTAGGTGTTCTAGCTCTAGTAGGAGTGCCTTCGAGCCTCCTCACATTCAGGAAGAGAAGCGGCTGCTAGAAGCAAATCCTCTACATACTGTAGCAGGGTGACGTGTCGGTACCTTTCCCGGAACAGTTGGAGGTCCTTGCTCAAGGCCTCATCGAGGATGGTGGGAGAGTTCTTGAATCCTTGAGGCAGTCGGGTCCAGGTCAGTTGTCCTGAGAATCCCCTTCCGGATCAGCCCATTCGAAGGCGAAGATGGGTTGGCTGAGAGGCGATAAGGGAATTGGAAAGAAGGCGTCCTTGAGGTCAGTAAACACGGCTGGGAGGGATCAGGCTCAGAAGCGTGTCAGGGTTTGGAACCGTGGGGTGGATGGTTTCCACCCGAGTGTTTACTTCCCTTAAATCTTGGACCAGCCTAAAATCCTCAGCCCCAGGCTTCTTAACCGGCAAGAGGGGAGTGTTCCAGGCCGACTGGCAAGGCTTTAAAATGTCAGCTTCTCTGAGTCTATTAATATGCGCAGTTATTCCTAGCTTGGCCTTTATGGAGATCGAGCATTGGCGGACCCGAATGGGGAGGCATTGCTGCTTAGTTGTACTATAACTGGAGCCTGATGCTTAGCTAGGCCAGGGGGTTAGTCTCTGCCCAAACCCCTGGTATTTCCTTTTACCACTTTTCAAGGACAGCATTCGAGGTTTCTTTAGAAGGCTCCTCTAGTAGGAGGTATTCCTCAGATAGGGGCACAGAGAGCAGGAGAGAGACCACCTGTTCCCCCAGGGTCAGGGTGGGGCCCCCCTGCTCGAAGCAGATGGTGACCTGCAGTTTCTGGAAGAGATCTGGTGGCCAAGGAGGGGGGTAGGGACCGTCCGGCATGACTAGGGAGCAATGAGTGACAGTTCCTCTGCCCACGTCAGTTATCCTCGCTGCAGTCCAAGGGTGGGATTGGACGTCCCTGTCGCCCCTACAACTGGCGTTTTCTCAGATGAGAGTGGCCCTGTGGTCTCCTTTAGAACAGAAAAGGTGGCTCCAATATCAACTAGAAATTCAACAGGACGGCCCCCAACTTGTGATGTTACCTTGGGCTCCCGGGGGCCTAATCTGTAGGAGCCCCGCCCCCCTCATTCAGTGTCTGAGGAGGACGAGGTCCTTGGGTTCCTGTTGGGCCCCCTCTTAGGGCAGTCTTTCTTCCAATGGCCATATTCTTGCAGTAGGCACACTGGTTGGGGTCAGGAGGTGGCCGAGGTTTCCGTGGGCTTGTCCTGTGTTTTTAGGCCTATTTCCCGTTGTTCTTTCCGATTCTCCTGAAGAGGCTATGACTACCTTTGTGACTCTTTTGATATTAGCCGTTTCTGGGTCATCTCTGGTGTTAAATACTCTCTGCGCCACTTCAACTAACTCACTAAGATTCTTTCCTTCAAAACCCTCTAATTTCTGGAGTTTCTCCCTAATGTCTGGGGCCGACGGGGTGACAAAGGCAATATTAGTTGTCCGTCTATTCTCAGGGGCCTCCGGGTCTGTGGGCGTAAAGAGGCGATAAGCCTCCATGAGACGCTCAAGAAAGGCCGCTGGGGAGTCCCCTGCGGTGTGAGCAGTCTCGCTTACCTTAGACAGAGTAGTTGGCTTTTTGGCAGCTCCACGGAGGCCCTGGAGTAGACATCGGCGATACTGGGTTAAAGCTTCCTTACCTTGATCAGTGTTCAGGTCCCATTTGGGTCAGAGGGTAGGGAGGTGGGCCTCTAGTTGGGTCAGATTCGTGAGGGGTTGGTCATCTGGCCCAAGTACAAATTTCACTGCCTCTCTGTGGACCCTGTCCCTTCCTTGGAGGTGAACAGGACCTGCAACAATTGCTGACAGTCATCCCAAGTGGGCTGATGGGTGAGGAAGACTGTCTCTAGGAGACAGATTAAACCTTGGGGTGTATCAGAGAAGGAGGGGTTCTATTGTTTCCAATTATACAGATTGCTAGTCGAGAAGGGGACACAGACCATGAAGGGCTGATTCTGGTCTTCGCTCGGTGGTGGAGCAACCTGACGGAGGGCAGCCGAGGAGTCCGGCGCCCGCGGGGGAGGGTTAGAAGGGGCACCGCCACGTGTATGGGGAGGACTGAGCGGCTGAGGGGCTTCAGCCTCTCCGGCAACGGCGGCAGCGGGTGGTGGAGACCAATAAGGGGGTGGCCCCACAGGGTCAGTGAGGGGGTCTTCTGGGGGACCTGGAAGAACAGGGTAAAGCCTTTGGGAGGGAGCAGGAGCCGAGGGCTTCTGAGGCTTCTGCGGAGGCTGGGCAATTACAATCTTCTCCCTATTAGGGCACGAACATTTCTTAATATAATTAGGCTTGTCAGTAGCTATGTCAATCCAAACATCGATGTAAGCAGTTTGGTCTGGGTTTCCGGGAGTTCCATAGATGATGCCCCAAACTGCAAACAATAGCCTAAATAGAAAGTGCCCTGAGAGGGCCAGCCGACCCAGAAAGTGGGCCACTCCAATTCGCACAGAGTGCGCGGGGATCCAGGGCCCACTGTGACGTCGTGACCTGAGGCGCGCTTGGAGAAGTCTGAGAAGTTATCAAGAAGGCTTTGCCCTGGCCGGTTTGGCTCAGCGGTTAGAGCATCCGCCTGCGGTCCGGAGAGACCCGGGTTCGGTTCCCGCTAAGGGCATGTACCTCGGTTGCAGTTTGTCCCCGGCCCTGGTTGGTCGTGCGGGTGGCAGCCACTCGATGTGTCCCTTCACATCGATGTTTCCCTCTCTCTCTCTCTCCCTCCCACTCTATCTGTACAAAAAATGGAAAAATGTCCTCGGGTGAGGATAAAAAAAAAAAGAAGGCTTTGAAGAGGGGTCTTAGGTCCTGAAGGTCCCTGACCCATTTTGAAGGGCAAAGGCCGGCACAACACAGAAACACAAAGCTCAAAAGAACAAACACATAAAACAGACAAAGAGGTTGCCAGATAACCCGAACCGGGGCCAAGAGCAAGGTCTAGCTTCAGCCCAGGGGCGGCATCTATGTGCTGCATACAGCAGATCTACTTCCCCTCACTCTGCAGAGTTTTGAAACAGACTTACTGAGGGACGTCCCGTCTGCTGAACCGAACCTGGGCCCAGGGTTTCCAGATGCTCTCTAGATGGAATTTGGAGTGGAGACAATTCCAGGGCAGAATGGCGTCCGGGGCGGAGGAACGTCTCTCCGAGGCCTTCCCCTAGACCACCCGTCCGCTCCTGGGATGGACCTGTCTCCCGGGGTTTGAGGAGGTCAACCCGCCGAAGTGGGGGACCTCGTTTGTCTATCTCGCTGGGGCCTCCAAATGTTGTAGACCAACGAGACAGACCAGACTCCGCACTGGGTTCAAATGAAGAGAGCTTTATTAGCTGCACGGATACTGTCCCATCCTACTCAGAGGAGAGAGCAGCCCCGAGCTCGGGGAGGGATACTTACATAGTTGTCTTAGCCTGTTAAGAAATTGGGCTAAGGGTCTGCAAGCAAGCAGTACAGAGCGGATCTCTGCGGTCAGCCATGTGTCTGAGGGTGAGCAGTTCTGTTGCACAGTGTAGTGTCAGCTCCGGCTGCTGCCGTCTCCTCCCTCCCGCCTAGTTCCTGTGATGCTCTGAGGGTCCAGGGCAAGGTCTGCCGAGTGGACATTTTAACTACAAGCTTTCCCAGTACTTTAGCTGCATGTGCTTTATGTTTTATTGCCCTGTTGTCTGTCCTTCACATACTGTGCTTGCTGTTCCACTCTGATGGGGCCCAGCCACCCGTTTCCAAGAGGAATCGTTGGGGGGAAGAGTGTACAGAGATTTCCCAAGAGAACCACAGAGGCCTTCCAGGCACCAGAGCCCGCAGTCTGCTCGGCGGCCTGAGCGCAGGCGGGAGCTGGGAGGGAAGGCCAGATGCCGGGCAAGAAGGAGGTCGGCCTCTGGACATGAGTGCGCAGAGCCTGTGCCATGTCCCGGGCGTGGTGGCACCTGCTGTGTCGCTTCCAGAGTCTGGCCAGAGTGTGTCCTCACTCCCAGGAGCCTCGCCTCCTCCAGCAGGGCCCACAGGGTCTCCGGATGGGCGAGCACGTGGGCGGGGCTTTAGTCTGGGCCCAGGCTGTAGAGATGAAGCGCCCCAGAGAGCCGGGCTCCCAGAGAGCTCCTTCCAGCAGCCACGACCACTTGGTTCTGTGGGAGACAGAGCCCATTAGTCATAAGGGGCCCCTGGGGACAAACATGAGTGAGATGCTGCCACAGCTCAGCGCCTAGGGCAGGGACCGTGGTCACCTTGCCCTCTGGTGCCCATCGCAACCCTCACACCCTGGTCCGTGCCCGCCCTGCCCAAGCCCCACCCGAGGCTTCAGGACACAGCCACCTCGCCCCACTGCTCCCCGCCACGGAAGGGGAGGGCCGAGTCACACCCATCCTCGGTCCAACAGCCCTGAGCACCCAGGTGTCCCGGCCTCCGGGCGGTGCTGGAGGGACGGGCCTGTGGGGTTGTGCAGAGTGTTGATTAGGACACCACTCAGCTGGGGAAGTCATAGTGGGCAGGTGGGTAATTTTTATAAAATACAGGGGTTTTTGATATGTCTAATTTTTTGAAAATGAGTAAAATTTTAAATGTAAGCAAAGCTTATGACAAAGTAGTCCTCTGACCAGAGCTTTTGAGAATCCTCCCATAAACAAGGACCTATGTCTGGTAGTGGACCCTACATTTTTGTTATTGGGCAGGCTCAGGTTAAGTGGGTCAAGGCCGCAACGCATGCACTCGCCACCAGGGGGCGAACAGCCAGCTCTCATGACCGGTGCAACTCTGTGCATCATCCTATCTTCCCTCCAGAGCTCTTTGTGCATCATCCTAGCTTCCCTCCAGAGCATGACCTCTGTCTGCCCTCTACGTTCACACCTAGCACAGCTTGGGACCACATCCTGCCCCCAAACAAACTTGCAGTCTGTGGTTGAGGGGGGTCCTGTCTAACCCTCTTGTCTCTGTGTCTGCTGATGTTGACGGTGCGCACACCCCCTGACCCAGCAGCGTTCTAAGGCTCTCACCCACAGGGATGTCACACAGCCCTACAGAGACACAGATGCAGAATGCTCACTACCGTGCCGAGTGTGACAGTGAAAAGCGGGGTAGGGAGTGAATGCCGATGGGAGTGTGACCAAGGAGTAAGATGGTGTCTAGACAAACACTGCCCCACTAACAAGAGCCCCAAGCTGTGCGCACCTGCGGGGGGAGGAGCAGCAGCGAGGACACTCGGTGAGGCAGGGACGAAGTGTGTGTTTATCTGTCCCCCATCACGCAGGCCTCCCACCAGGGGAGCAAACCCTCAGGGCTCGAGCAGTCTGGAGCAGCTCAACCCCCGAGTCCCAGGGAGATGCTCAGATGCAATACTCCACGTTCCCAGACACTGCATGTGCCGAGAACCCTCGTGTTCAGCCATTCAGACGTATGATGATTATTGGTTTGTGGGCCGCACAGAAATGGGTAGCTCTCTGAAGCCACCAACAGCGGATGGGGGGAGGGGGGTCAAGAGGAGCCACCCCCCCAACTGGTGGCATTGTATGTGATATAATTTTGTGTGTTCCTCTATTTTCCAAATAAAAAAGTCAAACATAATGAGGTCATCCCCAAGTCCCTGCTCCAGGACAGACAGGCATCAAGAGCAGCTGGCCCACCTTGTCCTTGGACCACACGGTGACCACGGAGCTCCCGAACCTCGAGCTGGCCTACGGAGAGATCCTGGGTTAGCACGGCCTCGAACACACATTGTGGCACTGACCAGCCTCAGATGGAGGAAACGGCCTTTTCTGCAGTGTTTTTATTCCTTCAGGGGGTACTTACTTCGGGAGAAATCAACACATGTTGTGCCTGGAAGAAAACGGTGAAAAAGGGAGACAGTCAGTGTTGTCATGTTCATGGGGGGCTTTCGACCAATTCCACACCCTCACACTCCGTTTCTGCAGAAGCCTTAAAACCCTCTGATGCCACAAATATCACTTAGGGGAGTTTAGCTCAGAAAAATAGATGTGTAAAATGTTTATATGGGAATACTATTTCATAACAGTGGTTCCAGGAACCATGGTTTACCTACAGTTAAAATATGCAACAGCCAGTAAATGCGCTGTAGGAATGAATACCGGGACTCAGAGAAAATTATTCTTGTTATGTTAGCAGGTAAGACAAACACTTCGTAAAACCACGGTGGAACGTGCAGTGTGTCTGGCTGTAAAAGTGCACACGCAGTGCGAGGCCCACAGTGGACATGACCTGCGGGCAGCCGCCGTCCTTGGGCTACGAGGGGCGTCTGGTACAGAACAGTACCTTCTCCTCCGGACATGGGGACAGCCAGGACTTGCATCTGCCCGACATGTCGCCGAAGGTGGTGTGTCTGCCGTTGTAGACGTAGACACGGCCATCCTCTCCCCCGATCAGCCCCGAGGTCATGTCCGCTATCCGCAGGGGGGCTGCCACGATGACCTCGTCTGTGAACAGCAGACAGCGGGAGCCTGCCTGACTCCTCCTGTCGGCCTCCACAGCCCCACTGCCCAGCCTCACCCACCTCCCACAAAGACTGCCCGACTTCATCCTGACAGCCAGGACTGCTTTCCTGCTTGATCATCTGTCAACCTGATGGGACGGTTCTGACATCACCTCGAGAGGCACGGCTCACCATGTACACCTCGCGCTGCTCTTACCTGATTCAGACTACAGGCCATGGGCCCACAGGTGTCAGTCATCAGGGCAGAGCATGTGTGACCCAATCAGGGGACCCGTGTTGGGGGAGGGGCCCACTTCTCGGCCAGAGGCACTGACCACCCCCTTTCCTACCTAAGCCATCCCCATCCAGGTCACTCAGGTGCAGGACACCTCCGAACCGGGAGAAACGGCGGTCTCCACTGAAGGAGCTGAGCAGGGACGGCCGTAGGTCGGGGGTCAGTGCGTACATCCGAGTGGCTCCACCCTGGTGCAAGGTCATGGTCAGGAAGGCCATTTTAGACACGTCATCTGGAATGGACCACACAGTTCAGGACCGCTGCTCACGAGCACAGCACCAAGTAGGCTTTGTCCTGCTGCAGGTGTCTGTACCCACGTGATCAGGCCACAAACCACTAGACCTACGGCCTCAGTGCTGGTTGGGGTGCAGCTGCTTAGGCCTGAGAGCACAGACCAAATATGTCTGCTCAACAACACCCCACACAGCTGCTCCCTCTTCCTGCCTGACCCTCCAGACACCCTTCACACAACTTCTGCCCTGCATACCTGGGCCTATCCTGACTCCACCCTCTGGGTGCAGCCCAGGTCCCCCAAGGCCCAGCACAACCTGACCCCACGGCTCCAGCCGTACTTGGGGTCATTCCCCTTTCACCCATCACAGATTTAAACCACAGCCCATTCTGGTTCTGTTCCTGGTGGACCTATTCCTGGTGAACTGATGTATAAAACTCGCCAAACAAGAGGATGTGAAAATGGAGACGGAGTGAATAAAAGCTACATAGATGATCTCCCAGGACTAAATGGGAATTACAACTGAAATAAAGACAAATCCTCAAAAAAAGCAACAGAAAAGCAGCAGGACAGGACCATGTAACCAGGGACACTGGTAGGATCTGCGGAGGCACGAGAGGGTGGTGGGCTGGAAGCCCACGGACAGCAGCAGTCTTAGCTGTGAGCAGCGCCCTTGGGGAATAAAGACCAAGCCTGCTCCACAGCCCAGAGAGCCGGGACAGAGGGACAGAGAGCTAAAATAGCCACAGCCACTCACCTGGGGGCTGTGGCAGAGGGAGGGCAGCCTGGGCTGGAACTCTGTGGGGACACCTGGGATTTGGAGGGCACTCAGAGTTTTTGTAGAGTTGTGGCCACAAACAATGGTGGCCAGTGTGCTCCTTCCCTGAGCTGTGGGGGAAAGCTGCATTCTCCCCTCAGAGATTCAGCCTTTCCCAGGTGAGGCAAAGAAATGCAAATTGAGGCTCATTAACAACAAGCCTCTATCCCACCCTCTGGAAATCCTCTATGCAGAACACCAGGGCTACATTCCAAGGTACTGAGTAACTGAGACTACTAGCCTCCAGGAAAAATCTAGAGGATAAATGAACCTTTCCTGGGCTTGCAAATCTACCCAGGAAAGTAAAACTTGACAGTGGTGTTTAACGTGGGCCCACCCAGGCTCATCCAAACCCAGTAGAGGGAGCCACAAACAGCAGAACACCAACACCCACAGGGAAAATTTGGCAGGCTCCAAAACCCACTGAGATAGCCAAAATGGTGAAACAAATAAAGAAATTCCAAATGAAAGAACAAGAGAACTCTACCAAAGATGACATAAACGAAATGCAGCTAAGCAAATTATCAGAGGTAGAGTTCAGAGCCATGACCTTGAGGAAGCGCAACAGCATGAGTAAGGACATCAGCACCATGAGTAAAGATATAGAAACATTGAAAACCAACCAAGTGGAAATGAAGAATGACATAGCAGAAATTAAGAACACATTGGAAGGACTAACCAGCAGAGTAGAGGAAGCTGAGGACCAGATCAGTGAATTAGAAGACAGGGTAGAAAAAATCAACAAATCAGAAAACCAAAAGGAAAAAACAATTAAAAAACAGGACGACAGCTTAAAGAGAACTGTGGGACAACTGGAAAAGTATTAACATTCGCATCATAGGAGTCCCCAAAGAGGAGGAAAATGGGCAAGGGTTAGAGAATATATTTGAAGAAATAGTGACAGAAAACTTTCCTAACGTGGTGAAGGAAGAAGGCATTCAAGTTCACGAAGCACAGAGAGCCCCAAGTAAGAAGAACCCAAACAGGCCCACAACAAGACACATAGTAATTGAAATGCCCAAAATTAAAGACAAAGAGAGAATCCTAAAGGCAACAAGAGATAAGCAACAGGTTACGTACAAAGGAAACCTCATAAGGCTCACACCTGACTTCTCACAAGAAACACTACAGGCCAGAAGGGAGTGGCATGAAGTAACCAAAGTCATGAAAAACAAGGATCTGAATCCAAGACTATTCTATCCAGCAAGGCTATCATTCAAAATAGGTCAAATAAAGAGCTTTCCAGACCAAAAAAAAAGCTAAGGGAATATATTAACACCAAACCAGCACTGCAAGATATGCTAAAAGGACTGCTGTAATTAGAAAAAATAGGAAGAAAAATAGAATTGGCAACAAACAAAAATGGCAATAAATAAATACATATCAATTGTCATCTTAAAAGTGGTTTGAATGCTTTGATAAAAAGACACAGAGTAGCCCTGGCCGGTTTGGCTCAGCGGTTAGAGCGTCGGCCTGCGGTCCCAAGAGACCCGGGTTCGGTTCCCGCTAAGGGCATGTGCCTCGGTTGCAGTTTGTCCCCGGCCCTGGTCGGTTGTGCGGGTGGCAGCCACTCGATGTGTCCCTTTCACATCGATGTTTCTCTCTCTCTCTCTGTTCCTCCCTCTCCCTTCCACTCTACCTGAACAAAAAGTGGAAAAATGTCCTCGGGTGAGGATAAAAAAAAAAAAAAAAAGACACAGAGTAGTTGACTGGATAAAAAAGCATGACTCACATATATGCTGTTTACAAGAAACTCACCTCACAACAAATGACTCACATAGGTTGAAAGTGAAGGGATGGAAAAAAATCTTTCAAGCAAATGGAAAGCAAAAAAAAGCTGGGGTAGCAATACTCATATCTGATAAAGTAGATTTCAAAATGAAGGCCATAACTAGAGACAAAGAAGGCCACTACATAATATTGAAAGGATCTATCCAACAGGAAGATATAACCTTGGTAAACATATATGCACCCAATATAGGAGCACCAACATATATTAAAAATATTCTGGAGGACTTCAAAGGAGAAATTGACAGCAACACAATCATAGCAGGGGACTTCAACACCCCGTTGACACCACTGGATAGATCACCTAGACAAAAAATTAGCAAGGAAACACAGACTCTAAATAAAGCACTAGATTAAATGGATTTAATAGATATCTACAGAGAATTACACCCCAAAACCGCAGAATTCACATTCTTCTGAAGTGCACATGGGACATTCTCAAAGACAGACCACATGTTAGGGCACAGACTAAGTCTCTACAAGTTCAAGAAGATTGAAATCATATCAAGCATCTTCTCAGATCACAATGGCATGCAACTAGAAATAAACTGCAACAAGAATATGCAAAGACACTTGAACATATGGAGGCTAAATAGCATGTTATTGAACAATGAATGGGTTACCATGGAGATCAAGGAAGAAATTAAAAACTTCCTGGAAACCAATGAAAATGAACACACAACAACACAGTCTATGGGATGTAACAAAAGCAGTTCTGAGAGGGAAGTTCATAGCACTACAGGTCTACCTCAAGAAGCAAGAAACATTTCTAATAGGCTATCTTACCTCACAACTTAAAGAACTAGAAAGCAAACAGAAAGAAAACCCCAGAGCAAGTAGAAGGAAGGAAATAGTAAAGATCAGAGCAGAAATAAATGACATGGAGACCAAAAAAACAATTCAAAGGATCAATGAAACAAAGAGCTGGTTCTCTGAAAAGATAAACAATGGATGGACCCTTAGCTGGACTCACCAAGAAACAAAGAGAGTCCAAGTACAAAAAATTAGAAATGAAAGAGGAGAAATAATAACTGACACCACACAGAAATACAAAGGATTGTTAACAGATATTATGAACAGTTATATGGCAACAAATTCGACAATCTAAACGAAATGGACAAATTTCTAGAAACACATAGTCTCCCAAAACTGAACCGGGAAGAGATAGAAAACTTGAACAGACCAAAAACAACAAAAAAATTGAAGATGTAATCAAGAGTCTCCCAGCAAACAAAAGCCCAGGCCCGGATGGCTTCACAGGGGAATTTTACCGAACATTCAAAGAACTAATACCCATTCTCCTCAAACTATTTCAAAAAATTCAAGAAGGAATACTCGTTTTATGAGGCCAGCATAATTCTAATTCCAAAACCAGAAAGAGACACTACAAAGAAAGAAAACTACAGACCAATATCCCTGATGAACATAGACACCAAAATCCTGAACAAAATACTAGCAAATCAAATCCAGCAATACATCAAAAAAATTATTCACCATCACCAAGTGGGATTCATCCCAGGGATGCAAGGCTGGTACAATATTCACAAATCAATAAATGTGATACACCACATAAACAAAACAAAAAATAAAAACCACATGATCATATCAATAGATGCTGAAAAAGCCTTCGACAAAATCCAGCATCCATTTCTGATAAAAACGCTCAGCAATCTGGGAATAGAGGGATCATATCTTGACATAATAAAGGCCATATATGAAAGACCTACAGCCAACATCATACTCAGTGGGCAAAAACTAAAAGCATTTCCCTTAAGAACAGGAACAAGAAAAAGATGCCCACTTTCGCCACTCTTATTTAATATAGTACTGGAAGTCTTAGCCACAGCAATCAGACGTGAAGAAAAAATGAAAGGGATCCAAATTGGAAAGGAGGAAGTGAAACGGTCATTATTCACAGATGACATGATACCATACGTAGAAAACCCAAAAGACTCCATCAAAATTTTACTAGACTTAATAAATGAATTTGGCAAAGTAGCAAGATACAAAATTAACATCAAGGAATTGATGGCAGCCCTGGCCAGTTTTGCTCAGTGGTTAGAGCATTGGCCTTCGGTCCAGAGAAACCCAGGTTCAGTTCCTGCTAAGGGCATGTACCTCAGTTGCAGTTTCTCCTTGGCCCTGGTTGGGTCATGTGGGTGGCAGCCACTCACTGTGTCCCTTTCCCATCGATGTTTCTTTCTCTCTCCCCCTCCCACTCTATCTGAGCAAAATATGGAAAAATGTCCTCCGGTGACGATAAAAAAAAAAGAAAGAAATTGATGGCATTCTTATACACCAATGATGAACTCACAGAAAGGGCAACTAAAAAAAAAAATCCCATTTACCATTGAGGCAAAAAAAGTAAGATACCTAGGAATAAACTTAAGCAAAGAAATAAAGGACCTATTCACAGAAAACTACAGGTCATTGAAAAAAGAAATAGAGGAAGATATAAAAAAGTGGAAGCATATACCTTGTTCATGGATTGGAAAAATTAACATCATTAAAATGTCCATACTACCCAAAGAAATCTATAGATTCAATGCAATCCCCATCAAAATACCAACGACATATTTCATTGAAGTATGCCGCTGAATTTCACAGAACTAGAACAAATACTTCAAATGTTCATATGGATCCAAAAAAGACCTCAAATAGACACAGCAATCTTGAAAAAATAACAAAGTTGGAGGGATCACATTATCAGATTTCAGGTTATACTACAAAGCCACTGTAATCAAAACAGCCCGATACTGGCACAAGAACAGGCATATAGACCAGTAGAACAGAACAGAGAACCCAGAAATGGACCCAAGGCAATATGCTCAATTAATATTTGACAAAGGTGGCAAGAGCATACAGTGGAGTAAAGACAGCCTCTTTAATAAATGGGGTTGGGAAAATTGGACAGCTACGTGCAGAAAAATTAAACTAGACCATCAACTTACACCATACACAAGAATAAACTCAAAATGGATAAAAGACTGAAATGTGACTCATGAATCCATAAAAATCCTAGAAGAAAATGTAGGCAACAAAATTTCAGACATCATACTCAGCAGAATTTTCACTCATACAATGCCTAAGGCAAGAGAAACAAAGGAAAAACATTAATACATGGACTACATCAAACTATAAAGCTTCTGCACAGCAAAAGAAACAAGCATGAAAATGGAAAGGGAACCCACTATATGGGAGAGCATAATTGCCAATGATACATCAGAACATCAGATAAGGGTTACAGACTGACAATCCCCAGAAGAGGGGGTGGTGGGGAAGAGATAAACCACAGAACTTATATGCATGTATGTATGAACAATGGACATGGACAACAAAGCTGGTGACAGGGCGGGGAGGGAGGAGGGGGAATCAGTGGGGGGGAAAGGAGAAACATCTATAGCAAAAATAAATTAATTAAATAAAAATAAAATAAAACTCGCCAAGCAGCCCAGCTCCGAGCCCGGACAGGGATTTCTCGCTCACAGCTATTTCCTGCATGAGTTCAGTGGACGTCATCGTCTGCTTTTGGTGGACATGATATGGGCACCCAGGGAGGGTGAGTCATGGCCCTAAGGAGATAGCAGCCCAGGCCTGCCTGGCTCCAGGCCTCACCCTCGCCCCAGTATGATGTGGTCCGGAGCCACGTGACCTACCGTGCGTGGGGGCCCCAACCAACAGCACCTGCGTCCGGGACCCGTTCACCATCACATGGCCACTCGACAAGGAGCTGCCCAGTTTCTCCATGGCCTGTGAAGTGTGATACATCAAAGAACGGCTCCGAACGCGTTCCCTGGGTGCCCCTGCCTGGGGAGGGCGGGCTGCCTACCTTGTCCCCAGAGATGGTGAAGGAGCTCTGGCAGCGGGGTGGCAAGTAGCCGTACACTCGTCCGAGGCTCTGCTTCTTGTCACGCACACGGGACAAGTAGCCCAGACTGCAACAAAGTGCGTGGGGCAGGGCCAGGGTGGGGAGCTGGCCAGGTGTTCAGGTCCAAGGAAACAGCACGCCCCCCCCCGCCCCCACGCACACACACACACTCAGTCCCTGCGACTGCAGGCATGGAGTGGGGGTTGGGCTTCCAGAGGTTGTCCCAGTGTCAGGACCCTCAGAGACAAGGCCCGCCATTCTGCCCCAGCTAACAGCAAATACAGGGGTGTCCGCGTGGTGGGCTGATTGTGTCCCGGAATTCTATGCTGAAGTCCTAACCCCGGTAGCCCAGACTGTGTCCGTATTTGGAGATAAGGTCTTTAAAGAGGGAATTCAGTTACAATGAGGTCATCAGGCTGGGTGGGCCCTAAACCAACGTGGCTGGTGTCATGAGAAGGGGAGAGACAGCAGGGATGGACAGACAGAGGGGCCGTCTGCAGCCGGGGGCGGGGGTGTCAGCAGCAGGGATGGACAGACAGAGGGGCCGTCTGCAGCCGGGGGCGGGGGTGTCAGCAGCAGGGATGGACAGACAGAGGGGCCGTCTGCAGCCGGGGGAGGCCTCAGCAGCAGGGATGGACAGACAGAGGGGCCGTCTGCAGCCGGGGGAGGCCTCAGCAGCAGGGATGGACAGACAGAGGGGCCGTCTGCAGCCGGGGGAGGCCTCAGCAGCAGCCAACTCTGTCCACGCCTGGCCTTGGGCTTCAGCCTCCAGGGCTGAAAGAGTAAATCCCTGTTGAAGGCCCGAGTCTGTGGCCCTTTATGGTGGCAGCCCTGGCTAAGGAGGACACTTCCTATGTCATTTTAAATTTCTAAGGAGAATTTGCAACCTGCCTGAGTCAGCTCTTCCCGAAGGGTAAGAACGTCTTGGCCCATCTGCCTGAACGCACAGGTCGGGCTGGCCAGGCAGTAGGCCCGATGGTGCCCAGCGCTCACCTGCTGACATTCTTCCAGGTGGGGCTCCCCACCAGCAGCAGGGTCCCGTTGTCCACGCGGGCGCCGTGAATGGCGTAGCCCAGCCAGGCGAAGTCCTCCTCGCCTCTCACCAGCCAGTTGGCTGCCTCCACCTGCAGGTGTTCTGCAGGAGACAGGCCGTCCCTCACTTTGTGTGGAGGACAGGAGGACACAGGTGGCCGTTTGTAGGCAATGACCAATGGGTTCCCCTGCTGAGTTTCTTCCAGAATTCACAGCCACAACTGTTCCCAGGGCCCGACCTTAGAAATGGGTCTCACGGGTGACCTAAGAAATGCATTTCTAGAGCTTACTTCAGTGGCGTGGGGGTGCATACAGGAAGGGCCCATCTTGGACACTGAGGGCGCCACGGCCCTACAACTGGGAGACCGAGATAAACCCTTTGGACCGAACCCAGACATCAGGCCCGTGCACATGTACACGTTGGGCCCGTGTGTAGACGCCAGGCCCATGTGCCTGTAGATGTTGGGCCCATGTGCGTGTGGACGTCGGACATGTGTGTGTAGACGTTGGGCTCATGTACGTGTAGACGCCTAGCAGGTGTGCGTGTAGACGTCGGGCGTGTGCGTGTCGTCGAGCCAGTGTGCATGTAGACGTCGGGCGTGTGTGTGTAAACGTCGGGTCCGTGTGCATGTACTCAGTGGCTCCCAGGTATCCCTCGCCGGAGTGTCTGTAAGAGGCAGCTGCTGGGAACTCACGGGGATGGGCATGGAATGAGGCAGGAAGGGCTCAGCGCCTGCATGAGAGGTCCCCGGGCCCTGCCCCCCTACCTTTGTGAGTTCGGCCGGGGTCGGAATAGAACGCGGCCACCATGCCCCTCTGCTTCCCTCCACCCGGTGCAAAGGGGGAGCCCATCACCAGGTCAGCATCACCGTCTCTGTTAACGTCGGCAGCCAGGAGCGTCCAGCCCAGGTTACAGTACGTGTCCTGGGGAGACAGGAGAGCACGCTGACGCCTGGGCAGTGGGGATGCCGGTTCTAGCATCTGTGCCTGGCTGTGGTGGGCGACATACCTGGCAGGAGATGGTGACGTTGGGGGACGGCGACATCTTTCCCCTCTTGGAACCAAAGTAGACATACACGGCGCCCTAGGTGAGGACAAACCGGGCACCATGAGGTCGCTGTGACTGGGACCGAGAGGACCAGTCAGTCCCACCAGAAGGCTGCGGGCAGGAGCCTGGGCATCGGATGCCCGCCCTGGGCCTGGTGCTGGTGGCAGCGGTCTGGGAGCCCCAGCTGCCTGGATGTTCACTCCCATGAGGCCCTTGGAGCCCCCGCAGAAGCGCGCCCTTGTCTCTGCCTCCCTGGGGCCTTGCTCCGCGAAACTGTGGGTGAACTCCTCTCCCCATCTCCAGGCCTAGCTCCAGGCTCTGGCTCAGCCCCTCGGGCATCTGGACTTGAGCATCTCTGTGGGTGCCCCACTGGTCTGTGATGCCTGCCGTGTTGTTCTGTGTCCCACACTGTCCCTTCTCTAACTCGCCTGTCTCCACTCGCTCATTTGTTTTGCTTCACAAGCAAGTTCTGGGTGAACAAAACCAGCCCGTCCTCCCGAAGGGCTGGCAGACAGCCCTCAGGACAAGAGACCCGGAGGGGCTAAGCCAGGTGTGTGCTCGAGTGTGAGGACAATGAGGGTCCAACCCCGGGTTACACAGCCCTCCTGGGAGGCGACTAGGTGTACATGTTGAGAGGAGTGTGAGGCAGCAGGGGTGGAGGTGACCCTGCAGGCACAGGTGGCACACAACTACCGACGGCGCCGGCGGCGTCTGCCCTGTCCCAGGCGGGTGCTCCTGCCTGGCTGAGCTCCGGCTCAGGGCGCAGAGCCTGGGTCTGGGGTGGGGTCTGTGCCTGACAGGAAGGCCTCCAGCCCTCTGCTGGGATGGCAGGAGCTCGTGGCCTGACCCTTGTCACCTTCACCTCCGTCAAGAGGGACAGCAGAGCCTTTGCTGGAAATGGGAAGCCAGGAAGCCGAGCTGAGAAAGATGCCGCCAAGGAACCGAGGCCACGTCAGGGACCCGGGGGGGGGGGGGAGCACCCACCCAGGCGCTGCTGTGCCCAGCACGTCTGATCCTCTGCTGTCTGCAGAGGCTCTGCTCTGCCACCCCTCCTCCCCACCACGGCCCCATCCTCCCACCGCCGCCCAGCCTTACTTTGTATGTGAGCTGCTCCGAGCCCACAGAAGGGGCGCCCACGGCCAGGTCGGGCACGCCGTCCTTGTTAAAGTCCAGCACGGCCAAGGCTGAGCCAAAGCGGCCTGAGGGCTGAAAGGCACAAGTGAGCCCATGGGCCAGCCACTGCTCAGCCAGCACAGCTGATTCCCCAGGAGTTGATGGGCCTGGGGCCATTGTCGCCTGCGGGGTCAGGGACAGAGCGGTGGCATCCCACACAGAACACCTGTGGCACACAGCTGGGAAGTCTGACCCAGTGACACTGGAAGACGCCGGAAATCGAGAATGAGTCTCGTCCGTTCTAGGTGTTTATGAAAAGGTCTGGGGAGCACTGGGCCCCATTAAGACCAAACATCGGCAAAGTACCCACACTAATCCAACAGCAGCCAACAAGAGGGCATCCCCACGGCCACTGTGCAGCGTGGTGGTCGCTACCTCTAAATTTAACGTCACATGAAATTACACATGCGAGCCCTCGGTGGCACTGGGCGCATTTCCAGTGCTTAAAGTCAAGGTGCACAGGGGCTTCCACTGTTCTTGTCACTCCTTTGCCCTGGGGCTGCCCAGAGAGGCGGGGCAGTGGTCACAGACAGGAAACTCGAGCTAGCCAGGCACCTCACCTGGAAGCCCTCCAGGACCCCATGGGCCTCCTCCTCTAGGTCCAGGTCGATGGGGGGCAGGCCCAGGTCGTTGCCATAGATGAGGTACACGCGCCCCACGTGGATGTGGCCGGGGCGGCTGTAGCCTGGGGCGCCCACCACCAGGTCCCCGTGCCCATCCTGGTTGAGGTCAGCTGAGGTCATTGCCCTGTAGAGACGAAGAAAAAACCCATCACCATGTCTTCTGAGATGGGGGGACCGTCTCCTCCTCTCTGGAGTCCCGCACTTAAACTTCCTCTCTGGTTCCCATCCAGCGCAGCTGCTGAGTATTCATGTCTGAGGTTACAGTGCCTGTGATTCTGTCCTGCTCCCCAAGGGAAATAGATGACAAAGAAGGACAGCAGGCCTCTGGACATCTCTGGACCCGTGGCAGAGCAGATGATGAGCACCCTCGGAGCACCACATCCCTACCGGACCCAGAGCCGAGTGGCTTCGTCCGCGCCAGTCTGTCCTGCTCAGAGGCAAGCTGGGTCAAGGCGCCTGATTTCCACCCCAGTGAGGAGCCCGCCTTTGCTGGACAGACTTTGGTGTCCAACCTATGGAGCAGACGTTTGTAAACAAGACTGTGACCAGACACAGAGATGGACAGACTAAGCCAAGAGTTTGAGGCCTCCGCTGGTCTAGCAAGAGCAGAGCCATTGGTTACCCTGTTCTTACTCAGCATGTGGGAGCCAAGAGCAAGATGGGCACAGGCGTGAGGGCCACACACTGGGTGACAGCACTGTTCCCTGCGCTCCGGAGGCGGGAAACAGGCCAGTGAAGCCAGGAAGCACCTTGCCCGCCCCTCCCCCACCCAGCAGGGGCCTTCTTTTGGAACTTTCCATAAGGCCACCACTGTCCACAAGAAAGCCAGCATCACCTGCCACTCCCAGGCTGGGGCAGAGCATGGTGACCCCCAGAGGAAGGGCTGTAAGTCGTCTGGGGTGTCAGAAGAAAAGACTGTTCATCAAAACCTCCAGAAAACCACCCTTCACAACCTTGGGCTCCATGAGGCAGATTTGTACACTCAGATGGGCCCCTGCCGCTCCCTCTCGGCGTTCACTGTGCTGAGCTCGGCTGCTGCCTTGAATCTATACTATTCCAATCACCACGCCCATCTGCTCATCATTCCCCCAAACTGATGGCAACTTGTCCCCAGGGACACTGACACCTGACGTGTGTCCCATGTGGCTTCAGGACTGGGGTCACTTAGTCAAGTATTAAACACATTCTGACAAGTTAAGGAGGTGATTTTATCTTTACAGTCACTTAACCAAGCTAACATCGTTGATGGGGAGCCGACTGGGAAATGGAAATAACAGGTGCCACTCACCCCCTTTGTCCAGCGACAGCGGTGGCAGCACTGAGCTGGGAAACCCGCACTTACCAGCCCAGCCTTGCGTAGGGACGTGTCGAGAAGTAAGACGCCAGGGGGCTGGACACATGCTTCTTTGGCCGCTGGGAGCTGCCCGTGAAGATCATGCGCAAGTTCCTCTCCAAAGCCTGGTACATGAAGGACACAGAGTCCTGAAATACAGTCATGACAGACAGATGAGGACACAGCTCGAATGCAAAGCTCCAAGTCCCATCAAGCCCGTGGAGGTGCACAGGAAATGTTTCAGTAAGTGCTAGAGAATAAGACATCGGCTCCTGTCACCAGGTGAGACCACTCAAGACAGGCATCAGGAGAGTGACAGCATACCCCGACACAGGCTGAGCGACGGCAGATACCAGCTAGGAAGAGTCAGCGGGATGTAACCCTGACCAATCAAGTCAGATGTGCGGCACCAATTTGCAGAAGGTAACCCAACAAAACCATTTTTATAGACTAAGATTTTTTAAAAGACCACTTCCTTTAAACTAGAATTATAGCCCTGGCCAGTTTGGCTCAGCGGTTAAAGCGTCGGCCTGCGGTACAGAGAGACCCAGGTTCGGTTCCCGCTAAGGGCACGTACCTCGGTTGCAGTTTGTCCCCGGCCCTGGTTGGTCGTGCGGGTGGCAGCCACTCGATGTGTCCCTTCATATCGATGTTTCTCTCTCTCTCTCCCTCCCACTCTATCTGAACAAAAAATGGAAAAATATCCTCGGGTGAGGATAAAAAAAAACAAAACAAAACTAGAATTATATCTGTATGTATATATTTCCTTTTATGTAAGAGATTTGGAGGACAAGCAGCCCTCCAGCTTGGGATGCGGAATTGTCCTTACATGGTCACCACAGAGACACAGGTGCAGTCTGGGGTGGCCTGGAGGGGCCAAGTACTAGACCCACCCAAGTTCAGGGGACACAAGTAAGTCCACCCAAGGGTGACCTGAGACCAAAGGAGAACCCCAGCAGCCCCCAGCAGTAGCTCAGAGCCTGGGCAGCGCAGGAAGCGACTGGCCTCTGTGCCCCCAGCCCCCTGGCAGGTGCCCGCAGACAGCTTCTCCTCAGGCTCCCATGCGTCCAGGAAGCATTTACCAGCTCCGACTGTGTTCCCAGCCCATGACAGGCCTTGGGAATATGCAGTCCTCTCCCACAAGTCCTCTTGCAAAGGACACAGATCCGAATAACCACAGGACAAAGTGACACGTGCTTCCAGGGGGTCCCGCCTGGGACTGGCTATGAAATGTTGCGGAGCCCTTGTTCAAAAATCTTAAGGCAGCCCGGCCGGTGTGCTCAGTGGTTGAGCGTTGACCTGCACCAAGAGGTCACCGGTTCGATCCCCAGTCAGGACACATGCCCAGGTTGTGGGCCAGATCCCCAGTATGGGGCGTGCAGGAAGCAGCCATGTTCTCTCTCATCGAGGTTTCTGTTTCTCTCTCCCTCTTCCTTCCTCTCTCTCTAAAATCAATAAAGAAGAAAAAAAAGAATCTTCTCTTTTATTTATTTATTTATTTTTTTATCCTCACCCGAGGACATTTTTCCATTTTTTGTTCAGATAGAGTGGGAGGGAGAGAGAGGAAGAGAGAGAGAGAAACATCGATGTGAAGGGACACATCGAGTGGCTGCCACCCGCACGACCAGCCAGGGCCGGGGACAAACTGCAACCGAGGTACGTGCCCTTAGCGGGAACCGAACCCGGGTCTCTCGGGACCGCAGGCCGACGCTCTAACCGCTGAGCCAAACCGGCCAGGGCAAAAAAAAGAATCTTAAAACAGCGACAACAGAGCCTCAGACCAAGGTCAAGGCCCTGCTATGCGTGACCACTCAGGCTGCACACCGATGCCGCTGGTCCTGCCCAGGCCCGTGCCCGCCCCACAGACACCACCCTGTCTATCTAAAGCCCTCTCTACACCGACTTACCTTCCCCCTTCTCTTGGCACCTTGTACCCTGGTCTTCAGATTTCTGAAATCCTGAAACTTTCCCCACCCAGTGCCAGAAATACATGCTCACTGATGAAATACAACCTACTATTCAAGGCCTAACTCCAAAGCCACCTCCTCCGTGACGCTTTCTCTGATAGCAGGGACACAATGTTCATGATTGACACTGTTATCCCACCCCCTGTCGTTATGGTATTTGTTACAGCCTACTCACAGCTGGTCGCTTTTGTATTTCTCAGATGTTAGAGGAAAGTTCCTAAAGGTCAAAGACGTTTTCCCTTTCAGTTTCATCCCCCAGGAGAATCTGACACCCCACAACAGTGTCACGCACGAATGTCACTTATGCCACAGTGTCCCTCAGCATGGGACGGACGCTTTGCAGTGTGGAGAAAGCAGGCTTGGCCCAGGGTCACCTTGGGCCCCACCGGGTTTGCCAAAGGCCCCTGAGGTCCCGAACGAGTCTCAGGACATCTCTGGCACCAAACGTGAAGGCCAAGGATCTGGTGGCCTGGCACACGCTGGGTGACTCACTGAGCGTCACATAGCCAGTGACCCCACAGAACAAAGGACCACAGGCAGCAACAGGGTCCTTTCTTCATGAAAAGCAGAAAATACTTACTGAGGTCCAGGAGTCCACACTGAAGACCACCCCTCTCTTGGTATAGTTTATATTTTTTCTGGTCTCTTCAGTTAGGGATGCAGTCAGATTTCTGTGAAAGCCATTTTTCTGTACCGGTGAGCTGCTGGAAGACAGAATGCTTAAGACTGAAAACAAATAACTGAGTTGAAGAATATCGCCATCAGTCACAGGTTAAAAGCCCATACGTTTTAACTTCTGAAAGTTGAAGGAACAGCAACACAAAAGAGCAACGTCTTAGGAAAACCTTCACAGGAGGTTCCACGGAGCCTTTCAATCAACACATCCCCACAGTTTAAAAGCCTATACTACAAAAAGTACTGCCTAAGCAATCAATCAGATGCAGAGTTCAAAACACTGCTTATAAGGTTGCTCAAGGAACTTAGTGAGACCTTCAAGGAACTTAGTGAGCACATCAACAACATAAAAAAGGTCCAGTCAGAAATGAAGTATGCACTAGCTAAAATAAAGAATAATTTACAGGGACTCAATAGTAGAGTAAGTAAAGCCAAGAAGCAAACCATCAATTTGGAATATAAGGAAGCAAAAAACACCCTAGCAGAACAACCAAAAGAAAAAAGAACTTAAAAAATGAGGATAGTGTAAGGAAAGGAGCCTCTGGGACAACTTCAAGGGTGTCAACATTTGCATCATGGGGGTGCCAGAAGGAGAAGAGGGAAAACAAGAAATTGAAAACCTATTTGTAACAACAAGGACAGAAAACTTCCCTAACTTGGCAAAAGAAACATACAAGTTCAGGAAGCATGGAGAGTCTCAAACAAGATGAATCCAAAGAGGTCCACACCAAGACACATCATCATCAAAATGCCAAAGGTTAAATACAAAGAATCTTAAAAGCACCAAGAGAAAAGCAGTTCATTACCTTCAAAGGAACTCCCATAAAACTATCAACTGCCCTGGCCGGTTTGGCTCAGCGGTTAGAGCGTCCACCTGCGGTCCGGAGAGACCCGGGTTCGGTTCCCGCTAAGGGCACGTACCTCGGTTGCAGTTTGTCCCCGGCCCTGGTTGGTCATGGGGGTGGCAGCCACTCGATGTGTCCCTTTCACATTGATGTTTCCATCTCTCTCTCTTTCTCTCTCTCCCTCCCACTCTATCTGTACAAAAAATGGAAAAATGTCCTCGGGTGAGGATGAAAAAAAACAAAACAAAACAAAAAAAACCTGTCAACTGATTTCTCAAAAGAAACTTTGCAAGCCAGAAAGAAGTGGCAAGAAATATTCAGAGTAATGAAAAACAATGACCTACAACCAAGATTACTCTATCCTACAAAGCTATCATTTAGAATTGATGGACATATCAAGAGTTTCCCAGACAAGAAAAAGCTAAAGGAGTTCACCACCAAACCAGTATTATATGAAATGTTGACGGGTGTTCTTGAAGGAGAAGAAAAACAAAATATAAGCAATAAAATGGCAATTAATACATATCTATCAACAATTGAATCTACAAACAAAATGAGCAAGCAAAACAGAAATAGACTCCTAGATACAGATGGGCTGAGGCTAGGGCTGGGGGGATGGGCAAAAAAGATGAAGGAATTAAGAAGTACAAATTGATTGTTAGATTGATGACCCTCAAAGAAAAGGGTGGGGGGAGGGCATGATGAGATAAACCAAAGAATTTCTATGTATATATGCATAACCAATGGACACTGGCAATAGTCTGGGGAAGACAGGACGGGGGGTGGGATTGAGGAGGAGGGAGGTCAATAGGGGAGAGAGGGAGGACATCTGTAATACATTCAACAATAAAGATGAGTTAAAAAAAAAAAGTACTGCCTACAGCCTTGAAGTTCCAGAGCGTAAAGGGTCTGAACTCCTTCTGGACGCTAAGGAAGCAAAGATGTTCAGTATTTCACGCACATGGTCGAGAAGTCAGTCTACACTGTCTGGGAGACTGGAATGCAAATGGACTGATCTGTCTTTAAGGACATACCAGAACTAGCCCAGCTGGTGTGGCTCAGTGGTTGAGCATCAACCCTACACCAAGAGGTCGCCAGTTCGATTTCCAGTCAGGACACATGCCCAGGTTGTGGGCCCGATCCCCAGTGGGGGGCATGCAGGAGGCAGCCAGTTGATGTTCTCTCTCATCGATGTTTCTATCTCTCCTTCTCTCTCTAAAATCAATAAAGAAAAAGAATTTTTAAAAAATGTATTGGATTACTAAAAAAAGAACATGCCACAACTAATCACATAATACAGTACACATTCAAGTTTTTATGTTTTAATCAGCCTACAAGCCAGATGCACAGAGGAGCCAGACAGGCCTCCAAAATGACAGGCATGAGCTGCAATAGAAACCCTCAAAGGACCACCCATGTGAGACCCCGGGTTGGATCCGACAAGCTGCAGGTGGCAAGCCCAACCTAGAGGCATTTGGTTCGATTACAAGATTCAAGTAAATTAAACAGTGAGGGTGGCACTGAACCCCTTCTGCAAATCTTCAGTTCTATCGAAGCTCTAAACTCTCCTACTTAGGACCTGCCTCTGCAGAGCCCTCTTCTGAGCACCCTCGGGTGAGCCACTCCAACACTTACCTCTGGGAGCTGGTCTGGGGGCCACCGCAGGCGATGAACAGAGGGTTCTCAGGCAGGGTGCAGTCACTGCGGACACAGTCACGAGTCAGGCCCTCTCTCCAGATGGGGGAGGATGAGCCAACTGAGGGGGTCTTAGGGCCACACAGGCAGCCCGCCCTGGTCACCCAGGCTCAGAGCCCGCTGTCCCACCCCTGCACTGCTGAGCCGCCTGGGCTCACAGGCACGGGCTCAGCCTCGGGTGAAGGACAAAGGACTGTTCCAGCGTGGAGCTCACTGGGAACAGGACAGGTTGAGCAGGACGAGATGCCAGAAAAGGAACTTGGAACAGGAGGTGGGAAGAGACTGAACACAAACTCTCCCTGTAAAGATCTCCCTGCAGCCAGCTTCACGCCAAGGACATGTCTGTCTTCGCGTCTCTGTTTCTCCACCACCAGGAGGCAGACAGCCCTCACAGAGCTCCTGAGTTTTGGCTGAAACCATGACTACCATCACTTCCCTGTTCCTTTGGGAAAATACACTGTAATTTCTAAGTAACGAGAACCTCCTTTGGAAGGTCAGTCTACCCTCAGTGTCTGTGCTGATGGAAACGTGGCCACTTCCTTCTGTCAGAGAGGTGCCCGCCTTTTCCTGGAGCCTTCTCCATATGTCCCCCAAGTTCCATAGACTGATGAGTATTTCTTTGTGTGTGTGTAAAATGCCAGCGATTTATGAAATTTCCTGCCTTGATAAGTGAGGACAAGGATCAAGAGACAAGAAACCTCTTCCTTCTCAGTTACTTTCTCCTAATTAAAGAATAAGGTCCATCACGTGTTTGCTTAGCATCCAGACACTCTAACCAAAAGCAAACACCAGACCTGGGCTTGTTTGGGGGTCATTGCACATGGACCTTACAGACAGACAGATGCAGGTCCGTCACTCATGCGGCACGTGCATAAACCTGCCCGGTGTGAGCTGACCTCCCTCTAACAAGGCCAGAGCTAGCATGTCCGCCGTGCTCCCTGCCTCTGAACCACACAGAGGTGGACGTACTTCATCCTCACAGCAGCCCTGATAGAGATGAGCTCTTACTGTCCCCACTGACTGGCGCCGACGAAAGCTCATGAGACTTCTGCTCCTACTTTCTTGGTAGAGAACCCGAGAGGCCTGTTGGGAGCGGGCAGCAAGGCCAGGGGCGTCAGGGGAAGAACTGGAGCAATAACTCACCTGGTCCCGTTCTCCAACATGTGGCTTGTCAGCCGGAAAATGTTGGTGGACCAGAATGTCATGTCATCCAGTCCGCCAAGGAAATATTCCTGGAATTGTTCCACCAAAAACGGGGACTTCCTGGAGTAGGTGGGGTAGAGCTGTGGCAGAGAGAAAGGAGAGCAGGTGCGTGACCAGGCGGCTCCTGGAACCCCGCAGCCTCCCACGTGGACTCGAGCGACGCAGCCCTTACCTTGGAAACGGCCAGCATCTCCCCATACCTGCAACGACACAATGTGGGCCATGAGTTGTGGTTTCCACAAAGAGTGAAGCAAATCATGGGGAAAAGGCAGCATCAACACATACCCACCATCGTGGGACTGCCCTGAATGGGCAAAATCCGAAAACCAAGAATCTGCGCTTCAGACCCTGAGCCACCAAAATGGGGGCTTGGCAAGCCGCCAGTCACTCACACTTACATTTCCAAGAACTGAAGGTGTGAACAGTCAACAATCGCATTTTTGGTGATGACTGCTCGGCCGTAGAGTTTCTTATAAATTCCCAGCAGGTCTTCGACGGGCACATACCTGAGAGGCAGTGGAATAAGGTCTGAGCTGTGTGGCTCTGAAGATAATAACAGTGATGACGTTGGCTGCCCGCTGTCCCCCGACTACATGCCAGACAATGCCAGGGGCTGCACCTGCTCTGCACTGAGTCCCACCAGCAGCCCCCCACAGGCAAGAAATCAAGGGAAGTGACAGGTGTGTCCACCACTGCAGAGCAAGCCTCTGGTGCCTGTGACATGTGCGAAGGTACAACGGTAGGAAGCCACAGAGCATGAGAGGGAGGGTTACTTTGGGAAGAGTCCCAGGAGCGACATGAAGCATTTTTAGTCTTTTCATTTGAATTGTTCTTAAGAACCATTCTTGTAAAAACACCAAAAATGGCTTCTCAGCCCAACCCCGACTTGCACAGCCCGCGGTGAGAAGTCGTAAAAAGAATTGCAGGGCTGTTGTTCATAGACACAGGTTGTTCCTGTCAGAAGATAAGCAGCAGCTGAAAATTATATGAAGGTGTCTTTTCGCTTCATTTCAAAGACCTTCAAATATACTAGACAGAGTCACAACCAATGAAACCCGGCCTCGGTATATCTAGAAGAAAGAATCTACTGATGTCCAGTTTTTAGTTTTACAAGAACACAGGATGGTCCTTCCACTAAAAATAGCTCAAAAGGCTAGACAAAATAACAAAAATATATTTTTTTATGTGAATCACCAAGCTAGCAAGAAAGTGAAAAATTTCCAAAGGCCCAAACTGGAAACTGGTAACTCTGAGAAATAAGCAAGAGGAAAGTTAAACTTGTCCAGAGGTTCGGCCAAATGGGAACCTGCAGGTGTTTTGGTGGCTGTGTGGTATGCAGGAGACAGGAGGTGACACGTGGGAACTCTGACGTGGACCACCGCAGAGGAGACCGCCCTAAAGCCTACACCTCTACAGAGTGTCAGCGAGAAACAAACGCAGCATATGAACAGGGCAGCAGAGGGGCTCCTGTCTGTAGGTGAGCGATGGAATGAGGGAGGAACTCCCCCCCAGAATGGGAACTTCTCACTACTCTGCCACACAGACCCTGTCCTGCATCCAGGCTATCTGTGATTCAGGAAAACTTCAAGGCTGAACATAACTTCATGTGGTCCCAGGTCAGAAGTGGCTCAGCAGCCTGCCGGGAAGACAGGCCTCTGCAGAAACCAGCTGTGACTCCAGCCTCCAGGGGCTCGGCCCCACAGGGCACGGCCAAAACGGTCAGACCCGACCTGCGCCCCTGGCGATGGGCCTCTGATCCAGTGCAGAAGGCCCCGAGTGTGGAGTGAGAGGGAGCCCCAAGCTGCTGCTGCCACTGCCCCTTCCTGGGGTACCCAAGGCCTCAGTAAGCCTAGGATTGACTTGCCGTTTCTGGGCCTCCCTGAATTTTGCGGCAGCTGGACCAGGGACAGGTGTGGGCAACTGCCTCCCTCGAGTTCCCCCTTCTTCTTGGTCTGTAGGCATCCTCCCAACACAGCCCTCTACCCTCAGGGCTGGGACTCAGGGACACACTACATCCCCTTCTGACTGCTTTGTAAACAAAGAAAAAACAAAACCGTGTGACCACATAGTAGCTGCAGTTACATCTGATAAAGCGGACTTGGAGGCAACAAGCACCGTTGGAGATCAAGGTCACCACCATCACGATAAAAGGTTCAACTTGCCAGGAAAACAAAAGATTCTGAAACTTGAATGTTCCCAACAATGCATTTTTAAGCCCCAATATGACAGAACCACATGGAGAAATGGAAAAAACCCACATCGTGGGGAGATTTTAAACAGACTTCTCTCAGTGATTGACAGACTGACCTGATTAAAAGGAATACTAAACCTAGCCAGTGAGGCTCAGTGGTTGAGCGTCGACCCTGCACCAGGATGTTGCCAGTTTGATTCCCAGTCAGGGCACATGCCCAGGTTGTGGGCCCGATCCCCAGTGGGGGGCATGCAGGAGGCGGCCAATCGATGTTCTCTCTCCCTCTCCCTTGCTCTCTCTAAAATAAAATTAAGAAAAGAAACAGTAAGACTGTCTGACAGCTCCTGAGACACGGGTTGCTCTGCTGTTCCAACTGGGGCAGCTACACGGGGCACATATTCTCTTATCTATACATACGCATTCTTTTCTGTGTTTGAAATAACTCACAAATTCTTTAAGGGTCTATTCATACTGTCTAATCTGCAGTTGGATTCTTCAAAGCTGACAAAGCAGAAGACCCCTAGCACATGGTGAGTCATATTTTCTAGGGAAGGGGGTCGGGCTCCTGAATGCTGTTCAGACACCACCTGTCGGGTGTCCGCTGCTCTTACCAGTGCCGCGCGAGGTAATTAAAATTAAACTCGAACTGGCTCAGCACGTCGCCACCTGTGGGGGGAAGAAGATCCACACGGGGAGATCAGGATACACGGAGCAGCCTCTCCACATGAGTGTGCAACCCAAGTCCTTAGTTCTTGAGCCTGTTACATGTGTGTGCGACTGTTACACGTTTCTGTTCAGTTGTTCTACATATAGCATGTCTTAGCTAGTGCCTGGACAGTGTGGTTCAGTGGTTGAGAATGAGCGTCGACCCATGCACCAAGGGGTTGCTGGTTCAATTCCCAGTCAGGGCACATGCCCAGGTTGTGGGCCTGATCCCCAGTGGGGGGCATGCAGGAGGCGGCCAGTTGATGTTCTCTCTCATTGATGTTTCTGTCTCTCTCCCCCTCTCCCTTCCTCTCTCTGTAAAGTCAATAGAGAAAAAAAAAATTTTTTTTAAACAAAAATAAAATCTTAGCCAGTAAAACATGAGTTGAGAAAAAAAAAAATCACTCATATATCCAAAGTGCTTTTTACTTTAAGGAAAGATGGGTCACGAGCATTCTTATAAATGAGCACCACCCTAGCCAGTGTGAGTATTTTAAGGTAATTTACTCTAGGGAAAAGGTGGCAGTTACCAATTTAAAGCTAATCCTTAGTAGACACTAGGTCATGAAGTTCTATTTGATTTAAAAGTACTTCTTACAAGAACAGGCATATAGACCAGTGGAACAGAATACAGAACCCAGAAATGGACCCAAGGCAATATGATCAATTAATATTTGACAAAGGTGGCAAGAGCATACAGTGGAGTCAAGACAGCCTCTTTAATAAATGGTGTTGGGAAAATTGGACAGCTACATGCAAAAAAATGAAACTAGACCATCAACTTACATCATACACAAAAATAAACTCAAAATGGATAAAAGACTTAAATGTGACCTGTTAATCCATAAAAATTCTAGAATAAATGTAGGCAACAAAATTTTGGACATCATACGCAGAATTTTCACTGATACATCACCCAAGGCAACAGAAACAAAGGGAAAAATGAACACATGGGACTACATCACACTCAAAAGCTTCTGCACAGCAAAAGAAACAACCATCAAAATGGAAAGGCAACCCACTGTATGGGAGAACATCATTGCCAATGATACATCAGATAAGGGGTTAATTTCCAAAATATGTAGAGTGCTCATACAACTCAACAAAAGGAAGACAAAGAACCCAATTAAAAAATGGGCAGAGGAGCTGAATAGACACCTCTCCAAACAGGACATACAAATGGCCAAGAGACATATGAAGAAATGCTCAACATCACTAATCATCAGAGAGATGCAAATTAAAATAACTATGAGGTATCACCTCACACCTGTCAGAATGGCCACCATCAACAAATCATCAAACAAGTGTTGGCGAGGGTGTGGAGAAAAGGGGACTCTAGTACACTGCTGGTGGGACTGCAGACTGGTGCAGCCACTATGGAAAACAATATGGTGTTACCTCAAAAAATTAAAAATTGAACTTCCATTTGACCCAGTGATCCCACTTCTAGGAATATACCCTAAGAAGCCTGAAATACCAATCAAAAAGAATATATGTACCCCCATGTTCATAGCAACACTAATTATAATAGCTAAGATCTGGAAACAGCCCAAGTGTCCATCAGTAGACGAATGGATAAAAAAGTAGTGGTGCATATATACAATGGAGTACTATGCAGCTGTAAGAAAGAAGAATCTTTTATCCTTTGAGACGACATGGAGGGACCTGGAAAGTATTATCCTAAGTGAAACAAGACAAGCAGAAAAAGACAAATGCCACATGATCTCACTTATATATGGAATATAATGAACATAACAGTCTGAGGAATAGGGTAGACCCAGAAACACAGAAGTAGGGTACACTGACAACCCTCAGAAGAGAGGGTGGTGCGGGGAGGGACGAGATAAACCACAGAACTTATATGCATGTATGCATAACCAATGGACATGGACAACAAAGCCGCGGACGGGGCAGGGGGGATGGGGAGGAGGGTGTCAATGGGGTAAAAAAGGAGAAACATCTGTAACAAAAATACAATTAAAAAAATAAATAAAAATAAAATAAAAGTACTTCTTTTTTTAATTTTTTATCCTCACCCGAGGATATTTTTCGATATTTTGTTCAGATGGAGTGGGAGGGAGAGAGAGAGAGAAACATCAACGTGAAAGGGACACATCGAGTGGTTGCCACCTGCACAACCCAACCAGGGCCAGGGCCAAACTGCAACTGAGGTACGTGCCCTTAGCAGGAACTGAACCCAGGTCTCTCTGGACCACAGGCTGACGCTCCAACCGCTGAGCCAAACTGGCCAGGGTGATTTAAAAGTATTTCTAAAATTATGACCCAAGTCAATAAAATGTGATTTTTTTTTTTTTTTTACAAAAAATACACATACACATTTTTCAGAAGCGCATCTCTGTTAAATTAGGTATGCCTGCACTCAGTGAATCGCACATTAAAACAGAAAGCAGTCAGTATACACTACCAGCAAGACAGGATTTTTTAAAATACATATTTAGGTAGTGACGTCATTGCATGTAAAACGTAAGCACCACAAACGCAAACTTGGCAGATGGAAATGCACCGTACCGAAGTCTCCAGCTGAGTGCGCCTCGGAATAGGAGCTGTGGAAGTCCACCTGGGCGGGGAGAGAGCATCGCAGTCTCACAGCGCGGCCAACTCCTTCCCCGAGCGCAAGCAGACTGCTGATCGGGCTTAGAAAGCAAGCTCAACATTCAGAGACATTAGTTTTATTCTTCTGTCTGTGAGGAAATCACATGGCAGCTGTGTGCTCAGCTCGGCAAGATGCCCACACAACCTCCAGTGAGTCCCATTCACGCGTCTCAAAAAATCTATCAACATCGATGAATGAAGGACCATGGGACTCCCAGAAGCTAAGTCAACAGGTAAGATCACAATGTCACCTTGGGGATATGGCATTTTCACACAGAAAATTAAAAAGGGGGGGAAAAAGCCCAAAACACATGGTACTATTACCTTTAAACAGAACCAAGTAGTAGGTATATGTTTTATGCAAGATTACTAAGATACACAGCTTGGCCTGGCCGGTGTGGCTCAGTGGTTGAGCGTTGACCCTGCACCAAGAGGTCACTGGTTCAATTCCCGGTCAGGGCACGTCCCAGGTTGTGGGCCAAATCCCCAGTGGGTGGCATGCAGGAGGCGGCCAATTGATGTTCTCTCTCATCGATGTTTCTCTCTCTCTCTCTCCCTTCCTCTCTCTCTAAAGATCAATAAAAAAAATTTTTTTTTTGCCCTGACCTGTTTGGCTCAGCGGATGGAGCATTTTTTTTTTTTTTTAAGATACACAGCTTGACTAAAACATAGAATTTCTCAAACACTGTGATGAACACAAGACCTTGCATCCGCTGAGCCGTCAGTGCCCACCAGCTGCTCTGCCACGTGCAAGAGCTCACCCAGGTGGCAAGGATGTGACGATAGAAATCCGCCAAACACTCTCTGGGCAACAAGCCTTCTTTCCACATAACATGTGAATAACCTGATGTTTTCCTTTTTTTTGAAAATGACGGGTTCACGCCCATGAGGTCATTAACCCCACCACAGGGACTCACGGCTGCCATTGTCCTCAGGAACCCCTGCTCGATGCCCAGGCTGTGCCAGCTGACGTCTGCAACCATGTGAGAGGTGATCCCAAACAGAAAGGCAACCAGCTTCTCAGTGTCCTGACATGTCAACAAAGCAGAGTCGTGAGTTTGGGTTACTCCACAACAATCCTACAGGACGTTTTAACACATATGCATTTATTTCTGTTACTGACACAATAAAAAATCACTGTCTAGTTATCAAAAACCACAAAGGACTTCGGGCATGTTTTACGTGCCTTGGAAGTGTTTTCAGATTAATCAGTATTAGACAAAACGACTAAGTGACATACCCCAAACTTTAAAAATAATTTCTTCACCTTGGCCAGTGTGGCTCAGCGGTTAGAGCGTTGGCCTGCGGTCCAGAGAGACCTGGGTTCGGTTCCCGCTAAGGGCATGTACCACAGTTGCAGTTTGTCCCCGGCCCTGGTTGGGTCATGCAGGTGGCAGCCACTCGATGTGCCCTTTCCCATTGATGTTTCTCCCCCCCTCCACACCTCTATCTGAACAAAATATGGAAAAAAGTCCTTGGGTGAGGGTTAAAAAAAAGGGGGGGCACGAACCTTGGTTGTGGTTTGTCCCCGGCCCAGGTTGGGGTCGTGTGGGTGGCAACCAGTCAATGTGTCTCTCTCACATCGATGTTTCTCGCCTTCTCTTCCCCCCTCTCTCCTTCCCGCTCTATCTGAAAATAAATGCAAAAATGTCCTCAGATGAGGATAAAAAAATTAATTAATTAAAAAATAAAAATAATTTCTTTACATCATAACCGGGATCTCCTGGTTGCTGCCTGGCATAAAGTCACAGTGGTCAGTGACCCTCACAGAGGGGGAGGGGTGGCAAATGAAGTCAACACAAGTGCAGAAATAGGACTTGATTTTTTTTTTGGTTACTCCTCACCCGAGGATATTTTTCCATTGATTTTTAGATAGAGTGAAAGGGAGAGAGGGAGAGAGAGAAACATTGATGTGAGAGAAACACATTGACTGGTTGCCTCCTGCACAACCCAGACTGAGCCTGGGGATCAAACCTGCAACCCAGGTACATGCCCTTGACCAGAAATCGAACCCATGACCCTCCAGTCCCTGGGCTGGTGCTCTAACCGCTGAGCCAAGCCAGCCAGGGCCGGACCTGCAGTTTTAGGATGAGAGGCCGGCCTACCTTCCCCCAGGGCTGGGGGTAGTTCTCCCGAATGTAATGGACGCTGGCGCTGAGGAAGGGGGTCCAGTGCGTGCTCTCGGACACGTCGTGGAATCGCCCTGAAAGAACAAAGCAGCGCTCAGGGCTCTTCCTCGAGGAGGCGGCTCCCGGCCAAACCCTCCAACCCGCCCGGGCACTGCTCCTTCCACCTCCCCTCCAAGGCTCGTGGTTTCTTCTGTGGATTCACAGGAAGTCTCTAGAGGGAAGTGCTGGGAGAGACAAGAGACCCCAAGCTCACAGCGTCTGTCCTAGCACAGATCTGGGCCCTAAAGCTACGGAGGTGAACTGTGTGTGTTCACTTGAAATATTGTGACCACCGCTGTCCACCTCCCTGAAAGCACAGAGAGATGCTCCAAGGCTCTGAAGTGGGGAGAGGCTGGGTCCTGACTCGCCCAGCTCCCCATCCATCCGTGGGTCACAGTGGGCTGGTGCGGCCCCAACTGAGGTCCGGCCCCACTGCGTGGCCCTCTCCACGCAGCCTGCCTGGCTCCTCTGTTCCACAGTGGCTGCCTCCTGCCACCGCCCGCACAGTCATCCTGTCGGCTTACTAAAGCCCCCTCCAATGACATCTGCGGATGCCTCTGTGTCCCACCGGAGCCACACAGACACAACCCATGACACTGCCTTGGCTTTGCATGGCATGGGACACGATAACCCCCATCCGTGCAGAACAACCAGGTCAAGCCCAAGACGACCAGGTTGCAGGCACAGAAACCAACTCTGCTTGAAAAGGACTTTGCCAAGGTCACTGCTAACACTCAACACAGAAGAAGCCAGCTCAGGCCGTTCATCTCGTTCAAAATGTTTTCCCTTCTGCCTCCCAGTAGAAAAGTGGGTTCACGTGTTCAGAATTTCTGTACTGAAGCAGGTACGTTCTGGTCACGTTGAAAATGCAATGCCGTAAACCAAGTCACAGACCAGCAGGAGTGGAAAGTGTAATGTGCTGTATGTTTTTAAGTCAAAGTGAACCCTGCTGACCAGGTAAAGGTGCGTCACAGACCTGCAAGCCTTCCCCCACCTGTTTCGCAGATGCTGGGGTAGAAGGCGTCGGGGAACACGGTGCCAGCCTGGTACGCATCCCGGTGTTCCAGCAGCAGCTGGGGAGCAGGAAATGCAGAGATCAGGGCAGGGCCACCGACAGACAGGAGGTGAGGACCACAGGGCAGAAGCAAACAAAGTCCACGTAACCCAACACAGGACCCCCGCGTGCAGCGTCAGGCTCCTTCCTGCCGAACGTGGCTCAGCGGAAAGCACCGCCACCCAGGACCTCCCTCCTCCTGCCTCCCTCCGCCCGCACAGCGCGTGGCCCAGGGCTCTCTCAGGACCCAGAGCTGGGCTGTGGCAAGATTTTCAAGGATGCAGTGAAACTCAGTGAAGTGAGAAAAATGCAGACACACACACATATATGATATACGCACACATGTACACGCATGTCAATTTATAAGCCTGTCCTTTAGGCTCTGGGAGGGTAAGGACACCTGCTTCCTTTTCACAAGGACATGGCAGCAGGTGTGGAGGTTCGCAGTGTCCTCCCTCGAAGACTGGCTCACGCCGTTCCGCCCTGTCCTGTGGGGGACCCAGGGTCCCTAGACAGTCTGGAAAACGAAGCTGGCCCCCAGCCTCCACGTGGAGCCCAGGTCCCCTTGGCCTCGCCAGCTGCTAGGAAGGGCGTGGTTTCCCGCAGCACAGGTGTGGAGCCCAGGTGTCCACAGGCAGAGTTCAGAGTGTCCGTTTTGTGGAAGTAAAAATTTTCACCAAAAGTCCAGGCCGGATTTGCTCAGTGGTTAGAGCGTCAGCCCGCAGACCGGAGAGACCCATTTTTGGTTCCCGCTAAGGGCATGTACCTCAGTTGCAGTTTGTCCCTGGCCCTGGTTGGAGTCGTGTGGGTGGCAACCACTCGATGTGTCCCTTTCACGTCGATGTGCCCGCCCCCCCCCCCCCCCCCCCCGCTCTATCTGAGGATAAATGCAAAACTGTCCTCGGGTGAGGATAAAAAAAAAAACAGCTGCAGCAGAATCTAATCACGAGGAACCAGGAAAAGGCATGCGAGACTGACATGTCTATTTTGACCATTCATTTTAAATTTTTTCAAAATAGAAAGTAAAATGGGGAATTAGTTGAATAAATTATGGCATGTTTTGGGTAACAGGAAAACATGTCACTGTTAGAAATTCTTCTGAAGAATTCCAGTGACATGGAAAGATCTCTGTAGGTTAAATACAAAAAGCGAGTTACCAAACAGTGTGTGCAGTGTAAGCCTTTTTTCTTGGGGAAAAAAAAAGTGCTAATAAATATAGGAAAATGCCTGGAAACATATAAAGCAAAATGATAACATCGGTTATCTCTGAGAATGTTTTCTTACAATGAGTTATCAGTTTCCTAATCAGAAAAGATGAAACCTGTTCCCTGGGCAGGGAGGGCAGAGCAGGGAGAGGACCAGACCAGCCAGGTGACCGCAATGCTCTGGCCTCCTGGTTAGCAACCACATTCCATTTGTTCTTTAGAAAGGGGTCCTCAGGGCAGAGGCCTAGGTGGTCCCTATAGTTCCCGGCAACTGATAAACTGGTTTCTCAGCTTCACACATTGGTCCCTTATTAAGTTGTTTAGCATTAAGTCAAAATCTTTTTTCTTTAAAGCTTTTTTAAAAATACATTTTTATTGACTTTTTAGAGAGAGAGAAAGGGAGAGAGAGATAGAAACATCGATAAGAGAGAAACATCGATTGGCTGCCTCCTGCACACCCCCTACTGGGGATCGAACTGCAACCCAGGCATGTGCCCCGACCGGAATCGAACCAGGACCTCTTAGTCCATGGGAGGGCGCTCAATCCACTGAGCCACAGCAGCTGGGTCAAAATCTTTAAAGAGCCAGCACCTCTGAATGTTTTAACAAAATAAAAATCACAGAACCAACCAAACTCTGCAGAGCTGGCCAAGATGTTGCCAGCCTGTGGGGGTCCGTCTGTGCAGCCAGCCCACCCCTCCAGGTCATGACCTCTGCAGCATTTCACCAAACTGTACCAATGAGCCCAGAGGTCACCAGAAAGCAGGCTTTGGTAGGAAGGAAAAATCTGCAAAGATTCCCACATATGGAAATAAAAAAATCAATCACCCATTTTTAATTATTTTTCTTTGCATTTATCTTCAGATAGAGTGGGAGGGAGAGAGAGAGAGAGGAAAAGAGAGAAACATTAATATGAGGGAGACACATCAACTGGCTGCCACCCACACCACCCCAACCTGGGCCAGGGACAAACTGCAACCAAGGTACGTGCCCTCAGTGGGAACTGAGGCTGATGCTCTAACTGCTGACCCAAACTGGCCAGGGCTCAATCACCCTTTTTAAAAAGGGGTTGAATGATAACATTATAAAAGGTCAAGTAATGCCCAGCTGGTGTTGCTCAGTGGTTGAGCGTCAACCCCTGCACCAAGAGGTCGCTGGTTCGATTCCCAGTCAGGACACATGCCCAGGTTGTGGGTTGAACCCCCAGTGGGGGGCGCGCAGGAGGCAGTGGCCGATCGATGTTCTCTCTCACATCAATGCTTCTATCTCTCTCTCTTTCCTTTGTCTCTCAGAATAAAACAAAAACAAACAAACAAAAAACATATAAAAACCTATTTAAAAAAAGAATTGTGCTTGTCACAAAGTATCCTTTAGCCATAGAAGGAGGAACGGCGGGGCGGGGCGGGCCAGATACGGGACTTGAGGAAGGGGGAGGTGAGCCCACACAGTGAGACCCAGACAGGCAGGTGGAGCCGGAAGCAACTCAGAGGACACTTCTGAGGAAAGTCTGGGTGGTGATGCAATTTGTATGCAGCACACTAACAAGAAGTGGAAAATCCATGGCTGAGCTTAGATAAGTCCTCAGCAGTTCAAGCATCAGCCCGGGTTCAATTCCGGCCAAGGGCATGCACCTCGGTTGGGGTTCGTCCCCGGCCCTGGTCGGGGTCGTGCAGGAGGCAACGAGCCAGTGTGTCTTTCTCGGGTCGATGTTTCTCTCTCCCTCCCACTCTATCTGAAGATAAATAGAAAAATATCCTCAGGTGAGGATTTTTTTAAAAATGGCTCTGGCTCTGAAAATTACTATTTAAATATCTGTTAGGGTCTTTGCTTGGCAGCCAGGAAAGAAAGCGAGCCGAGGAGGAAGACCACACGTACCTCTCTGTAGTCCACGCGCCCAGCCTGCAGCTGCAGGAGCTCCAGCGCTCTGTGCCCTGGGGGAACACACAGGCTCCGTCAAGTCCAGCCGTAAGCTGCAAACTCAACTTCCCGACATTCCAAAGGAAAATAATGTTATGGTTGTGCTTGTGAAGGAAGAGGGGAATGAAAATTAACTTTGTACTCACTCGTCATTTTCAGTGGCCATGACTAGAGTCAGACAATATCCATATCAGGGACATTAACATAAAGATCATAACAACACTACACATCAGTCTGGGCAACGGTTCAAAGGCCCTGCTTCACCAGCCCTGTGGCCTCGTCCCCGCCTACGTTAAAGTCAGCAACAATGCCCACCTTGCAAGTGTGCTGAGAGAGTCACAGAAAATAAGTGCTGTGACAAGCGCAATGGCTGACACATGGAACGAGCTCACTAAACAGGTCTCCACCATCGTGTGACCACCTCACACCTCACCTCACCCTGGCTGCTGAGGTAGATACACTCGAGGAGGAAGCGTGATCCAGGGCGTGCTGTCATCACCCGACTACTTCAGAAGGCCACCAAGTCTCAGAAGGCCACCTGCCCCCCCTACTCTGCCCCCCCCCCCCCCCGCATACCCACACAGGACACCCACATCCCGAATCTTCTCAGAATCAACCGGAAAAGGAGCATTCCTGGTGAAGAGATACCTTATTTCTATTGTGAATCACATCCAATTTTTAAATTCATACAAGAAAACAGCCACTACTCTAAGTGGCTCATTTCCCAGGAGTGAAAACACATTACTACCCACGTCATGCAAGAGCCACACCTGGTGCTCCCCCGTCACCCACATCCAGATGACTCCGCCTTCACCCTGAGCTCATGGGCACCGGCTAAGTGTACCCCAGTTCTCCCTAACTCCTGTCTTCACACCAGGCAACTGAAATGCCGGGGACCACGCCAACTCCCTGAAGCTGGCCCCCTTTAAAGCCCCTGACTCAAGGGACCCACTCCGTGGCCACATGTGGCCCTTTACATGTACTTGGAGACGGAAAACAACATTAAATACCTCACTCCCCTGTATTCCACCCTTCACTCCTCTCCTGGAGCCTCTGTGTCCCCAGCTCCTCACTCTGCCCACCCACAGAAGCTCCAAGACCCTCTAGCTTCCCACCGCTCCACCAAACCCACCCCAACAACCCCTACACCTGGACAACTCCAGTCCTGGCCTCCTCCTCTCTGCGCCTGGTGGCCAGCACAGCAGTTGATAATCAACTGGTTAGTTATCAACACAAGGGATGAAATTCCAGTCTCGTAACCTTTCTGATAGATTTGGTGTCCTGAACACCGTGACCAGTGTCCGGCTCTTACCTATTTCTATGTGTGTTGAAATGCCACACGGGGAGCCTCCAGGGCACAGCGAGCCCAGTGTGATGAGCAGGCCAGACCAGAACCTGCAAGAAGATATGCTGTGGTCACTCAGTGCCCCCTGGTGCTGGGACTGACCCCACCTGCTACACCTGCCCCAAATCCCACTCGGACCCTCACTTTTCCTGCACGCGCATCACTGACACAGAAACCAAGCCTCGTTTATAAAAATTATCGCCTGCCAGTACAGCAGACAGACTGCACCTGGGAGAGAAAAGGGAGAACCTGAAATCCAAGTGCCTCCAGGTGGGAGCCCTGCCATCTCCCTCCAGAGGCTCCCTCTGCATTTCTAAAGCGACGTTTGTACGAGATGCAAGCCAAGTTGTCTCCAAGTATTCTTCGCCTTCTTTTTTTTTTTTTTTTTTTATCCTCACCTGAGGATATTTTTCCATTTTTTGTACAGATAGAGTGGGAGGGAGAGAGAGGAAGGGAGAGAGAGAGAGAAACATCGACGTGAAGGGACACATCGAGTGGCTGCCACCCGCACGACCAACCAGGGCCGGGGACAAACTGCAACCGAAGTACGTGCCCTTAGCGGGAACCGAACCCGGGTCTCTCCGGACCGCAGGCCGACGCTTTAACCGCTGAGCCAAACTGGCCAGGGCATTCTTCGCCTTCTTAAATTAACCAGCCTCACCTGTCTGCACTGAGAACCACTGGACTGGCTGTCTCACCTGACTAGGGCTGATGGCCGGTGCATCCTTCCCTGCTGCCTCAGCCTCCCGCTCCGCGGGCCCTGCACCTCCTTGCTGGGGCAGCTCCTACGATGATCAGCTGGGACTGGCTTCTCGCTCAGTGTTAGGCAACAGATACCGACACCTGTTACTCAAGAGCAGCCAATCCTGCTCTTTACCCTGTCCCTACAGCTCTGTGCGGGCCTGCTGCACAGCCAGATTCCTGCAGCCCAAGCCAACATGCCCATCCCACTTGGGGTGGGAGCAGAGGGACAGATGCAGGGCAGAGAAACAAGGGTTCCAAAAACCCTGGGCTCAGAATATACCTGTCATGAATCCAATCTACAGCACTTAATCTGTAGGAAAAGTTAGGTGAAATTCTTCGTGGAAATGGTGATCTCAGCTCAGGCTTGTTATACCTTAAAAGCAAGGACAGAGATCCTAAGAGGGGGAGGAAAGGATGCTCAGCCTCAGGCTGGCCAAATGGGGGAAGACTAGGAGATGGGATGATCTGAGACCCTGGTGTCTGCCAAGTTCCCTCTAACCTTCCCTCGGTACCTGCAGAAACTGGGCCAGAACCCGAAGCCCTGCCTTGGGGCAGCAGGCCCGGCTGCGTGGAGGCCAGACACCACAAGCCGATTGTTTTGTTTGGCTAACAGGGTGTTTTATAAACTTAGGCCAATTTTTTTCATGGAAAATTTCACGTAGACATTTAGATTTTCAGCTCTCAAACAAACACGAACTGGCCTCAAACTGACATTCCCCTGTGAGATGATGATCAGCTGAAGCAACCCCAAGACAGTGCAGAGAGGGCTTCACGTGAGCCCACAGGTCCCAGGACTCCTCTGCTGGTTTTCCAGCTCATTCGAGGTGCAGCTTTCCAGCTGCTCTGGAGCTTGGGGCCCAGTTCCTCTGCGATGCCACTTGGCTGACCTATCCTGACAAACAGCCTACCTTCATCTAAATCAGTGGCTTGACCTTGAACACTGCCCTGAATTTCCTGTGACAGCTGTAGTTCTCGCTCAGCAAGCCTCCCACTCCATTTCACAGTAGGAAGCCTGAGGTTAAGCAACTAAAGGCACCCAGCTTGTCCACCAGATTCCGAGTTCGCATCCTGGTTAATCTGTCGCTAAAGACTTACATTACGAGGGCGCCCTGCTCCCCCACCGATGGGGAGAATACCCACACACACCCCCAGAGGCACAGCCCGACCACCCCCACAGCTCAGAGCCCACGTCCTCGACAGCAGAGCTGCGGAACCAAGGAACAAGATCACCGCCTTGATAGCTGGGCTCACGTCGCGCATCCCTGGACCAAGCACACATCCCGGGCGCGGAGATGCGGGTTGGGGAGAGTGGAGAGGGGAGAGGCAGCGGTTCCCCTGCTGCGGTCCAGAGCACCCAGCGGGAAGATGACGCGGTCCGCGGGGGCATGCCCACCCCGATCCTAACCCCCTCCCGGGAGCCGCGGGGACCGGAGCGGCGCTGCGCTCCAGCAAGGTCCAGCCGGAGCGCCGGAGAGGGCGCTGCTCGGCGTCTCCGCTACTGCAGCCGCGTCCCTGCGCGTCCCCGACCTTCGCTCCTCCCGGTGCGCGCTCGCTTGCCTGCTTCCTGCCGCCGCCGGGGCCATGACGACCTTCTTGCGGCTGCACAGCTGCGGAGCCCCGCGCCTCCGACCGGCGCTTCTGGGCCGCGGCCTCCGTCCCCGCGCCGGCTGCTGGGCGCCCGGGCCGGCCCCGCTCCGCGCCTACGCCCCAGGCTCGGGCGGCCTCCCCGCGGCGCTGCTGCGCACCGACAGCTTCGTGGGCGGCCGTTGGCTCCCGGCCGCCGCCGCCTTCCCCGTGCTCGACCCGGCCAGCGGCGCCGAGCTGGGCCGGGTGGCCGACTGCGGGGCGCCCGAGGCCCGCGCCGCCGTGCGAGCTGCCTACGATGCTTTCTGCGGCTGGAGGGGCGTCTCGGCCAAGGTGAGGAGGCCCCCGGGGCTTGGCCGCGGTGAAACCAGCCCGTCCTGGGTCATCGAGGTACACCACGCGGAAATCCACAGAAACGCGGAGAGAGACGCTGGACAAATAAATTCCGAGCGTGGGTTTCGTGCCAAGCACTGTGCTGGGCGCTGGGGACACAGCCCGCAAGCCCGCTGAAGTACCAGGAGGGGAGGCTGAACAGGATAGGCGTCTGGGGAGGTGTCCGTGGCTCGCCAGAGCACGAATTAGTCCCAGGATGCGCAGAGACCACGCAGGACGCGGGACCTGCCACTTGGTCTGCTGGAAGGAAGGCGGGATGAGCACCCTGGGCTACAGTCAGGCCGTGGGGAATGGGGTGGGCTGCAGAAAGCTTGGGGAAGGGGGTCAGTCACCCTCCTGACTTTCAGCCCGAATTGGGAAGTACTGCTATGAACTGACCTAGAGACACTGGAAGAATTGTCGGGGTGGAGGATGAGATGGGGAGACTAGAGTAAGAAGAAATTATATGAGATCTTCCTTCTCCTCTTCCACTTACAATGTGGCTCCTGGAGCCAGCCCAGGGAGAGCATTTCTCACCCTGTCCTTCAGCATCCGTCCTCTGAAGACACACAGCCTGATAGGAGGTCCAAGGACCAGGGAGTCTTCACACTCACTCACCCACAGATATTTACTGGGCGCTCCCTGTGTGATGCGCTGTATCCTGGAGGTGCTTGGGGTATGGCAGTCAACAAGAGATCCCTGCCCTTGTAAAGCTCACCTGGGGTTGAGGGGCACAGGGGGATCTAACCTATAAACCATGCTCAGGTAGGTGTGTCGGAAGAGAGAATGCCAGGAGCAGGCAGAGAGGACCGGGCAGATGGACGGGCACAGCGCAGTACTAACAGTGAGGGCAGGTGTATCTGTTGTGGTCAGGGACCACAGACTGGGCGGCTTAGACAACAGAAGCTTGTCTCAGCCCTGGAGGCTAGAGGTCCGAGGGTAAGGTGTCAGCAGGGCAGCCGTCTCCTGCGGCCTCTCTCCTTGGCTTGTGGGTGGCCGTCTTCTCCCTGTGTCCTTACAGGGTCGTCCTTCTACTACTAGTTGGTGTCCTAATGTCTAACCGGAAAGACACCAGTGTTTTCTGCTCCCCCCCTTTCAACACATTCACGCCCCACCGGTTCCTGGGGTCTAGCTCACCTGGTACCTCTTCCACTGATTGGCCTCACACACACCTGCTCCACTCCCTGCGCTGAGCCCCTAGCACGGTCCCACTCCTGGCCTTGCACTTGCCCCCGACACCTTTGTGTTGCCTCCCATCAGTCCAGGTCACTCCTTGTCCTCACCTGTGGACCCCTGTTCAGGGACAAAAGAAGCCATTTATCAACCGCCTCACAAGCCAGTGCCTGTGTCTGCCCGGCCGCTGCCACACTCACAGCTCAGTGACACAGGACACACTCGTCCTCAGCCCAGAGGCCCGTTCCTCCTGGAGCCTGCCTTGTCTTCCCAGCATCTGGAAGGAGCATCTCCACAGGTGCCTGGCCGAGGGGGATGCAGATGCGGGTCGTCACTGTGCCTGCCAGGCTGGGTCCTGCTCCCGTGTAGTCTAGTCCTTTCCAGGCTCCGTGAGCTCTCGTAGACGCTGATGATATTGTGAGAGATGGGCAGGGGGCTCCTGGCTCACCATCCCTCACTACAGTCCTGCACAGTGGGGGAGAGGGGCTGGGAGCCCCGTGGGATTCCATCCACTTGAGCCTCCCAGGACTCCTGTTAGTCACATTCACAAAGGCTGTCCTTGTTCCTGGAGCTGCATCACAAAGAACCACAACCTTGGTGGTTTAAAAAAATAACAAAAGCCCTGGCCGGTTTGGCTCAGCGGTTAGAGCGTCGGCCTGCAGTCCAGAGAGACCCGGGTTCGGTTCCTGCTAAGGGCATGTACCTCGGTTGCAGTTTGTCCCCGGCCCTGGTTGGGTCATGCGGGTGGCAGCCACTCGATGTGTCCCTTTCAAATCGATGTTTCTTCTCTCTCTCCCACTCTATCTGAACAATAAATGAAAAAATGTCCTCGGGTGAGGATTAAAAATAAATAAATAACAAAGTTATTCACAGCTGCCATCTATGGTGAGAGTTGTTCGCAAGCTTGTTCTCACAGTCGTGACCTGGTTCACCCCTGGAGACATACCTGGTCGGATCTTTATTTTGCTTCTCAAAGAAAGGGCCCGTGTGTCTCCCCAGGGACGAGCTCATGGCTAAGACTTGAGGAAAGTGAAGATTATTCACTAGTTTCACACTCGCTTGGTGTTTCGCTGTTTCTCTATCTTTTTAATCTCTTTTTCAGGAGAGGAGTTCATTTCTTCGGAAATGGTATGATTTAATGATACAAAATAAGGAGGACCTCGCGAAGATCATCACAGCCGAAAGTGTAAGTCCAGGGCCCTGATCGGCTGTGGGGGAAACCGTCGGGGGTCTCAGACTGCAGCCTGGGGAGCCGCCGATGTCCCTGCTCTCTGGGGCTAACAGTGTGCATTCTTTGCCTAGAGATCAGATATCAAGGAATTTCTGTGCCAGGCACAGATTTTCTCTAATCAAAGCCAGGCACCAGGTGTGTGTGTCCTAATTTGCTCGTCAGATGTGTGCAGGAGGTGGGTTTGAGCAGCTGTGTGAACGCTGCGTCCCCTTTCCAGTTTGTTCTGTGACTGTGTTGGCTGGTTTCCTGTTGTCTCTGTAGCTCTGTGTCTTTAGCTCCATCAGCACAGTGGGATGGTATGAGGAGAAGTCAGCAGATGCCGTTCTGTCTCCTCCAACAGGTAAACACACTGAAAATGCAGGTGACGACTGTGGTCCGAGCTCACTCCCGTCACCATGTCATTCTGCTTGTTTCTCCACAGCCCGTAGATTTGACGGTGTCAGAAACAGTCGTGTGTTTGTGCTGAGAGGTGATTACGGTGTCCTTTTCCGATTGAATTTAGGGAAAGCCGCTGAAGGAGGCACAAGGAGAAATTCTGTACTCCGCCCTTTTTCTGGAGTGGTTTTCGGAGGAAGCCCGCCGCGTCTATGGAGACATCATCTGCACCCCCTCGAAGGAGAAGCGGGCCCTGGTGCTCAAGCAGCCGCTTGGTGTGGCCGCCGTCATCACCCCGGTATGCAGCAGGATCAGCCAGGGCCTCGGGAAGGTGTGCCATCCTGTTAGCTGTCACCTGGTCGAGGCTTCCTGATTCCTTTGTGGAATTTGGAGGGGTGTTTCCTGGTCCTCTGTGGTCTGAGAGGCATGGGTGGCCGCGGGAACACGTTTCCTAACACCTGTGAGTGGGAGGACCCACAGGAGGACACAGGGGCTTTTTTGACTTGGCCTAAAGGCTTCTTCTTGGCATTGTCTGATTATCATGTTGGAAAAGATCTTCTGGTATTTATCATTTTTGTTTGTTTGTTTTTTTATCCTCACCTGAGGACATTTTTCCATTTTTTGTTCAGGTAGAGTGGGAGGGAGAGAGAGGAACAGAGAGAGAGAGAGAGAGAAACATCGATGTGAAAGGAACACATCGAGTGGCTGCCACCCGCACAACCGACCAGGGCCGGGGACAAACTGCAACCGAGGTACATGCCCTTAGCGGGAACCGAACCCGGGTCTCTCAGGACCGCAGGCTGACGCTCTAACCGCTGAACCAAACCGGCCAGGGCTGGTATTTATCATTTTTAAAGACTTCAGACAGGACACATTTTTTAATGGTCTGCCTGGCTGGGCTGCAGCAGCTGGTGGGTGCCCAGCTTTCTCTCAGTGACCAGCCTCTTTGGACCCACCCCCACGAGGTCTCATGTCAGCTTCTCTCCTGTGTCTGCTGGCCGCTCTCCAGACAGCTGCTTGGCCCAGTTACAGACAGGCAGCTGCGACCGACCAGGTTCGACTCAGCTCACTGTTTACTTGCTGTATGACCTTAGGCAAGTCACTTAACTGCTTCCTGTCAGCTTCCCCAAACCTGCAAGTAAGGATAATAATACCGACCTCATTGGATTTGATGGAGACTTAATTAATTTTTATTTAACAGAGCTTAGAACAGTACCAGCCACAGAACACACGTTACATAAGTATGTGTCACAGTAAAATAAAGTGCTGTTAATACAGACACGTACATGCCCACAGACATCTAAATAAATAGAGAGGGAAGAAATAAATCACCTGGTATTTTCAAAGTCACCTTTGCTAATGCTCAGGTGGACAGTGTGCTCACCTGTGAGGGTCCGGGAACCACCTACCCGTAACGGTGCAGTGGGTCTGCTGACTGGCCTCCTGACCAGCCAATGCGTGTCGGGCGGCGCTTCCTCTAACGGCCGCCTCTGCTTTTCTGTCCCTAGTGGAACTTTCCCAGCGCCATGATCACCCGAAAGGTGGGGGCCGCCCTGGCTGCCGGCTGTACCGTCGTGGTGAAACCTGCCGAAGACACACCCTTCTCAGCCCTGGCCCTGGCCGAGGTGAGCCCTTCCCGTGCGAACAAGGATGTTGCTCCCCTGCCCCCCCCGCCCCCCGGGAGAAACACGCAGTTGGAAGCCTCTATCTCTGCCTACATGTGCTGGATGTTGTTGTTTTAACTTACCAGCAATTATTTTAAGTCAGATATTGCCCTTTTTAGACAAAACAACTGGTGGAGGATTTCCTAACATCTGTAGGCAATACATATTTTAGGCTGCCCTAAAAATCCTACCTGTCCAGCATTTGTATTAAGCAGGCATCCCAGTCAGGTGACTGCACCTGGACATTTGTCACAGTGGGGGCCTCTCGCTCACCTCTCCCTTCTCCGGTTCAGTGTGCAGCCGATGTTATTCTTCTGTTTAAAGCCCTCATGGCTTCATGTCACTCAGAGTGAAACCCAAGCCTCCCACAGAGCCTTCAGGCCCCAGGAGATGCCACCTGCCCAACCTTGTCCCCGGCTTACCTGCCACTGCGGAGCCCCTTATGCACCCACTCCCACTGCTCTGGCCCCTGCGGCTCCTCGGGCCATGCTGGGTGCACTCCGACTCCTCTTGACTGAAAGGGTTTTCCATGTTTTTTTTTTAAATCCTCACCTGAGGATATTTTTTTCATTTATCTTCAGATAAAGTAGGAGGGGGAGAGAGAGAGAGAGAGAGAGAAACAAACAAACATCTACAGGAGAGGGACACATCGACTGGTTGCCTCCTGCATGACCCCAACCAGGGCCAAGACGAACCGCAACCGAGGTACGTGCCCTTGGCCGAAATTGAACCTGCGACTCATTGGTCCACGGGCCCGTGCTCTAACCGCTGAGCCAAACCGGCCCGGGCGGTTTCCCCGTATTGTAAAGAGTGACCCCGACTGCCAGGCATTCACCATCACCTGCCACTCAGCGTCTGTCTGCGGCTCGCACCCGCGCTTGTGGTTCCTGACACTTCCTCTGATAGGCTCAGCGACCACATCCAGTTCTGACTGCTGACCTCAGGCCACGCCCACTGTGCTCGGAAACCCCTGCTGCAGCATATAAAATCCTTGGTTCTCATGCTTTTACTTGAGTGTGTGAAACGTGTCCTCCGTTTTCTTGTGACACGAGGGGTTGCTCTTGCAAGTCTGATAGTCTGAGTTTCCTGCATTTATAAGTCAGCTTGTGTTTTCTGCCTAGATTCCCCAAAAGAGAGTTTTTTCCCTTTATCTTTAAAGGCCAATAGTATTACTAGAGTGTCTTTGTGATGCTCGTTCTGGGTTGGCCCTTCCGGTCTGCAGGGTGCTCCTTCAGGGCTGGGTTCAGACCTCTTTTCAAGATCCAGAAGGTGTCCAGTCTGTCTAGACACTGGGTTGGTTATGTCCAGAAACGGCTGTGTGTGGAATCTTTTGTGTCATGTTCTGTATCTTTTTCATCTTTTCCCTGATCTTTCAAGGTATCTTTTTTTTTTTTTTTTTGGTATGTGCCCCTAGTGGGAACCGAACCCAGGACTCTCTGGTCCGCAGGCCGATGCTCCAACCACTGAGCCAAACTGGCCAGGGCATCAAGTTATCTTCTTTTTCACGTATTTGTTTCTCACAGTTTATCTGTTGTGTTTTTTTGGTCTTGTGTTCCTTCTCATTTACTTTTCATTTCTGAAGTGAAATGTTTCTTTTATTTCTAATTCTTTCCTGTGTTCTCTCATCTCATTTCTAAATGTTTTCTCCTTCTGATTCATGCTGTTCTCTTGGGTCTTGTTCAATGTCCTCGTCCCCTTCTGCCCACAGTCAGGTGCAGCTTCGGGCTATTTCATGGGCTTGTCTCTCCAGTTTCTACTTTTCGCCTGTAGGGTGCTTTTCTGCTCCTTATTCTTTTGTTTTCTTTTAATAACTTTGTACAAGATTTGACTTCCACGTTTTTCTGAGAATGTAGCTAATGTTTTTTCTTTATTGATTTTTAGAGAGAGAAAAAGGGAGAGGGAGGAAGAGAGAGAAACATCGATGAGAGAGAACATTGACGGGCTGCCTCCTGCATGCCCCCCACTGGGGATTTGGCCCACAACCTGGGCATGTGCCCAGACAGGGAATTGAACCGGTGACCTCTTGGTGCAGGGTCGACACTCAACCACTGAGCCACACCAGCCGGGCAAAATGTAGCTTATTTTTGTTTGTTTGTTTTTTTGGTACGTGCCCCTAGCGGGAACTGAACCCAGGACTCTCTTGTCCACAGGCCGACACTCCAACCGCTGAGTCAAACCGGCCGGGGCAAAATGTAGCTTATTTTTATGTGAAGTTAGTTTTTAGTTTTCCTAACCTTTCAGCAGGAGGCCTGGGTAGAGAGGGCTTCTCGGCCTTCACAGAACCTTTGAGTTTCTTGCTTCCTGATGTTCCCTGTCCTGTTCCTGGGCCTCTTCCGCCCCCATCACTTGTCGCCTGGTTCTTAGGGGCTGCTTCTTTGGGGGCCCTCAAATCCCTGTATGCAGGGAGGCCCTTGCGCTCATGCCCACAGACTGCTCACCGTGCTGGGTGGTTCCAGCTGCAGTTCCCCGGCAGCCTGTGTCCCGTGAATACCTGTGGTCCGTGGGGCTCTGTGACTAGCCCAGTGGACACCCTGTTGTTGTCTCAGCTGTCTGGTAGGGCCCCACCTACCTTTAATTTGCAGTCTGCGGCGATCCCTGGCAGTCGGCGTGTTGTGGCGTCTCAGCCCACTGACAGTGCTGTCATGTAGACACGCCTGGGGTGCTCACCTGGACGCACAGGGAGTTCCCAGAGACTCCTCCCTGCTTTTGGAACCAGTGTTGTGGCTGGACCAGCCCTGGTGGGGCTCAGTATGACTGCAGGACGCACCCTCAGCGGTGACCATGGGGACTTCAAAAATGAGGTGCATCACTCACAGGTCCTGGGGGACGGACCTGCCGAGGGCCACGTGGCCATGTTTTTCAGGTTCACTCCTTTTTTAAAATATGTTTTTATTGACTTTTTTAGAGAGAGAGGAAGGGAGGGGAAGAGAGAAACATCTATCGGCTGCTTCCTGCATGCCCTGCCCAAAATGGAGCCTGCAGCCCGGGCATGTGCCCTGACTGGAGTCAAAGCCAGGCAGTCCACGGGCCGACACTCCATCCACTGAGCCACCATGGTCTGGCTGGTCACTCTTCATTGATGGATTTAAGCGTAGCAGCAGAACTGAAGTGCAGGAAAGCAGAGACAGGTGGCCATGTGGTCGGTGTCCAGAGACCTCTGGCAGAGAAGGAGACTCAGGGGAGAGCTCGGAGGTGGGCGCTGGCCACCAGAGCCCCAGCCAGGTGCTCGCATCACAGCGCAAACGGCAGCCGCTGCCGGCGCACCCACCTCGGCTCCTGGGCACGCTGCCTCTGGTGGCTCGGGTGGCTGCCCGATCGCTGTTTTGAGGGGATTTAGAGACACAGGCTCTCCTGCTCCCGCCATCCCCAGAGTCTCCAGTCAGGGGCAGTAAGTTCCTATGGACAGGATTCGGAAGTTACAATTCAGGCTTTGCCCCATCAAAGAGAAGCACCGCGGGAAGAGCGAGGGTTTCGGAAGGCAGCTGTGGGCTGGCCGGCTGGTGCTGCACCCCGCCAGGCCCACCTCTCCTTGCCTGCACACGGGGCACCCATGCAAAGCCAGCGCCCCAGAGTGCTCTCTCCACACTGTCCTCGGCCTCCCCTCTGCTTCCTCGGGGGGAGTCAGCATTGGCTTCTTTCAGCAGAGGGGGGCTCTGACGTTCAGACTCAGGAACGCCTCCCGGCAGGTGTGTGACGGCAGAGCCATCAAGTTGGCACTAAGAGGACTCATTTCAGTTCCAGATCCATTCTGATCCTGTCCCCTGTCAGCTCAGCTTTCCCCATTGCATTCTGGAGTAAAACATCGATTTTTCTGTCCTGCTCTCTTGCTTGCTGGCCCCCTCCACAGCTGGCGCACCAGGCTGGCGTCCCTCCTGGGGTCTACAACGTCGTCCCCTGCTCCAGGAAGAAGGCCAAGGACGTCGGGGAGGCACTTTGCACCGACCCGCTCGTGTCCAAAATTTCCTTTACTGGCTCGACAGCCACCGGAAAGGTACACAACTTCAGAAAACATGTCATTTCAGTACTTTTTATAACATGTAAAAATACTGTCTCACCTTGATCACCATTTGCAGGAAGTGGTCTGGCAGAGTGTTAACTCCTTCGAACACTGTGTCTGGTCCCCTCTGGAGACACGTCGGTGGTTCTCCTCCTGGTGACGTGTCGCAGGTTCCTGGCTGCCTGAAGGAGCTGGGCGGTGTGTGAAGGGAGTGAACTTCCGGTCTGAGTTCTGGAATGAGGTTTCTTTCCCAATCTAGAGTCAAGGATTCCAGAAGCACACAGTGTGTGTGGGAATGGATGTCTCAGAAGTGAATGAAAATGACATAAAGGTACTTACAGAAACAAAAGGGACTTTTTAAGTGTTCAAAAGAGCAAAAAGGCAGATAGAACCAGTTTTTATTTATGGTATTTCCCTTCCAACAGTATACTTTTTTCCTGCTGGTGTGTGTGTGTATGCACGCGTGTGTGCACACGTGCTCAGGCTGGACATGTACATGAAAACATCAAAAATAACATACATCTAATCTGACCTTTTTTGTGAAACTGGTCATTTCCAGACATCGTGAGCAGCACGAAGGAGTAACTCCCAACCGTGATAAAGTCACACCCAGGGCCTGGCGCTCCGGGAGCCTGCCTCCCCGTCTCAGCAGCAGGGACTTTAGACCCGTAACCGCACAGTGTGGGTCCGGGGCCTCCCGGCCAGACTCACCCGGAGGGAAGCAGCTGGAGAAGGGCCTGGGAGAAAACACCGCAGACTTTTGCCACTGGAGGCAGAGATTCTCCGGGTGCTGGTGAAGGCCAGCAGCTCAATGCTCTTCCCCACTTTGCTTGGCGGACTGTCACGGCCTGACAGCCCCCAGGACAGTACCGCCATGTTCCTGCCATGCCCAGCTCACCCTTGAATGATTCACCCAGGAAGTGACCTTCACGGGGGGGTGGGGGGAGTAAGTAATGAAGGAACAACCACTCTGTGTGGCAGGGACCCCTTCCGAGCTGATCTCTGCAGAGAATTGGCGGCGAGCACCTGACCTTCAGACACAGTCTTGCCAGCCCCAGACAGGAGCCCTGCCCTCTCCCACCTGGGGGCCACCCCTCTGGGCCGCGGGGGGACAGCTGCCATGTTTAGAGCACAGAGCATCTTGTCTCTTCCCACGCAGAGTGGTGCTCCGACTGAGGGAACAGACTCCTAGGCTGACAGCACCCGGACTAGGGAGCCTCTGGGCTTGGGAAGCTGCGGTGCTGAGGGCGGCAGTGGGAACCAGAGTGGACGGAGTCCTGACGAGGTGACAGCAGCAGCCAGAGCCAGGTTCAGGCCATGTCCTGAGGACAAGGGGAGGGCCCGGCAGAGGGCCCAGAGCCAGCGCACTTGGAGGGGAGATACCTTGAGGTGGGTTTGCACCCAAGGCCAGGTGAAGGCCAGGGACCCCAAGTGAGTGAAAGCAGGAAGACCAGTGGCCTGGCAGAGAGCACTTCTTAAAAATTCTTGAGTCCAACACTGAAATATGCTTAGTCTTAAAACGCACTGCGCTGTTGGATAGTGACAGTCGATGAGAAGACCTGGGCCTGCAGAGAAAAACACCTGGGCCTGCAGAGAAAAACACCTGGGCCTGCAGAGAAAAACACCTGGGCCTGCAGAGAAAAACACCTGGGCCTGCAGAGAGGTGCAGCACAGAAGTGTCTTTCCAGCTGTTCTGATTGTTGACCAGGAAGAGCTCTCGCAAAACCCTCCTCCTCAGTGTGCATCACTGGGGGCCGTTCCTAGCGTGACTACGGTCCGTCTGTCTCACCGAAAAAGCCCTGATTCCATCTTCCCTGTGGCTGTGACTGGACAGAGACCTGCTATCTGAATCATGCAGTTAAATATCCCCGGCAGCTTTCTGGGCCATAAACATCTCTCACTGATGTTTCATCCTACAGCCGAAGGCATCACAGAGCCTTGAATTCAGCGGCACGTGCCCCTTCTCTTCCAGATCCAAATAAGGGAACCACAGTGTCAATTTCAACAGCAAAGACTTGAAAACAACCTACATTTTCAACAGATGGGGCCTGAATGAATGAATGATGAACAGTCACACAGTGGAAACAATGCAGGCATCTAGGGAATGTGCTAGAAGTACATGTGCCGACTGAGGGGATGTTCCCACCGTGGTGAGGGGCGAGGTGCAGAGTGCTGTGAGCATGGTAAGAAGTTCCAGATTCACAGTTGACTGGGAAGACAAAGCAGGTCACGGAACTGGAACGCTACCATGCTGTTTTCGCTCTTTCTTTTAAAGCATACATGTTATCAGTGGTAAGCCAGGAGTTCTGGACATCTGGGTGGTTTCACTTTTGTGGTTCAAGGAACAAGGTATCACCATCGTGTTCCCCCGGGACGTTCCACCCCCACCTTTGGCCTGTTCCCTCTCCCACGTCCTGAGTAATTACTTCTGGTTTCTCATTGACCTTTCTGGGTTTGTCATGTACAAGCAAATATGAACACACGTGTTCACTTCCTTCTTTCTTATGCTAAGTATCATCGCACCCCCATGTGCACCTGGCTCTCTTCACCGGTGCGTGGTGTTTGGAGAGGGCTCACCAGCCCTGGCAGTTGACCCCCCTCACACAGTATCTCCTATGCTCACAGGTGCTGCTGCGCCATGCGGCCGACTCCGTGAAGCGCGTGTCCATGGAACTGGGCGGCCACGCCCCATTCATTGTGTTTGACAGTGCCAACGTGGACCAGGCCGTGGCAGGGGCCATGGCGTCCAAGTTCAGAAACTCTGGACAGGTGAGTCCTGTGGCGTGTCCCAGGGTTCAGCTATGTCTGTTCTACAAAGATCCTATAGCCTCATGCGTCTCCTGGAAGGAAACCTCTGGGCTCCTCCATGGTCCATTCTTTCTCCTTCCACCTTTTCAGCAAATACCCTCTCTTTGCCAGGCACGATGCTAAACTTGGAGGCTCCCAAGAGAAGTAAGGTCGAGTCCCTGGCTTCCAGAAAGTTCCTGGACAGCAGAGGTCTTTTAATCAAGTTGTTCTGTCTTCGTTCCCCTACTCGGTGAACCTGGTACTATCACAGTTCCCCTCGCTGGGCCGCCCTGTCCTGGACAGGTGTGACCATCCACAGGCACCAGGAGCCTGCCCAGCTGGGGTCTGAGGCCCGCGGTCTAAAGGGAGATGCTGAGATGGAGAAAAATTCTCAACCCTGCAGCCTGGTCTCCTGAGATGGAGGGCATGACAGGTGCCCACTGCGGGGCACACATCAGGGACCAGCAGCCTGCCCACGTGTCCCGGGAGAGTGGTGGCCTGAGCTCATTCACAGAGTCCTGGAGTGTTAGAGGGGGATCTTCAGCGTCAGCTGAAACAAAGCTTGCATTTTACTGGTGAGGACAGGAGACTCTAGAGAGACGAACCGACTTGAGGTCACACATCCTTGGGACACAGTCCCAACCCTGCTAAGGTCTGGATCCTGTCTCCCCAACTCTGTCCAAGCAGTTGCCAGGATCCTGGCTTCTTACAAAATATTCTTAAGCATTTTATCTTAAAGTACCATCAATAAGCAGTTTTAAATGCCTTCCAGAAACAGAATTAAAACTCCTAAAAGGTTATACTGGGGGGGGGGTGTGTGTGTGTGTGTGAAATGTATACTATTCTGTTTTAAATCGTTTTTACCTCGTTTTGGCCTTTGGGACTTCGTTTTTCCTTAATCAGCTTGATTGTTTTAGAAGAGGATGCTTCCTTTTAGAAACACAGAATGCCAACATGTGTGCAACCTTCAGAGTTCCTGTGTACGGCCACACATTTGGGGTGTTGCTTAGAGCCAGTGAAAATGCAGAGGACACAGAATTACCTATGCACTTGTTTCCGCTAGGAAAATAACATGATTAGAAAAAGCACACAAGAAGAAGGTTTGTCAGTGATAACTATATTTCCTATAATATGGTTATATTTTATGATTTTAAAATATTAGGTCTCATAGGAAAAAAATAAACCAGGGTCCCTTGAGTCAGAGGACGTGGACAATGGCCTTGTGTCCTGCTTCACAGTGTCGCTTAGCTGACACCCTGGGAGGCTCCAGCTCCAGGGTGTCAGCAGCCCTGGACGGCCTTCCCCTGGCCTCTGTCCATGCAGCACCCTGTCCCTCTGGGGTGCTTTCCCCCTGTGTGTTTCATGACTTATTCAAGCCATTTGGAAAACGCTGGGTCAGCAGCCTTTTTTCTCTGGCACACAGCTACTTATCCTGTGTGTAACCACAGAGCAGGGGGGCCAAGCAGGGGAGGAGGGGCTGCCACACCTGCTCAGCGGCCTGGGGAGGGAGGCGGCAAGCCGGCCACCTGTGAGCCGCCTGGGACGTGTTTTCTCGCAGAGGGGGTGGCAGCCTCATGATGTTTCTTTCTGGGCCGGGTCAGTAGTTGCCAGCACTGTCCACTGGAGTTTGCTCTTCTCTGTCTAGACTTGTGTTTGCTCAAACCGTTTCCTGGTGCAAAGGGGCATCCACGATGCCTTTGTGAAAAAGTTCGCTGAGGCAATTAAAGCCGACCTGCGTGTGGGTAACGGATTTGAGGAGAGAACCACTCAAGGCCCACTAATCAACGGAAAAGCAGTAGAAAAGGTAGGTTTGTTAATTATATGTTAAATTTCACAGTTTTGGTAGTAAAAGCTTAACTAGCAAAAGGCACTTTGGTAAGGTGCTCGGAAAGGCTATTTTGGAAACGACAGAGAAGTTGAAAAAACTGCATTTCTGCCAATTTGTATGAGTCGTGTGGCGTCATCTGCTCATCAGTTTTTCCAGCTGTCATGGCACTGAGTCCTCATGAGACGTCACTGGAGACAGAGCTCTGGACTACCTCTAGATGGTGACATACACTCAAGTTGACACTGGTGCCCCTGGCATATTTGAGAGGACTTTGGACCCCAAGGGTCCCTCACCAGTGCCACACTGTGGGTCTGCACGTCCAAGGGGTGAGCCTCTAACCACCAGACCCTGGGCCTGCAGTGGAAACGGGTGTGACTTCGTCCGCAGGAGCCTGGGCACTGGGATTCTGAGCGTCCCAGCAAAGGCCAGTCTGCAGCCAGGCCAAGGAACAAGTCCCAGAGTTTGTTGTTCTTGCCAACGTGAAGATGCAGACGCTGCCCTCTAGAGGGCGCTGTTTCCTGGGACTTCAGGCAACCCCAGTTGGTGGCAATTTCATTTGAAATCATCCCCGTGTTGGCTTTTGTGCACGCAGCGGGGAAACTGCAGAGCACGTTTCATGTGCCAAGAAGAGAGCACAGCGGATTTTTTTTTAGGGACAGAGGTGGCCCTGTTAAGTATGTTAAATACAGTTATTATTAGAGAAAGAAGCTTTAGAAAGTAAGCCACTGGACTGGTGGGGGCGGCTGCAGACGGCGGGCTGAGAGCACTGCAGGGCGAGGTGTGGGGTGCGGGGTCAGACCCAGCAGGGAGGACTCCGGTGGACCAGAGAGCCCGTGCAGTTCTGGAAGGCAGAGGGATCGTGTGGGCAGAAAGTCACAGCAGACGAGGGTGCAGGAGTAGGGGCTTGCAGAGGAAATGGTGCCCTTGTTTAGAAGGGGCCTTTCTAGAATTGGGGTGGGGGGAGTGGGAAGGAGAGAGAAATGGCACTAATGGGTTAAACTTCTGCAGTTTTCTGCTCATTCCCACACCACTCTCCCAAACACCAGCAACCACCACCAGGACCCAGACAGGTAGGCAAGTGACCTCGGAGGACACACAGCAGCAGCCTGCCGAGGGGTTACAGTGAGGGGCTCCCCTGCAGGTCGGCCACATTAGAATAAACGTGGAGGCGTCCCTCTAGTTCAGGGAAGAGACTGGAGGTAGCAAAGGCCACCTGTGCTACCTGCATTAATCAACATGGTCCTCGTTCAAGAGAAGAACCACGAAGGGTCTGCCAGCCCCCAGCAGCACGAGGAAGGAGGAACCAGCCAGACAGTGACCCTGGAGGAGGCAGATCAGTCAGGGAGCAGGAAGGGACTTCCTGAGGCTCTGACTATATCTCCGAGTGTTGAGAAGACAGCATGTTGATGAAACAGATGGGTTCTCTGAAAAGGGAGCAATGAGAGTTAAGAGAGAGTTTGTAGAAATTAATCACATGATGGTCACAATTTTTAAAGCAGGTGAAGATACAAGACAAAATCAGGGAGACCTCTTAGGATTTAAAGCAAAAGACAGAGAGATGAAAAATCTGAGCAGGGAGGGGTGGCGCTGGGCCCTGACTGCTCCCTCTGCAGATGGGTCCTTCCCACAGGGACCAGCTGCACTGTTTGCCTGCTGGAGAAAGAAAGCAAGCCAGTCCCAGCATTCTGCGTCACAGCCCGAGATCTGCCCTCTCCCAAGTGTCCGCGACCAGCTCTGCTGAGGGCTCTGCCTTGTCTTGTCTCAGGTAGAGAAACACGTGAGTGATGCGCTGTCCAAAGGGGCCACCCTCGTGATAGGCGGGAAGCGGCACCAACTTGGAAACAACTTCTTTGAGCCCACCCTGCTCAGCAACGTCACTCGGGACATGCTGTGCTCTCGTGAGGAGACCTTTGGGCCTCTGGCACCCGTGATCAAGTAAGGCCACCCAGCCCGTAGGAGGTCAGAGGGAACAGGAAGGAAAAAGGGGACCAAGAGAGATACCAGTCCCTGTGCTGAGGGGAGTGACAAGTTGGAGAGGCAGAGCTGTGCTGATCCATTTATGATTGTTACAAGTTCTTGTTAGTTCCTACTTAGACCACAAAATTGACCAGATTCTTGACTTTGCTTGTCCCTTGCCTTCTGCTGAACTCCTGTGTCTTCTTACTGGAGTGCGTCCTTAGAGACCTCTTCCAGGGAGTCGTTGGGAAGTGAGCATTCTGTGATCTTACATGACCTTTCATCTCACATGTGAAGTAAATGGGCCCTAACTGCTCCCCTTTACCTGCATAAAAGTCCAGCTTCAGTGCTTTGAAGACATCACCCTTCTGTCTGCATACATACAGGGCTATTCCTCAGAAAGCTGATGTCAGGTGCCAGTCCCTTTGAAGGGACCTTTCTCTCTGGAGATTTTTTTGTTGCTGTTGTTAATCTTCACCCAAGAATATTTTTCGATTGATTTTTTTTTTTTTTAGAGAGAGTGGAAGGGAGGCAAAGAAAGCAAAACTTCGATGTGAGAGACACATTGACTGGTTGCCTCCCACACGACCCTAACTGGGATGTGGGATTGAACCTGTAACCCTGGTGTGTGCCTTGACTGGGAATTGAACCTGGGACCCTTCAGTCCTCAGGCTAGTGCTCTAACCGCAGAGCCAAACTAGCCAGGGCTCTCTGGAGACTTTTGAAATGTCTCATGGTCTTTAACATTTTTTTTTTTATCCTCACCCAAAGACATTTTTCCATTTTTTGTTCAGATAGAGTGGGAAGGGGAGAGAGGAAGCGAGAGAGAAAGAGAGAGAAACATCGATGTGAAAGGGACACATCAAGTGGCTGCCACTCACACGACCAACCAGGGCCGGGGACAAACCGAACCCGGTCTCTCTGGACCACAGGCCGACGCGCTAACCGCTGAGCAAAACCAGCCAGGGCACATTTTAAAATTTTATTGGTGTGGAACTCTGTGAGCATTTTCATTCTGAGGGGCTGTCTTCCTCTAATACCTAAAGTGTATGTCTGGTCCTGGGAAATCCTTGGTTATTTCTCCAAGCGTTTCTCTCCCTTCATTTGTCCTTCCCCAACCTGGGAAGAAGTCTGTTGTAGAGACACATGGACTTCCCTCCTCCGGTGCTTTGGCTTGTTCCCATCTCTTCATCCATCCGTAGGCCCCCCGGGACACTGCTCCCTCCTCCTGCCAGCCGTGACCCAGTCTTCACGCACACGTCTGCTCCCAGCCTGCCCCACCTGAGTCCTCCTGGACCTCTGCCCTTCCTGCCTCACTGTTCTCGTGTCTGGGCTAGTTATCCTGTCCCTGCTTCTATTCTGCTCCCCTGTCTGCCTCCTGTGGTTCAGGAGGTTGTTACTTTCTTGGTCCTGGAGGCCTCAGAGGTCCTGTCATCATCCCTGTGACCTCATTTTTAGCCCCTTCCAAGGTCAGCAGCCTTGGCTAGTGATGTCCCTCAGGGAGGGACCCTCTGTTAAAGGTCTCAGCACCACTCCCCTTGCCCCAGGCACCCTTGGCCCTGGGGTATTAGAAGTTCCCATGTTGTAGGAGTGTGGAGAAGGGGCTTTCACTGGTCCTGAGTGGCTCACTAGGCCAGCTGGACTCCATCACAGAGGGTCCTGGGCCCCAGCTGCCCTGAGCTGGCCCCGCTGCTCTTCTGCCCCTGGAAATAGCGTTGGTCTAGGAACCAGGTCTGCAGGCAGACTCACTTGAAATCCCCAGGTGTGGGGGCGGCACAGCCCCTCCTCCCCAGGCCCTGGGGGGCTCTTGGTCTCCAGAAGCGTCCTGCACTTTTGATGTCATTGCTGGTGAGGTTTCTGAGCCGTGATTCACTCCCCCCACCCCCACGTCAGCGGGCGCTGAGCTGCTGTGCCCTCTCGTCCAGGGACAGACATGTCCGTGCTGTGTGCTTGGCCGGCTTTGCCACCATCCTGTTAGTGACATTTATATGTCATTCTGTACCTGAGGAGATGGGCCACTTGCAAAACTTTCTTCTTCCTTGTTTTACTGTAAGTTTTTACTGAGACTGTGGCCTTGTTTTCTCAGAACGCAGAAAGGATGCAGCATTAGGGACGCAGTTTTCGCTGCTACCCATATGTGTCCCCCAGGGCGTAACTCCTCAGATCTTGGGGTCCTTGTCACTCGTGCAGTCTGGTCTCACCGCACCTCTCCCTCAGGGACGGTGGGTGGGGCTGAGCTCCATGTGGACACGTGCACCCAGGTCCTCAGGGACACCATGGCCGATGCTGCGTGTTTGTGCCGAGTGGGGACACCAGCTGAGCTGCTTTCCTGCTCTGGCGGGCACAGTGGCCCTAGGAGACAACGCTGGTCTCCTGCGAGGAGGTTTCTCTCAGGTCACCCTCCTGGACCCTCCCGCCCCAGAGCTGTCCTTTCATTCCCCTGGCACTGCCCCGTAGCCTGCCCGGGACACCCTGCTCTGCCTGGTGCCCTCTGCTGGTGGACTGGGGTGCTTAGAGCTTTTAGCCTGTTACAGCTCTGTGGCAACAGCAAAATGCCACTGGAGTCCTGCTCCAGAAATAAAGTGGGGAAGCTAGAGGAGCCTGCACGGGCGTTGGGCCGACACACTGCCGTTTGGGGAGAGCGGCCACGCGGCTGCCGTTCGTGGCGGAGCCCACACCAGAACCTCCGGCTCCCTCTGGACGGTTCTTCCTACATCGTGGCTGCGTCTGGGTGGCAAGCTCAGTAACTGCCGTTTGAGGTGTGCTGCCCGCATGCCCTGCCCGGCTCCCTCTCCCAGAGGTGGGCTGGGCGGTTGGAGCGCACGGGCGTGAACACCGAGTCTCAGCCAGAGGAGCCCTTCGTTGTGCTCGGCGCCGGGATCTCTGCAAAACTCGTTTCTCTTTTGCTGTTACTGGGAAATAAGTCAGTAGGAAAGACAGCTGGTTTACCCTGCGCCCAATTCCAGAGTCTGCTGATGACCCATGTTGACTTGACAGGTTCGACACAGAGGAGGAGGCTCTGGCGATTGCTAACGCGACGGACGTGGGGTTAGCAGGTGGGTGTCCGTCCTGGCTTGGGGGCAGTGGTGTCATTTCTGAAGCTGATGTGGGAGTTTGCCTGTCAGACGCCAGCCTGGGCTGGAGGACGCTTTGCTGAAGCGTGACTGTCGCTTCCTGAGGGGCAAGGGCCGTCGCACAGCTCATGCCCTGCCTGGCACACCGGGAGCCGGGGTGGGAGCGGGGCGGCGTGAGGGGGCCGGCAGGTCCTGGCACACCGGGAGCCGGGGTGGGAGCGGGGCGGCGTGAGGAGCCGGGGTGGGAGCGGGGCGGCGTGAGGGGTGGCCGGCAGCTCCTGGCACCACCGGGAGCCCGGGTGGGAGGCAGGGCGGCGTGAGGGGGCCGGCAGGGAGGGGTAGGGTCCTGCACAACCGGGAGCCGGGGTGGAGCGGGGCGGCGTGAGGGGGCCGGCAGGTCCTGGCACACCGGGAGCCCGGGTGGGAGTGGGGCGGCGTGAGGGGGCCGGCAGGTCCTGGCACACCGGGAGCCCGGGTGGGAGTGGGGCGGCGTGAGGGGGCCGGCAGGTCCTGGCACACCGGGAGCCCGGGTGGGAGTGGGGCGGCGTGAGGGGGCCGGCAGGTCCTGGCACACCGGGAGCCGGGTGGGAGCGGGGCGGCGTGAGGAGCACGGGTGGGAGCGGGGCGGCGTGAGGGGGCCGGCAGGTCCTGGCACACCGGGAGCCCGGGTGGGAGCGGGGCGGCGTGAGGGGGCCGGCAGGTCCTGGCACACCGGGAGCCGGGTGGGAGCGGGGCGGCGTGAGGAGGCCGGCAGGCTGTTCCAGGTGAGGAGTCGCAGGCACCATGAGCCCGTGTTCTCAGGGGCTGCTACCTGGAAACTCCTAGTGCCTCTCCCATTTTCCTGGGTCTTGGAGCTGAACAGAAGAGGAAGTGTGGGCTGGGCACAGGGCATCTTGACCACTTCCAAATAAAGGCATAGTGGCCACACTGTCACCAGAGAGGGACTGGGACCGAGGTGGGTCGGCCCCAGCACTGTCTGGACTGTGTAACCCACTTGCTCCCCAGGGTCCTTGGCTGGGGAAGGGAAGGTGAGCTGCTCGGCTGTGACCAGCTGTCTCAGGCCCCCATGCCACTCGCCAAGCCTGTTCCTGGCTCCTTACCATGCTGCCTCTGCACGGTGTGCCCGCCACCCTGCACACAGGCGCATGCAGGTCCAGTTAGCATCACGGTGATAGACGTGTGAGGAGGGCACCTAGCCCGGCTGTGGCTCCCGGAGCTCCCCGGGTGAGAAGCGCTGAAGACGTGTGCGGTGGCCCTGGGCCCGCACTGCCCCTCAGTCCCCAGGGAGCTGGGCCCCAGTGTGCAGATGCTCCCGCCTGCCCTTCAAGATGGGTGAGGGTGGAGGCAGCCGTGCCCTGAGCAATTAGTAAACGTGGACACGACTCTGACGGCAGAGACTGGAGGGAGATTCTGGGCAGAGTGAGGGAGTGAGAAAGGGCAGGAGGACCCGGGGAGCCTGGAGAAGACAGCGGGTCGCTGGGGTGAGGAGGGCACCGACAGCTGCCTGAGAGCACTCGGGCTGGGTGCCCACGAGGAGCCTTCTGTGTGGGTGACACGGAGGCACCGGAAGGTCTGCGTGGAAGGACCACGTGGATAACTGAACAGACACGTGCAGATGGTCTGAGCAGTGAGGGTCACAGGCACTGTGAGCTGCGGTCACTGTCCTGACGGGAGACGGAGAGGGCCGCAGGTGGAACAGAAACAGGACGCCGACCGGGTTGGACGGGGAGAAACAACAGGCCCAGCAGGGTCAGATGGGAGCTGGCGGCCCAGGCCTGCGCCGGCAGGCAGACGTCAGAGCCGCACTCAGCTTCCGGCGTCTGCCGGGACTGTTCCACACGCCGTCTGTGTCCTTTCTCCTGTGACAGGTTATTTTTACTCTCAAGACCCGGCCCAGATCTGGCGCGTGGCGGAGCAGCTGGAGGTGGGCATGGTGGGCGTCAACGAAGGGCTCATCTCCTCGGTGGAGTGCCCATTTGGCGGGGTGAAGCAGTCTGGCCTCGGGCGGGAGGGCTCCAAGTACGGCATTGATGAGTACCTGGAGGTCAAGTACGTGTGCTTCGGGGGCTTGTAGGCGCCTCTGGTTCTCTCGGAAGCAGACGGGAGCCGCCCCACTGCGATGGCCATGTGCCATCCATCACCTTACATAAACCTGTAGGGTATCTGAGTTGCAGACTTTTTAAAGTCATCCAGTCCTCGTAATCTTAAACAGGTACGACTCCTGCCCCTCCCCTTAGCTAACTAGGGACCAAAAGGTGCCAAGTGCCTGTGGCTGCAGACTCCCCGAGAACCCGCCACAGCAATGTCTGTCTCCAGCAAGGTGCAGCCGGAGGCAGGCTGGCTGTGAGCCCCATCACCAGGCTGAAGACACCAGGGCCCCGACTCAGCTTCCCACGTGTGGCTACGGAGGAGAGGAGACCCTGGCTGCCACCTGCCTGCCATGTGGTTATACAGCCCAGAGCTAAGGACAGTTTTTATATTTCCAAATGATGGGGGTGAGAAATAGTGCGAGTTCATGCACATAAAAATTACGTGAAATTCAGATTTCAGTATTCCACAAAGACAGCATTCCTGGGATGCGGCCACAGCCCTGCACCTACCAGAGGTCTACGGCTACTTTCCTGGCAGAGCTGCATACCTGCCACGGAGACCGTGAGGCCCCCAAGGCCTAAAAGTATTTCCTGTGACTCTTAGAAAACGTCCCCAACCCCTGACCTCCACCGGGAGGGAGAGAGTGACCTTCCTGTGTGTCACACATTCTTTTTGTTGAACGCCTACTGTATAAAAAGGATGTTTCTGGGCTGCACTCCAGTGAGTTCTCACCAGGAGCCTCCCTGCAGCAGTGATCACACAACTCAAATGAAATGACCCGGAGAACTGGGGCTCAGCCTCAAGGAGGCCCTTCTCCACCCCCGCGTGCCCGGCCCTCATGTGCAGAGCACCGGCTTCCCTCATCTTTACCCCTTGGAGTGGCATTCAGCACGGATTGACGTCAGGCGTCTGCCTTCTCTCCTCGTCTGCCTGTGCTCTGTGGAGACTCCGCGATGACCGGAGCCAGTGCAGCCGAGCCCGTTTCACTGTCAGCTCACGGCACGAGGCCACGGGACCACGGGGCCACAGGACCTTCTCTGAAGGCCAGAGCCCAGGGTGTTTGCTGTTCATGTGCTGCTCTTCTAGGTAGCTTTTTACTTGAGTAGTATTCATGCTGGGACTTTCTTCGTGCTCTGTGTTGTGGGAAGAAACTTGGGAATTAGCAGACATTTGTTTTGCACAAGCACACACAACCCCTGTCGGGACAACTGTCTGTGTCAGCGTCCTGGCGCTGAGCTGTAATGAATAAATGCGGAGTCCACAGTTTCCTGTTTCTGCGTTCAAGTTCCTGGCTCCAGTTCTTTTCTTGCCAGTCCATCATCTGAGTGTGTTCTGGTCACTACCAGACCTGTTCAGACAGGTATGAAGGGGATGGATGTGCCACATTGGCACAGGGTCATTGTGAGCTAGAGGTGAGTGAGAAGTAGAAACCAGGAAAGCTCTCTGCCAGAGGTGTTTTTTAATCCTCACCCGAGGATATTTTTCCATTTACCTTGAGAGAGAGAGAGAGAGAGAGAGAAACATCGATGTCAGAGAGACACATCGACTAGTTGCCTCCCGCACGACCCCAACCAGGGCCAGGTCGAACCACAACCAAGGTACGTGCCCTTGGCCAGAATCAAACCCACGACTCTCTGATCCATAGGGCCTATGCTCTAACCGCTGAGCCAAACCAGCCAGGGCCCTGCCTGAGGTTTTAGAAAATCAACAGGTAACACCCCACTCTTCCCGACCCAGAAGCTGGGAAGGTGTGACGCAGGCCTGACGCAGATGGGATACCAGTGTTGGTGCTGTCACTGAGAGAAACCACCTTAGGAGATGCCGCTGAGCACGTACTCCCCTTAATCTCCTTTGCAGCCTCCCGTCCTGTGGGCAGAGAGCCTGCTGGTGTGTCCCCCGGGGGAGGGGGCAGTTGGCACAGAGGTGGCCCTGTGGTTGTGCTCACAGCCTGGCTGAGGGAGCAGCAGAGGCTCCGGGACAGCCACGTTCCGTGAGCCAGGATGGTGCCCACCCAAAGGCCCACCTGCCTAATTCGCACAGCACACTGGCCTGTGTGCCAGCGTGGCCGGGAAGGACTATGGACTCGAAAGCCCAGGGCACAGATTTTCCCTTGACCCCTCACTGGCTGGGTGGAATGTATTTAAAATGGCCCTTTCCCTACAGTAAAGGGGAGTCACGAGGAACAGTGGCAAGAGAGTGCAGGGAAGGACACCCCTCAGGAACAGCAAGCAGTGACCTTGACTGTCACCTTCAACAGCAGTGTCAGTGAGCACTGAGCTATACAGAAAGCAGAAGATAAGAGAGGCTCATATTAAAATAAGAATATATTACTGTCATTCAGGTACCAAAAGCTGAGACCCACCCCCTTACAATGGCAAGCCACTATACACGGGCTTACCTGCCTTAACAGTGACACTGACGAACCCTTCTCCAAAGGCACTGGTCACTAGAAACCGCCACTTTGAGGGCATAACATCCTACTGAGAAATGCAACAGAAAGAAAAGTTACACTGGTCAACGTGCAGGAGACGAGTCCACTGCAGACTCTCGGCCTGCCGGGGGTCGTCGCAACGCAATGACTTGGAGTGTGTGTGTGTGTGTGGGGGGGGCATTGCAAGACAGCAAATGCTCCAGATCTCTGGATGTAGCCCGATTTATTTACAGAGTGGTTCCCCGGGTTACATAGTGTTTTAGGTAATTAAGTCCTTGAGATGGCGTCTCTGCTGACCTTACAGCCAAGCCCAGCGTACTTCCTGCTCCAACTGTCTCTTGGTTGTTTTCACTGGAGATACATAATAAACACATTCACTCTTGGGCAGTAAGCCCCTTGGCGCTATCAGGGTGGCTTTCCAAACCCATCATGCAGACCGTATCTGTTCTCATGTATACTTTGATCTTTGGCTGGCTAGGCCACCAGAATGCACACCTCAAGGTTACATTTGGTTCATCCACCAAACCCCCAACCCTACTTCTTCCCCTTTTTTGTTTTCTTATCATTGAGGAATCGCCACAGCTGCAGTGGTCAGGAGCGTCATCACTCGCTTTTCAGTCTTCTGCGTAGAGGACACCGCTCACCAGAGCACTCGGAGTACTATGCGGCCAACACAGTCAAGAAAACAACCAACAGCAGTAAATATCCAGATTCTAAGATTGAAACCCTCAAACCAGTGCATTGGATTGAGCCACTGGACATTCTCTGAGATTGCCTTTAAAACATTCTACTGAGCAAGCTGCTGTACATCTGCTGACTGTGTTTCCAGAGTCTTTTTTAGGTTAGCTACTTGCCCTCCAAGGTTGCAGCAAAAGCTCCTTGTAGGTGTTGTTTGACTGCTGTCCAATTGTGAGTGGGGCATTCCAAGGCAATGCAGTTACATACACACTATGACTAAACTCCCAATCACAGTGTAATGTAGAGCGAGTGGCTAAGGCCTCTTCACGCTCTCCCAGCCACATACTGCGGCCTCGGAGGCATCTGATCGAGCTAAACCCCTTCGTCGATCTCTGTCCAGGAAGCCATACCTTTAGTAACATTGATCATCACTGTATGTGCCCTTTGGACCGATTCTGTCCAGGCTGTGACAGTGGCAGCAGTGACTATGGCTGAAATGATGAATGCTGTAAGCCACCCAATAAACCTCTTTTTACAAGGTTGTCCAAATGCTTTAGCTAATAGTGGGTGTTATGATCAATGTCCAAGGTTAGCTGCGCCATCTGAGGAACTGGGTTAAAGAGCAGGTCCTTCCTGTTCATGGTGAGGTTTTATCCACCAAGCCACCAGCCACTTGGGACCCGTAGGAGACAAAATACAAGCACACCCCACCCCCAAGCCAGTAACTCTGCAGGACCCCGCCATTCAGGCCCCTGCTGTGGATCCAGGTGCCGGACTATAGGCCCGGGCCCTGTGGCTGAAGCTTTTTGTTGAAAATGTCGCTCCACAGCCGTAGTGCCAAAGCAATCTCAACTTTAAAAATTAAGGTACAGATTGCCAGAGAAAGTTGATTCACAGGGGGTTCACCCATACTCCCCCCTTTTGTTTTGTAATTAAAATTTTTAAAGTAGCACGAGCACGTTCAACAATAGCTTGTCCTGCAGCGTTATAGGGGATGCCAGTTTACAGCTAATGCCCACTGCTGGAGAAATAGTTCAGTGCTGTGAGATGGCAGGTTGGCCCACCATCTGTGTTAAGTTCCAGGGGCACCCCCGTATGTGCAAAACAGGACAGCCAGTGACACTTACCATCTTTAGCTTTTTCCCCTGTTGCGGTGGTTGCATGCAGAAAATTGGAAGGGGTACCTATATTAATATGTACCCACTGAAATCGAGCAAATGATGGAATATGTGTTACATCTGTCTGCCATAAGGCATTAGGGGATGAAGCCAAGGACTGACTCCTGCTGATGTCGGAGTCCCTTCCGAGAGTTGGCAATCTGGGCAAGCCTTAATAACATCTTGAACTTGCAAAAGGGTCAAATGCAAGGTTTCCATGAGTGCTTGAGTATTCTGGTGAAAAAAGGCTTGTGAACTTTGCACTTGCTGAAATGCAAGAGTTGCCACTACTATGGCCTCTGCCTTCGGATTTCCTCGTGTTAAAGGTCCAGGGAGTGTGAAATGAGATCAAATGAGGGTTATAAAAATAGGATGATTTCGTTGGTCTATTAAAGTTTGGAGAGATAAGAATAAGGATAATAGATGCTGATCAGCTAAAGGCTTAATAAAGGCTTGTTCTATTCTTGTAACATTTTAACTACATATTGTGAATCACTAACTATATTAAGGGTTCTTCTATAAGTTGCTGAATAGCTAATATTGCAGCCCGTAATTCAGCACGCTGAGTTGACCCAGGCTCAAGGCTGCTAATATTCCTCCATTCCTCATTTTCTTTCCAGGCTACTCTTGCTTTGTGAGATCTATCTGGTCCACCAATGAATACAGTTCTAGCCCCAGGTAACGGGGTATTACTGATTTTTCGCACCATGTTAAGGTGTAATTGAGGAATATTTTGTAAGAATTTATTTGCCGGAAGAGAGTAATTAATCTCCCCAATGAAATCTGCTAGAGCTATTTGAAAGTCCATTGCCTGGGAAATCAAAATGGTAAACTGTTCCTGAGTAAGAGGCAAATATAGAATCTGAGGGCCATATCCTGTCAGTTCTTGTGTATTTTGGCTATTAGATTTGCTAATGATTTCATAAATGGAGTTATTGTTCTAGATGGGTAGCTGGGAGATATATCGATTCAAGATATTTTACTTCAGGAGTTCACTGTCCTATAATTGCTGTAGGGTACGGTGCGATTGGATATACAAACAGTCAAATAGGGTCCTTGAATGACCACGATGAGCTTGTCAGGTTTGTATTTGAGTGGTCATTTCTCTAAGTTCTTGCTGCACCTCTACAAATAGAGTTCTAGGTGAATTTAGAGCTGGATCACCCTCAAGAGTATTAAATAAATGAGTTAACTGCTGAGTAGTAAGACCAAGTATAGGTCAAAGCCAACTGATGGCCCCAATAATTTTTGAATTTGTTTAAAGTTGTCACTTACTAGAATGTAAGTTTCTGGTGTGAATAATTATTGCCCCTAATATCCATCCTAAGTATTGCCAGGGTTCTAATTGCTGCACCTTGTCTGAAGTAGCTTGTAATCCTGTCTCTTTCAAAGTCTCCTGAAGCATCACATGGGCTGATTCAATTCTTCTGGGTTAGAGGCAGCTAACAAAATATCCATATAGGTGTAGATAAATGGCAGGAAATAGTTTCCTTACTGTATCCAACAGCATGATGGACATAGTATTGACAAATTGTTGGACTACATCATTCCTTGGGGTAGTACCTTCCATTGAAACCGTTGCATTGGTTCACTATTGTTAATGGAGGGAACAGAAAAAGCGAATTTCTCTCAATCTGTAAGGACCAAAGGGATAGTGAAAAAACAATCCTTGAGATCTACAACAGTTACAGGCCATTTCTCAGGAATCGCTGTAGGACTGGGGGGCCCAGGCTGTAACACTCCCTGGGTTCTATGACAGCCTCGATGGCCCTCCAATCCTGGAGTCATCTCCATTCACCACCTTTTTTAGGAATAACAAAAATGGGAGTGTGCCAGGGACTGATGAAGGTTCTACATGATCTGCTCCCAATTATTCTTTTACTAATTTGTTTGCTTGTAATAATTTTTCCCCTTTTAAGGGCCACTGATGAACCTATATCGACTCTGTCGTTTTCCAGACCAGTGAAAGGAGGAATTTTACCAGTGACCC